TTTTGTTTATGACACCCACCTTGTTGAAAAATCGCTTAATATATTGTTATGCTCGCATATCTGCTGGTTAATTTTTTTTTCTGCGGTCCGCGCATTTCAGATTTTTATTTAGAATTGTTGGCCTAGTTCATATTACTTTCTTTTATAATTTCCTCGGCCGATTAAACATATAGTACCAATAATAAATACAAAAATAAATTTAAAAAAAAGAACTGGTACTGGGGGACGGGTGCAACCACTGTTGTAAGTGGGTAGTTGGGAAGATGGGATACATAAAGTTATTTAACCTTATACCAGTAACAAACGATAAACCATTGCTAACGAAAAAAGATTTAAAGTGAAATTCGATTGTTTATATTTTGAAAGGTCATAATATTTACGATTTTAGTCAAAATTTGATATTAACTCTTATAAAAAAAAAAAATATATTACATTACACTCAATTGATTTTTTGCTAAGTAGTTACGACTTATATAGAACCTCATGTCAAATTTTAATACTGTACCTATTTATCTGTTTTCTTTATGTTTTTCTTGGTTTTTCCCATTTATTGGGAAAACTCCTAAGAAAATCAAAAAATTACCTCCTTAAAGTACACCCCAATTAGATTCCTTTCAGAAAAAGTGCTATCATTGTAAACCGGAGCAAAATTGCTGATATAAAAGTTGTTTACCGGAAAAAAAAAAGGCCGTAGTATGTTTTTACTTATATACTTACATTTCGTACATTTTCCCGATTTTTTTCCGTACACTTTGAAACTAGACCACTCATATATATGCATAAGTAAATATTTATATAACCAAACGGTTGTATAACATTTTTTTTATAGAAGTTTAGTTTAGTTTAGTTCTTCAAAAATCAAAACGATAATGTAATTTTCCAAAATATGTCTATTGCCTATACCTAAAAACACATAATACAATACGAGTTGGAAAAAAAAGACACTCGTTAATAGTTGACCTCCATCACTTGGGTCGAAAATTTAATTAAAAATTAAAAGTATCCTGTATCAAGATCCTCTTTTTTAGCATCTTGTCCAATCTTGATTATATTACAATTACAATTGTACTTCTAAAAAAAAAAAAATAGTAATAATAATAATGTTGAAATTTTAACATAAAAATACAAGTGGTAGCATATTAAAATACAATTAAAGGTTGAAAACTACAAAAGGCATATCCTTGACATTATAAACGCAGTACTTATATAAAATTTCATCCCCTTTCGTTTAGGAGGTTTATATTGTTTATGGTGTTCATAAATCAAAAATGTTTTAAACATGTGCATGTTATTTTTGTTAACAATGGTAAATCAGTGAAACGCCTGGGACCCCCGGTGTGAGCTCTCCACTCAATCAGTTAGCCTCTGGAAGTCTTAATATGTCCAATTCAAGACATTTATGTAGAGGAGGTCGGGAGATCTTCGCGCCCATGGTGTCGTCCACGTTTAGTGGCGAGCCCGGAACTGACCGTGAATTCGTTCTGCGGCCAGTACCGTACGGTAGAACTCGACCGGGCTTAAGCATTTCACTAAGTGGTGGTTAAAGGCCTAAAGCACCTAACTCACCTAATAGCGGTCGTGCTGTGCGCAAACGGAACTACGAATTAAGAAGTGGTAAATGGGGACCACACTTTGCTGCATCGAATTCATTTGGGGATTCACCCCCATGCTCCCCGCCAGCCCTTGACTAGCTTTTCAAGCTAATCTAATAAGCTTCAACTAATATAAGGTCCGTCGGTCGGTATACTTAAAAAATCAAAGGGTTACACTGTACCTTAAAATATGTACATGCCGAGTAATACTTCATTTAAAAAAATAGATTCCCAATACTTTTTCTCTAAAGTTAACAAAAAACTAACAACTATTATTGATGCATCGGTTTTATTTACTTTCGTGACCTCGGCTACATAACAGGATAACCACTACGATTAATACTACTTTGATCAGAATAGGTTTTTGATTGCAATAAATAGTAAGGGCGCCCTAAGAAAATCATAGTTCAAAAAAGTAGCAATGAACCGAAAAAGTTTGGAAAGCACTGTTATACATAATCCAGAATGAAAAAGTTTCTACTTTCGAGGAAAATTTGACAAAAAATTACTATGAAGGTTAAGTACTTTCATTTTTATTATCTCAACAATTTGACGCCCCTAAAATGTATATGCATAATATATACTGGCCGGGTGAAACGCATAATATATTATTTTTTTAAAATAATATAAGAAATAATTACGTCGTCGTATTCAAAATCGAAATGCACGTCTTGTGTAGTGTGACTTTTCGATATCAGTTTTTATTATAGTCAGATATACGTTAATTTTTGAATCATTTTATTATATTATATTATTTAATTAAAAACTCTATGATGTATAGCCGCTGTTTATACAATAACGTATAAATATTATATTATATTATATGATTTGATTTGTCTATTAACGCCTACTGATTTTTTCGTTTGTTGATATTTTTATTTTTTATTTTTAAATATTGTGTTTGGCATTAAATAAGTTGCCGAGTCGTAATATTAAAATTCTATACATTGTAACAGTTAGCATCTACTATATATAGTCAAATTTGTACAGACCTTGTTTTTAATTTTCCTGAACAAAAACGATTTACACTCGCGTTATGTCCCAAAAAACACGAATTGATACTTTCTTCATTCCAAAGGAAAAGCCTGTGCTAATTCAAATACATATGAATTGATTAATTTAAAATAGATTCAATGATTTTTTAAATATGTTTAAATTATTACAAAAAATAAAACATTAAAAAGTTTGCAGAAATGTCGGTTTTATCATTTTCGATTTTAATTTGTGGTAATTTGGTTAAAAATAATTTTGGATACCTAAAATTGTCACAGAATATTATATTCTACTTAAGTTTGTATAAGTTTTTTCCTAAAACTTTCAAGCGATTTTTAAACCTCTATAGGCATTTGATATTTCGATTATAAACGTCACAGCACATTAAAACATATTTAACCGAACTTCGTTTAGAATCGTATTTAATTATCAATGATTTATCGTTGCTTACAGATATAAATTAAATTACTCTATGTATACTACCTTTCCAACTTTTTACCTTCAACAGCGACCAGTAGCGATCAAACGATTTTGTCATGAAGAAATGGAGAAATATGGAGAAATCGGTGAAAAAAGGTTGATATATTGTAAAAGAAATTTTAACGAAAAGTTTCTGAGTTATTCTACTTTAAGTACTAAGGATAATAGTATTTTTTTTGGAGATTGGATATCAAATGTTTCATATGTGTAGATAATTTATTATTTGATTCGTGTAGTTATTATCTTCCGTATTTAAAGCAGAATAACTTAGAAAATTTGTATTCAAATTTTGATTAAAATATACGTTAACATTTTCAGAAAGCTCATCTGATTGACAATTTGCATTAAAATATGTAAGCTCTCATTTGAAAAAACAAATTTAGTATTGCTAGAGGATACTTTTTAAGTATTATGAAAAATCTAAGTATTCGAAAATATCGAATTTCACTATACTTAAAAATTCCAAGTTTTAAAATTTGAATTTATATTTAATTTAACCATGAAAAATAGTATGAACACTTAGCATGTTTAAAAAATCATCCTGTATATTATTATACATTTTTAAGAAAAATTATTTAATAGAAGGGATATGCCCCCTTACACCCCCCTCCCCCCGTCTGAATGCTCCTGACAGTGGTACACACATGAGCAGTATCATATTTTATTTAAATGTGTAACTATATAAGTTCTGGTTCTATTTAATTATTGATTTAACACGGAAAAACGAAATAAATTATGTCTAAAACTATAAACTATTAAGTTTACATTAATCTACAATTTTGGAAAAAATAATATATTTTATTAGGGTCTTTAAAAACGCAATTGCTGGGAGTTTCATGATTCAATTTGCTTGCGTGTTTTATATTTCTCTCTCATGCAATCGATTCTAGATTGTGATTCGATAATTTAAAGCCACCATCAAGAGTATTTTATAATAAAAAATTAAAACGAATCCAAATTCGATGTTTTCGTATGCTGGCATATAAGACAAATAATATTGAACGAAGGTTGCAATTATTAGCTTTAAAATTTGATATCGAAAATTCGAAACTCCGAAGGCAATTTAAAGATTTATTCTGGCTGTATAACTTACCCAACTCTAAAATTGATTGTCCTGAATCACTTTCTTTAAATTAATATAAATGTTCCAAACATAACATTAAGATCCGCATGTACAACCTACTTGCAAACCTAACTGTTGTCTATTCGTTCCGATACATCGTATGTGAACTCTAGGTAACAAACTTAAAAATTGTAATTTCTTTTTTTTCATTCTCTATTGAAGTCGTATGCAAATTTTATTTTATAGTTTATAATTCTAAATATTGTCTTGAATGTTTATTTTATAGTTTATATTATTACATACTGTTTTACACGTTAATTTTTTTAGTTGCTCCTTGTCATTACTATATTTACCTGTGACGTTAGTAGAAACTCTAATGCCCGAGACAAAATATTGTATAAAAACCTATAATAAGTAAAAAAAAAAAGTCATTCGAAAAAGGTCTTCACTTGTCCAATAATGCCTTGGGCCCTGATTTTGAGCTTCTAAGCATGGCTCATTGCCCGTCATGCCACCCTAACGCTACGCCACTGATGTTAACTTCTATATTCTATGCCCACCGGGCGTTTAAAAATAAATAATAATAATAATAATGCAAAATTGACCTAGTTTATATTTCTTCACTATAGAAGCGTCTCGGTATTGTGAAATTCATTTCCGTTTATCAGCCGTGCAAATGTAACGTATTATGCATTATTTGTACCTAATGTACCTATAACCGTTATTTTTTGTCTAAAATAAACCACACCGTGATAAACAAAACACACAAGAATCAATATATAACGTATAACACAAATTATTATTATTATTATATAATATTATAAAAAAATGCACTTTTAACATTATTTTTAATTAAAATATACGAGTACCTACTAAAATTGAATAATATTGATCTATTCGAATAAAATAACAATATGTAATAACATGTTAACTACTAATAGTAATTAAATATTATTTATTTAATAATATATGAAATATTAGAAAAGTTATTTTAAATGTAACAAACATTACAAATAAAATCGTTGGTTTTATACTATACATGTAGTCATATCATAAGTTTACCTATCCAATATACGATGAAAAAAATAATTTCAAGTTTACATTAAACATACAACGGAAATTTTGTTTAATTAAAATCGAGAAAATCTAAAATTGTTAAATTGTTAAAATAAAACGGTGTTTACAATTACGTAACTAAAAGTATAATTTTCCTAGAAAATTTAAGAGGCGCGATACAATTATGTGCTGTTTCTGTCTACCAAAAGTACGACATATCAAATTTACGTTCCGCAGGAATAACTTTGTGTATTTAGTTCTAATATTAAAGTGAATTAACCTATCTATAAGATTCTGAATTATCTGCATTATCCGTTATTCCAATATTAAAACTAACAAAGTTGTCCTGGCTGAACGCAAATTTACTACATCGTACGTACCTATGTAAAATGGAGACAGCACATGCGGGCATACGTCATCTTAATACAACTCAATAGTATGTTAGTATTATGTAGGTACCTATTCAAAGGTAACGCAGAATACATTTGTGTAACAACACTCAACACTTAATAAGGAGTGTTTACATAATATATAGACAGTTAGGTAGGTAGGTAATTTTAATCATTTAAATTAACAACAGTTAAATTTTACTTTAAGAAAATAAAAAAAATCGCAGTATCATGAGAGGCGCACAAATTAAACAAATATCGTTACCTATATTGTATACGAAATAATATATTATTCAAACATACATTTTGATAACAGTATATTAACAATACTAAATAAAAACAAATAATATAATAATAGGTGACATATAAGTATTATAGACTCTGTTTAAACGTCAGTCAATTTGTATGGGTTTTTTTTTTTTACTTTATATTATGTTGTTTTTTTTTCTGCGAATACATGAAAATTACTCTCGTAAAAAAAAAAGATAATGCATAACATAGTATTAAATCAAACAATACCTATATATATATATAAAATATAAATACGGGTATATATTTGTAATACCTAGCCTATAGTAGCCTAGCTGTATAGTGTATATTATATTATATTATTAAAACTACTTTTTCTTATGCGCGAGAAACTGATTACAGCAACAGGCAGTGATAAGACGGTGTTCTCGGCAAGTGTTGGAGTGCAGGAAACTACAATCCGCGAATTGACATTCATTGGGCAAATCTGTATCTGGAAAAAAATTAAATTGCATTTACGTTTATACATATCATTATACTCTGGTAAAAATTATATCATGTTTATCGTTCGTTTTTTACTATATATATATCAACAAAACCTTAATTTCGTGGATTAAAAAAGAACAACATTAATTTTATAGTTAATCAAATAGGTCAATATTCTCGCTTCTAGTGAAGGAACAAGGATTTTTTCGAGGGGTGACGTTTGCCTAATTCCTAATAAATATATAACATATTTTTGTCTTGGTTATTGAATAAAATTTCCTAGTCTTTAGGTTTTTTCTACAGACATTACTTAAACTGTCTATGTATAAATACACATATTAAAATATTGTATTGAATTACCAAATGACAATCCCGTGGGCGCTGCATATATAATATTTAAACGAACAACAAACCTATAGAATATTTAGGTATGATAGAGAAAATCTAAACAAAACAGTAAGCGTTTAAGAATGTTAAACGTAAATAGTAAATAATGCGCTTAAAACGGCGTATTATATTATAATAATTAATAATTGTCGATTTATTTTCTTTGACCTTAAAAATGAAAACGTTCAAGCATTTTAATAGAATAATAATACCTATACTGGGTGTCTCGCAAAGATATTATCATTGGCGATGAATTTGAAAATATAAACTTTTTTTGTAATTTTTATTATTACAATCTAATAAACAAGTAGCTCTAAACTGTTAAATTATCATTATTTTTATCTCCCTTATTTTTGGTGACAAACCGAATAACCGCTTTTTATTTTCAAATGACAGTCTTTATTAAAAATTCCATATATATGTAGAATATTAGTTTGAATACATTTCAGTGTTGACATTCTGGATTTCTATCAATTTATTGATGAGATATTCCGCTTTTAAGACGTATGGGTAGAGGGAGAATTGTGGAGCACTATTCGAATACCACACGCTGTACCGTCACACTCCCTCTACGTACACTTAAAAGTGGAAAATCTTTTCGATGGGATAACAGAAATAAATTTAAACCAATTCTTCGTCTATTTATGTAATGTTGAATAAAAGTTGCTATTTGAAAATCAAAACTTGGTTCACTCCTCAAAATAATCGTGACAAAAAAGTAATAGTAATGTTACATTTTAGAGCTACTTGTTTCTTAAATTTTTTTAAAAAAAAGTTAATATTTTCCAAGATATATATATATCGATGGTCACATTATCCTCGTGGAACACCCTATATAGTAATTCAAAAATAATAGCACGCGTACAAATGTTTAAAACGATTTGACGCCAGATTAATTATAATAAACGAATTTCGTGTGTTTGGATATTAAATCGTTTTGTACTAAAGGATTTCTCTTTAATGTCACCTTGATGATTGTCTAAACTGTCTACAGTGTTCGGCATTGACACGTGTCTCAGGTTAGATGACGTCTTTTCATAATACTGACCTGGACAACATAATAATAATAATAATTATTATTATTATTATATTACTGAAATTCGCTTATCTGCAAACTGTAGTCCACATGTATGAGTTGTGTAACAGGTAGTTGCTGTTTTCCAAATATATATAACATTATATATATAGAATAATAAAATATATTATGCTCATATATTATCATATATTATGAGATTCCTGCTACGATTTTTACTATTTATATCTATCATGATAATCCAGCGGGGGGGGGGGGAGGGGATTTTAAGTGAATATGGTTTCTGTTTGTTTTTTTCAGTCCTTACAATAATATTATGAAATCGTTTAAGCTTTATTATAAAATTTATTATAACACATAAACATTAAGTAAAAAAAATTAAAAATAAGTAAGAAAATTGTTGAATAAACATTTTACATTCGAATCAGTATTTTAAAAGATAGTATAGGTTTCTATTTAAAAATTAAAAATGTGTATTAATTTAAGGTACAATTAAATAGGGGTGAAGATTTGAAAATAGTGTTAAAACAAAGCTTAAACGATTTTTTTAATGATTGAAGAAAAAAAACCAGAAATCAAAATTTACAATCCGAGGAATTGGTTGGATCATATCGATTACGAACAAATAGTGGATTATCTTGTATATACTTAAACAACATAGTAATGTAGTTCTCGCGTAGATTCAATTTAATACATTTCACTAAAATTAAAATTTATTGTACTTTTTTTATTTTTTCATTAAGAAGAAATTTACACGCATATAAATATAAAAGCTGAACAAATTCGATTTTTCTTTTCACTACCTACTTAACAAATTAGAATTTAACGATACTGTTTACAAATATAAATGATTAACTAACGTAACGCCACGTTAAATAAACATACCTAGACTTGAATTAGAAATCACTAAATCAGTGGCAAATTGATTTCTTCTTATCGTTATTTTCTATATAACACTACAATCGTAATCGTTATAGCGGAAGCTAAAATCGCAAGTAAGTACCTATATACATTATTGCGTCATTAGTATAATTTCTAAATCGAAAACTATATAATACTTTTAGATTATGAGTGTAACGAAGAAGCCATTCGGTTTACTAAAATGTGGTTTTCTGGAAACGAATTTCTTTTGCTAGGGAAATGATATGGTTTTTTTTTTTTTTTGTTTTATTATACGGTACTTTAAAAAACACGGAATTTTCGACCGATAGATATTTGTTTGAAATTCTTAACAGTTCACCTCTTAAAACCTATTTCTTTTCTCGGAAAGTCCAAATGGTTTATTGTCTGGTCAAAATGATCAGAACCGTTCACATCATAATAAAATAACAAAACGTAATAAGATTTTTTTTTTTTATTGATTTTTGGATAACCTACAAAAATCTTTTTTGATTGCATAAATAATGATTTATCTTTGCTTTCAGTAAATATAAACTAAATCGCCCTATTACATCCTATATGCCGAACGAAATATCTCATCAAGGTACCAACAACAATGATCGGTAGGTAAGCGCTATTGTTTATACCCAAAGTAAGATCTCATAAAGTAAACAATTACTTATACCTATATGATAATTTTATAGGAGATTGAATTATAAATTAAAAAAATATACAAAATATTAAAAATTGATCCTTTTTTGTTCAGCGTGGATAAACGTTATACAATATGATACAATTTCCCAATTCAATACCTCTCTACTCCTCAGCAAAATCCTAAATACAATAATAAAAGTATGACAGGCTTTTTAACAATTATTAGTTTAATAGATATATATATATATATAATATAATTATATTATATAAGTGACTTTGATATTCTTAAATTTCCGGTTACACAAGTTACACAAGTCCTTATTAAACTCATTGTCTTCGTTCAAAAGTCTAACTGAACATTGAAATATTCCCAAACAATAAAGCATTAGTATAGTCATATTTTATTATTATTGTTTTACAAATATTATAATATTAATTAATTCATTGTTTTACATTAATATTATTAGTATTATTAAATAAACTTGTTTACCTATATTGTAGAATCGTCAAAAAAAGTCTTATAATACGATAAAGAAAAAACATGTCTGTAATAGATATTAAAAATATTCAATATTTGGATAAATAAGCATCCAAATATTATAAGGTATTTTTTTTTTCTTATTTTTAACATTTTGTTTATCGATACCTGCCTACTGATTTGTTAGCATTATTCAAAATAATTGCATATCATTTAATGAATATTGGCATTTGGTACTATTATAATTGAACTGTAATTAAATTACCATAAAATTGTTTTTAGATTCCGAGTGAAGCGAGAAATTTATTTGTTTAACAATGATATTCATTTTTTCTTTTATACTATGTACACAACATCTGTCAGAAATTTTGCTCCAATTTATTAAATGTAACACCCTTTTCTGAAAGAAAATTGTATCCAGTTACTACTCAGAACTAGATTAACCTCCTCGGAAAATCATTTTTGAATTTCCAAGCTGTTTTCATAATAATTAGGAACAACCGGAAAAAAACTTAAGGATAAACGAACAAATATTTATAGAGTGACGATTTCATGATTTTATATTTTTTAACTGATATCTTTTACTGGAAATCTTGCTTAAATTAAAAAATAACAAAACACCTTTTTTTTGTCGCATTTGGATCTAATTATTCATGAAGAAAATAGATTTTTAATTTTTCTTATAGTTTTTTTAACAACTTGGAAAAATCCGGAAACAAATGTAGAATGAAAATTATTTTACATTTTACGCTTTATATTTTCTATGAAAAATATTACTTCAGTAGAAAAATAACAAGAAACCTTTTATATTAAATTTCCAATCTAATTACTCATGAAGAAAGTCGGTTTTTGATTTTCTTTGTAATTTTCAATAATTAGGAAAACCAGAAAAAACTGGAAAAATTACGAAAATAAAGCTTTTATTATTTCCAATTTTGTTTTTTTATTATAATTAAATTTAAAATATTCATAGAAACTTGAAAATTGGACAGAAAATGTATATTTGCTTTTTCTAGACTTGGTCAAATTTTTTAAACATTTAAGCCATTTTTGAGCCATTTACTGACATTTTAATTTTGCGAGTTGTTTACGTAATTTGTATTCGGTAAGTTAGGTGGATAAAATTGTTAGAGCAAACAGAAATGATGGAAAATTTAATAGAAAGTTTATTATATGTTGTACTTAGTGGTAAATAAGAAAAAGTTAAATTTATTGTGGTTTTTTTTTTATCCGTAAGAATTTTAATAATAAATTTTGACGAAAATCGGAGATATTATGGGCTTTTAAAACATGTGTAACTGAACTCCGCTCAGAATTACTTTTCGTTAGCAATGATCAATCTTTGCGTACAAATATACATTAAATTTCCCTGAATATTCTACCTTCCCAACTTCTCGCTTACAATAGTGGCACTCCCATCAGGCAAAGCATGTTTTTTTTTATGTATATATATATATACAACTTATTCTTTTTAGATGATTAAAATTTATATTATCAGACCAAAACAATTTTTCGGCGAAACAAACAAGATAATATTATAATATTATTATTTTTTATAAGTTATACGTACCTATAATATCTAGGTGTCTGTTAAATAATACCTAAGTTATTCGATGTCTTTCTCGTTAGAACACGTACATATAAGTACTTATCTGTAGTTCTTATATTATATTATACTCGGTTACTTTTATTTATTACCTATACCTATACAGATATGTATAAATACTGTCCGTTTTGTTTTTTTTTTTTTTGTACTACCTATTACAAAATTTGTTTCGGTGTACAAAAAAAAAAAACTGGCAATTTTTTCGTCTAGTTCTGTACAGTCTTTAGCTATTACGTCGTAGATATAGTTTTACTCGGTTTTCATCCGTAACAGTTTTCCGATGTATATATTATACATGTACATTATATATGTATACTGTATACGTACTATACATAGTTATTAGAACCGTGAAAAGAAAATTATAGTTATAATTCGATGCGTAACAATACGTATTTGAATAGGTATAAGTAACCATTTAATTGAATATACAGCCGAACAATAGAAAATAGGTAATGTTATATTATCATTTATCTGCAGTGGCGTAGGTACCTATTGAAATTCGGTCAGCCCGGTGTGAAAATCCGAAAAAGCCCCGTTCCTATTAAATTCAGAAGAACAAAATTCGGTGTGCACGCCTTTAACAGTATACGCCAAATATTAATAACACCTACAACAGTAGCACACCCGTCCCCAGTGTCCAACATTTATTTTTTAAAACATTGGAACATAAAATGTACTCAAACATACTTTTTTACACGACAATTATTAAATATACGTGCATTTTTAAACACACGTGTATTTAGGTACACATGAATTCGTAAGCCCTAGTATTTACCTAATAAGTATCTAAATAAGTTGAACTTGACTGAATACTGGAAAACAATACAGTTGAGACTCACTGGACGAGGAATTTTTTTACAGCAATTATTGTAGTAATAACAATAACTATACATTGTTCTTCTTAATATCATGCCTACTGTGGATAATGCAGTATTTGGATACCCCGATTCCAGGTACGCGTACTATTGTAAATTAGTAACGACGTGCATGACGCATCGTTTCAATTTCCTCGTGGAGAATTATTTATTTATTTTAAATTTTAATAAGTGGAGTGAGGAGTGTATTAGTTTTACAGCAATATTTCACTGCTTTCCCCCGATCGGCAAAACGGCAAACTTAAAAGTGAAATATCTCGTAAGCGAGTCGACGGAAATTAAACATTTCAATAACAAAATTAATTTTAGCTAAACATCCATTAATTTATAAAATTCTTAATATAGGTCACTATTTTTAATTCAAAATTAAAAAATGGTTTCACTCCCTCCTCAAAAAAAAAAAGCATGATACAAAATTACGATAATGTAAAACTTAAAAGTTGCTTGTTTCTTCAAAAAAACAAATTCCGAAAATAGTTCGGAGATAATGAGTGTTTTATGTTAAGTTTATCACTCTGTATTATATAAGTTACCTATGATTATTAGAAAAATGCTGTCAAAATAACTGTATACTATTTGTATAACAATCATCGACATTTATAATTTTGAACGGCGCGAGGGATGAATTGGTTTAACAATAACGATTTATTTTTATTTTTTTGATTGTGAATAACAATACCAACAATTTTACTCCGATTTTCCAGAGATTGTACTTTAAGGAGGTCGTTTTTTCATTTTTCCAGGGGTTTTCATAATGAATAGGAAAATCTGGGAGAATAGGAAATACGAGGAAATGTACAAAATTTACATGATTATTTTCAAATCGTTAATATTACGGCCTTTCAAAACATGTATAACCGAACTCGACTCAGAATAATTTTTGCATCGTTACGTACAGATTGACATTAAATTTCCCCTCTACCTTCCCAACTTCTCACCTTACAACAGTGGCCCACCAATCGTGTGAATTATATCCGTTTGTTTTTCAAATATTGTTTAAAAATAATAGGATAAAATTGTTTCCTTAAATTGTTATCAACCTCGGTATTATTATTATAAAGATGTACAGTCGCTACTCACTGCAGGGTATATTATACTAATTTTTAGTAATTAGTTATCATTTACGGCTTGGTAGCCAGTGAACAGCTTATTGTCGAACTACAAAGTATTACAATTATCACTAATAATTGGTAATTGTTAATTATTATGGTTTATATTTGTTATTTTTTTTTTAAAGTTTAAAAAGTTGTTTTTTTTATACATTTAATTTTATGAATTTACCTTACTGCTGTAAATGTAATACATTAAACATTATGTATACCATTTAAAAAGTTGTTTACATTTATTGGTATACATATCATATCATAATGACTTCCGAAATCTACTCATAAACTATAATGTTACTCAGGAGTTAAAAAAAATGTAAATTTAACAATATACAATACATATTTTAATATATTAAACCATTTTAAGTTTTCGTTAAAATATCTACAATTTTATATTCTAAGTTAAGCAAGATTAATATTTAGTTTTACAATAATGTATTAGTGTGTACTCTTTTTGGGTATGTAGTGGCTCGATTTTAATACTATCTACTTTATGGATCAGACATTTTGTTTCCATAGCAACAAAATATCAATTATATTATGATGGTTGATTTATTCATCGATTATACTTTATGCAGTAGTCAATTTACAATTAATTTCTGGGTGATGATGGCTACAAAGAAATCAGTGTGTCAGGCTATCTGAGGAATTTGATCAACTACATTTTCTGTTTAGTAATAATCGGTATAGTGGGAAGAGGAGGGTGAATTTATAAGTAAACAAAAAACGTACGCCCCCGACGGCATTTTACCTCAACACGACACTGTGTATAGGTATGCGGTATGAATATGTTTTGAAAGTTTTTCTTAAATGAAAAAGTGGACATAGACACACAAATAAAAAAAAACGCAGATTTCCAAACATTTTTATTTATAATTTTGCTTAAAATCTAAAATCGATTGCAAAGTAACTGGTCGGGACTCCGCTACTTTAGAAATCTGTAAAAAATGATTGCGGTCGTAATGATGAAACTGCTGATAAATGTTAAGAGAATTTAAATTATATTAACACATATTTATAATTTGTTGAAAAATTATTTTTAAATTGAACATATTATGAAAATCAATAATAAATCGAAATTGACTGCATTTAACCGATCCGACGTTCGAAATCAAAAACTATGGTGGAAATCAACCCATGTATCGATATATCGATCGAAAACTCAATTATTTTTATACGTTTTTCACATTCTAGAAACAACATAATAAACATTTCTGAATATATCGGTTTGCAAATAACTCGATATCCAATGTCCCGATAACTTCAATATCGGTCAATTTGCGATATCGGTTTATGTCAATACTCTCTTCTATCTAGTGTATTATACTATTTAAATAAAATATAATGTAATATAGTATGTGTTAGTGAATAACGGATTTGAAATATTCAAACAGCAATCTAACAAACAATAGCAATACGATGCGAAACACGATTAACAAGTAATAAACTAACAAATTTGTAAAACACCAAAATTATCGACTACGTGGTCCGTGTACATTTGAATGAAGAATTTTTACTCACGGATAATATACTCAATACACGCGAATTTTCTATCCGTGTTTACATGTTTTAATGTTATACACGTATTCGTGGATATTTGTTTAGGCTAAACAAATAGTGCTAGTGCTAATTATATTGCATTTTATATAATTTTAAAACCTAAAGGAAATATCAAAAAACTAAAATAAGTGAATATGTACGTGAATATACGTTTACGCGTATTTTTCAAATACCTATACACGGTTTTATTGAATATTTTACTAGATTGTTAATGTCATGTGAATACGCAAAACCTATAAACGTGAAATAGCTAGAAAACTCTAATATCTCCCTATACGTATAAATTGATTTTAGATACAGAACGCAAGGAGAAAGAGGTTTATTTGTAATTTGTGCTTTTTTTGTGTCTGTAAACAATTTTTCTACCACAAATCTTGCTCGGATCAATAACATCAAGAATAATTTCTGATCACAAATTTCGTCTAGTTAGGATGTTGCAGGAATGTCATTTTTTGATTTTCCTTACTGTTTCCTAATAATTAGAAAAAAATCGTCGGTAAAACAACAGCGGCTCACCCATCATATCGGCTCTTTTCTTCATCAAATCGATAAATTTGTTATCATATGCTTCCGTTATTTCCCTATATTATGTATCTAAAAGTTATCGGACGAAATAGAAAATATATACAAACATAAATATTGGAAAAAATTGTACCACGTGGATTAATGAGGCGTCCCCGTCTATCATTCTCACGGAAATACAGTCAAAATATGTTCACATAATACAAACGAAAAGGCTTTTAAAATCGGCCAAAATTTTCACCAACTTAGTACAGTTTAACAATTATTTTTCGCATTTTAATAGCTATTTTTACAAACGGAAATGCTTTCGCAGGAAAAACTCTCATACTCGTAAAACGCTTCAATTTCAATATTTGTTTTTCTTATTTGTAAAAACAAACTTGAACTCCGATTTTTGTTAAATGTTAAATATTTCAAATAAAAACAAAAATTAGTTGCCTGTGTATTAGTTTTATTGTCAAAATATTTTAAACTCGTAATCAATTTTAATACACACAAAAATCTCGGTTTACCCACTCATCTATTCGGCTATCAGTGCAGTGCTTTACTTGATAAGATACGTGGGTGCAACTGCCGTGAGGTTTTTGAAAACTAAGTTTTTGTGGAAAACAAATTACGGTTTCTTAAGCCTTATACGAGCACGAATTAGCTAGAAAGTGTTATCGTTAAAAGGTGCGGGTGATTAATTAATGTTGAGAGTATTTTTTAAAATTGTACACAGCCGATGAAAATTCTAAAAACGGGCACGGAGCCTATTTCAAAAACAAATATATGTACTGTGCGACGCGTTATATTCGTGTTATAATGTGTTTTGCTTTACTAGCGATTCGAAAACCTTCAACTGATAAAATTATAACATAAATTATCATAACGGCACAGCGCTAAAATTGGCGAATTCTCGTGACGTAATATTTTTTATTTACAATGGCACCGAAGTCCATTTTGAAGCCGAGTCATATAATATCAGGTCACTATATATTAACCCGCTTATTGGCGTCACTTTACCGTATATTATGTATAATATTACCTAACGCCGTACTATTAGGTATTTAAAACATGTGCCTATTCATCGTCAATGAAAATATTTAACGTCAACGATATTACGTAGGTATACCTACTTATTTTAGATTCTGATCGCAGTGAATTTACTAGGTATGATGTGTGTATTTTTCTGTTTTTATTCCGTCAATTAACAACTTTAGATTCTAATCGGAGCGAGGAATTTACTGGTTTTACAATGATGGTTTTCTTTTTCTGTAGACGACTTTTTTACCAGCAATTTTACTCCGATTTTCGAGTATTGCACCTTTTCTGAAACGAAATCTGACTGGGGTGATACTTTAAAGAGGTCATATTTTGATTATTCCAGCTGTTTTCATAATAAATGGAGAAAATTTACGAAATTTATTACGTTTTCAATTTTTGTTTTTCTTTTCTTTTCTTTTGATTCAGTTAAAAATATTTGTAGAGACTTGAAGTTTCGATAGAAAACATAAATTTGCTTTTTCTAGACGTGGTAAAATTTTCAAAACAATGCACATTAACGCTATTTTTGAGCCATTTATAGACATTTTAATTTTACGTAATTTTCGTAATGCACAATAAGTACTCTGGAAAATTTACAGGAGGTTCATTATAAGCCGGACTTTGTGTCAATAAATAAAAAATAAAAGTGTAATATTTAATTTTTTTTTTTACGAGAATTTTAATATCAAAGTTTTGAAACAACACTTATAACCGAACTCTGTTCGGAATCGTTTTTTATTAGCAATGGTTAATCCTTGCGTACATACATTCAATTTTCCCTCTACCTTCCCAACTTGTCACCTACAACAGCAGCCCACCCATCGTGCAAAGTATGTCCGTCTATTCTCTACCTCGCTCCGGTCGAAAAACAGACAAGTGAACTGATTTTTGTAGCGATTTGGATCTCGTCCGTTACGTCGAAGAGGCCATTGTGGCCGATACCTTACCCACTATATATTATACCTATTATTTAATATTTACCGTAATTCTAATCGATAAATTTAACTGATTTAACGTATTTTAGTCATACGACGGCATGATTGAAAAACAATTATTTTTTTTTTACCAGCTGGCACGTCTTGTCCTCCCCTAGCTTTATAACAGCCCGCCCCGGAAATATTTTCTATGTACATCACCGTGGATACGAATAGTCTAATACGAACAGACGTCGTGTGTGCTTTTAATATACGCGTATAGTCTCGAATTTCTCCACTTTCAGCCTGCACTAGCTGTAATTCAGTGGCGGTCGCGTGTGCGGGTAGCCTGGCATTTCCCATTGATAATAATCGTGTTCGGTCGGAATAGGTTTTTAGGCGGCGGGCTGCTACGACACGTTTGTTGCGGCCGAAAACGCAGCTGTCTCTTTCGCACCTATTTCGGTGGCGGCTTAAATTAAGGGACCGCAATTGTCGGCATACCGTATACCCTAGCCATTCCGAATGAGTATTTTTTCTATAATTCCGTTGCCACGTCGTGCGCGGACGGAGACTTGCGGGATCAGCAACAGTATACGTTATTTGTTCTGTGCCCGAATTCAAAAATATCGAGGCCGCTAAATGTCGAAATTCGACCGTTAAAACTTCGGCGCCGATTTACGATAGCAATAATGTAATATTATAATCACATTAATATAACATTATAACATGAATAACAATCGACGGTAACGCGGATTTATTAATCGGCGGCGGCGGCGGCGGCGGCGGCGGCAGTGGCGGCGTGGTGGCGGCCGTCCTCCGGCGGACAAGTGGAAGCGAAACGAGTTTTTTATTATTATTATTATTATTATTATTTTTTTTTTTTTTTTCGGGTATGCGTACAGTAAAAACGGGCGTCCGTCTCCTCCACGAGAACTCCGAGCCGCCGCGCCTCGGACACGTGCGTCTCCGTGCGTCGTCCTCAGCTGTCGGCCGCGTCCCATCCACGGGCACCGTCACAGCGGCGGCGGGAAACCGAACCCTACGCACACTCGAGTTCAGTGCCTACGCGACGGCATTACATATTTCCTCTTGACGCGTGGCTGCGGCGGCGGCGGCGACGGACAGTGGGCCGTCGAGGGGCCAGGGGCGGCGGCGGCGGCCTTAACCTTGACCCGAACGGCTTGCACTCGAATCCAACGTGTGCCGCCGCCGACGCCGCGAAGAAACGGTTTTGACGCATCGTCTAGCGGCGCGCGCCGTACACACACGCGCATGATCTCGCACGCAGCATGTAACGTGCTGCGCCGATGGCCGTTGTTGCAGTCGTCTGCCTCTCTGCCGTATAATAATAATGATAATAACACAAAATCGTCCCCCTGTAAGGGTGTTGTTGTCTGCGACCGTGTCTGCGTCGTCAGCGTATGCCGCGTTGTAATCGTACGGTTATATTATTATTTATATGGTACACAACGTGAATGCCGACGACCCGACGATCGTCTTGATTTATTTTATTTACCATAATATTACCGCCGCCGCCGCGTTTTTTGTATTAATACGACGACGTCCGTATATACGAGGGAAAAAAACGTGATCGGGTTTTTTTTTTTTCTATCGTCGACCGAGTCGGGAAAAAAATACATACTCCGCGCGAGGTCTTCAACCCGACCCGAGACCGAAACGCGCGGGAACGTTACGTGAACGGGAGACCCGGAAACGGTTGAAAATCGTAATGTCGTCGAGCGTATACAAAATACACAATTATATACGTTAATAATATAATATTCGTAACAATATGCACACGCGTATACGTAATAAATTCAAAATCAAGGACGTAGGGAGCCTCGGTGGGAGTGGGTATGGCCTAGAGGGGAACCTATAGGTTAGTAGGCCTTCCCCCCCCCCTCCGTAAATACGCCACTGCTGGCGCCTCGTAGAATAATTCGATTTCGATCAGGATTTTTATTAGTACCTATTTGAAAGAAGACGGCTTTTTTTCATAGGTCGTGTCGAACTCCGATTTCGACACTATTCGAATATTACCAACAACTGCAGCATTGAGCGTCTGAAAAAATTCCGAATTTTCCGACCTTTTTTTTTTTTCATCACAGTATACGGTGTATGTACATACACCGATTGGTACGAAATCGAGGTTCGGCCTGTTTTACTCTTTTAAATGAAAAGAATAATATCGAAACTAACGTTTCAACGTGTAGAAGAAAAGTCTTCAAGGTGGTGATTGAAATGTTAAAGATAATTTTCAAATCCTACAAAATTGGAAAACATCACACTGTGTATTACCGAGACGATCGAATAATAATTGGCAACGTTATATTCAAATGCATGTGATCAATCGTGTTGTCAAAATATTCACCGTAAAAACAACCACGCTCAATCGGTATTAAAACTAATTTTTACCTACAGTAAAAACTGTTGGATCCATTTTTCCAAATTTTCTCCAGTTATATGGAATAATTTTTAACGACTTAACCTACCTACCTACCTTACCTAACCTAACCTAACCTTGGCACCTTAAAGATGAAACGGTTTTTACACTAATCTATTGCCTAATCTACGGGTCAATACCCAATAAATTATAGGGATACAATCGTTTTTATATAGACCAAAATTATTCTGTGGAAGAATATCTCCCATCTCGTAATAAAACACTCAGATTTTAAATAATTTACAATCTAAATGAAAAATGTGTTGATTTTACCAAAATGTGTGCTTTTTTTCTGTCTGTGAGCTACGTTTTTACCGAAATCTTGGCCCAATCAAAATATTATAAATGATCTTTTTTGTTGCATTTTGGATATAGTTAGAATATTTTGACTGATTATTTTTTGATTTTCCAAGTGGTTTTCCTAATAATTAGGAAAAACTGGAAAAAACATATAAGAAAAAAAACCTTACTAAAAAATAATATTATATTTTTTCGAAGATAAAAACGTTGACAATGTTAGACTGACTTTATGATGGACTAAAATAAAAATATGGCACGTGCACTATTAAACAATCACTTCGTTAGGGAAAATCGCCTATATTGGACTATTTTTTTACATTTTGTATTTTGTTGAATTGGTCTTAATTATTGTGTAAACATGAATAAATATGAATATTATTGATGAAAATTTGAATTAAAATAATACTTAAACGTGCAAACTACAATTCGGCATAATTATAGTTTTAATATGCCGTTTTTTTTTTATTTTTTAAACAAAATATAAAAAATGACCAGTTTCTTAATGTAAAACATGTGAACTTATATACTCGTGCGTTTGTAAAAAGTAGTTTTACATAACAAAACGCCAGTTTAACATAGGCGGATCTGCACTATATTATTCACTAGTGGAAACTTCAAGGGAGAATATCTTTGAAACAGCAACGTTACTATCAGAACGCTCTAATATAATATTACCTACGTCGAAATTGATTGTTTATGAGTGCACGTGACATATTTTTTTTTAGCCTATAATTTGGACCACAATTCATAAATTGTGATTATGTCAACATTTTTATTTTCAAGAGATTGTTTACTTTTTAGTACGATTTGTTTAAGATAAGAGTTTTTAGAAATAACGGTTTCACTGTGCTATTCAATTTTATTCTTTTGTTGTAATTCTGTTAAAAATAATATTGTACAGATCAAACATTTTCATAGGCTACTTATATTAACATTTTTTAAACATAGTATATTTTGGCAATTTTTGAGATATTTATAGATATTTTATGTATTTTTTTTTTAATTTTCATTTAGTAGATATTATATGGATAAAATTGTTTTGACAAAACATGTATGCTTGAAAATTTAACACGAGGTTCATTATAAGTTGTATTTAATGATCAAAATAAAAGTTAAACATAATGTAAAAAAGTTTTTTTTATAAGCGTTTTAAGATCAATAATTTCGATGAAAATAGTAACAATTCTGGCATTTCGAAATATGTAGAACGGAACTTCGCTTAGAATCGTTTTTCATTAGCGATGGTTTATTACAACATACAGATATAAATTAAATAACTTTATGTATCCTTCATCTCAACTACTCGCCTACAATAGTCATACACTCGTCTCCAGTATCTTTTTTTATTATTTTTCATTTGAAAAAGCAAATCTACATACAATACTGATCGTATTTAACTCTGCGAAAATGTTTAATTTTACAGACGCTCAATAGAATTTATAATAATTGAATTTTGAAAATCGGGATTCAATGATACCTACAAAATGTCGTCCTCTTTCAATTGAAATTAACCTCCTCCCTCCCATATCAAAATCTAACGAGACATGATAGATTTTTCCATGAGGCATGATTTTGTACAAAATATACGATAGCCTTAACTGTCGTCACATGCAGCTCCTTAGGTACAATGTAATACTGATGATAGGTGTGCAACTGTAGATGAGACGTTTAAATGTAAGATAGCTAAAGTTATTAAATTTATATTTGTATGCAACGATAAATCATTCTGAGCACAGTTCGGTTAAACATGTTTTGAAGTGCCATAGTCTGTACTATTCTCGTAAAAATCTGTACTTAAAATGCTTATAAAAAAGAATTACTACATTGCACTCAACTTATTTTTTTTTAGTATCAAAAATAACTTGTGATGAATCTCGTATTAAATTTTCGAACATTTTGATATAACCAAAAATTTATATCCACGTTAATCGAATAACTGTACACTAAATTACGTCAAACGTCTAAAATAGCTCAATGTTTAGAAAATTTGACAGCTCTAATATGAATATTCTATGCAAATTATAAGTCTCTATACGATTTTTTTCATCCTAGTTACAACCGAAAAAAAAATTCGAACATTGAAACCGTCTTTTCCGTCTTGTGTATGCTTTTTCCCAATTGCTAAGAAAACTACTCGGAAAATCAAAAATTAACATCCATAATACACCAAATAGATCTTAATTTCTACAAAAAATGTATATCGTCGTCTTCCGATTAGGCGCAATATTTCTGGTAGAAATGTTTTAATCCCCACGCATCATAGTAAAACCAACACACTCCATGCAACACTCAAAATCTAAAATATAATATTCAACGACGATGTGGGTCTTTAAATAATATATGAATTTTTTTTTTCTTTATTGTTGTTTGTATATATTTAAACGGGAATTTTTTTTTTAATATTAATAATAGTATATATATACAAGTATAAATAGGGGAATAATATTATAATGTTAACATTATCGAGTGATGATTTTGTATTACATTGATAAAGCATCCCGTCAACAAAATATAATATAATGGATTTACCTGTATAAATTATAATGTGTTACATTATTCACGTTTTATAAGTTGAATATATTATGTACCTAATAGTAATATTATAAATTGTATTTTGATTTTATAGACCCTAAAAGAACAAAAATAAAAAAAGATGTGTACGTTCAAAAATTACAATATTATGTACATACACACGACTATTATTATTAAACGAGTATTTTTTTACACGTATTTGATAAGGTACGCGTGATTTCTTGTATACCCGAAAACGCATAATAACTCGATTAGATTATTAAGTTTGTACTCGGCTTAGTCATATTATGATAATGTATATTATACCTATTATTTATTATGTGTACGTTAAAAACTCAAAATATATTTCATTCGGATATAATATAATAAATTGTGACAATCGATTCGGATAACAATGTATTGTATACAATAACACAATTCGTTTTGTAATAAATAATATATAGATATTCGACGTTTTGTATAAATTCACTGTGGAAGTTTAAAAATATTTTAATCCGGTGTTATGTATATTATATAGAGACAATCCTTATAAATCGGCTAACCGGTCCGAGACAGCGACAACTCAACAAAAAAAAAAAAAAAAAAATCAAAAATGTATTATTACATCGTTTTTTCTCGTTTTCAAAACGATTTCAATTCAAGAACGCAATGGAAATTCGTTAAATTATAAAGCACTCTTATTTCGTTTGGAACAAACATATTGTTTTGACTTAATATATTATCCAGTTAATTTTTTTATTTTATCTGCGAACGACTTTTTTACCAGAAATCTTGCTCCCACCCGTTGTGCGAAGTAAATTCCGTCTTCTAAATGAGTGACGAACTACGGCCAAATTTCAAAATTTAACATTCACATTAAAATAAGATAAATGTAATATTTATATTTCACTTTAAATAATTAAATATATCACTGTACCTATATTAATTTGTACCGACAATAAAATATAATATTCTCTATAAACTTAAAATTTAAAGTTTAAATTTTTGACCAACCCAAAATTATTATTTTATTTTATGGCCCTCTGTAAAAAAAAAAAAATTGTCACCACTGTTTTAAATCATTTCTCCGCAAAAAAATTCCTTTTTTTGTATTATTGCAGTCATAATTTGGATAGTTAATATTATCTTTATCTAATTTTTTTTTCTTTCAACACTACGTTTGTGTTAAAATTATTTTTTTTTTTTTTTAAATTCTAAAAAAGTCTAAAATTCAAGTTTGGACCCGAATATAGAAATTTAAAATTCAAAATTCGGTTCCAAACGAAATGTTATTGTTCAAAATATATTTAAGGGAGATTTTAAGTGTCCATTATTATTAGGTCAACCATTAGACATCTATACCATAAATGAAGATTTCGCTTAATGCACGTCCGCTAGAAAATAAACGATAGTAAACGAATGAATTAGTCGAATTTGTAACAAAACATTATATTCTATATAATATAGGAAATACTACAGCTGACGATAGGGGGGGGGAAGTTAACTGGAAAAAGTTCAAAAGTTAATGGGAATGTTTGATCCGTTTTTAGGGATCGCGGAAATGAATCCACAGTAGTGGATATTCGCTAAAAATTTCCCTCCCGCCCCTTCTAACTAACCGCCTGTCGCCTCTGATAATAATATATCCGTTAATCAAAATAAAAACCGAAATTGTATTTATCTTCCTCATCGACAGGAACCACTTTTGAGATTATTGAAAATCTACTCTCATCATGATTTTCATGAAATTTCGAGGGGATATTTGAACCCCTTTACCCTCCACCCTCCTTCCTTGTACACGCTCCTGATAATGACTGTACATATTATATTAGGATATTAGGCATATTATAGGTGTTCTGATTCGTTTTAACTCACCGTGAGGATCTAAGCAACAGCAAGCGTCGTGCAACAGTTTGTCGGAACAGTAGCTGTACACGCTCGAATCGCAATACGGACAACCGTTCGGTCGTCGTTTCATGTTCAACCTTCCGTTTTCCGGTCCGTCGGTCGGTTCGTCGTGGTTTTCTCCTGCGCCCGCTTCCGGCACTTCAGCCACTTCGGCCGCCTCCACGGAAACCGACTGGGCTTCTTCCACTTCGTTCACCGGCATTTTATTATCTGACGGCAAACAACGGTTTTATTAAACACGATTTTTAAACCGTGGATATAAAAATGTATAATAACTCGCATAAATATATATAACACGCGAAAAATAAGAAATTTATAAAAAAAAAGAAGAAAAAAAAAGGCCACGGTGTTTTTTACATCGTCTGCGCTCTTCGTACAACTGATACCGCTCTATAAGCCACTGTTGTATTAAAGTTGACGAAAAGTCGGAAAGGTTATAAAATAGTTGAATTTATAATATCTGTACTGATAAATTATTACTAGCGAAAAACGATACTCGATTGATCGTGAATCGACAAACATTATAATATATTGAAAACTATATGTCCATTAGTAAATATTGTAACTACAATGTAAATCACAATTGTTCGTGTTTTTCGGCTCAAATATTTAAACATTTTAAATAAATTCATCCACACGTATCGAAAAAATAATAATAAGCGAAGTGTCGTAATTTGTACGATTATTTTCATAATTTGAATATATTAATAGCGCTATTAGAAGAACTTTTAATGAAGGTTGTATCAAATTGTCAAGCAATTTTTAAAAACCAAAAAAATTGAATATACATAAAACCAATTAAAAACTAAAAAAACTCGAAAATTCAAAACGGTTAGGTATAGGTAGCCGGATAATCAACAAAATGTTTGAAAATATTACTAAGGGCTAATGTAAGTATCTGTGAACATTTCAGATTCATAAAGTTGTTTTTGGTTTTGAAAAAATACATAGTTTTTGCGTACATTTTTTCCGTTTTTCAGCAATCATTAAGTATACCACCACTAAAATTGATGATTAGAGCATGATTTCTGGCAGATAAATTATTATCTACCTGTTATTTTTACGAGTATTTCGGAAATGTATATGTTTAAAAGTATAAAGAACTATATACAGTGCTTAAATTGGAGGCACGCAACGGGACGAAACTCCTCTACTATTTTTATTTATTTATTTTTTTTTTTTTTTAGAGTCGTTTTACTAATCATTTCTAATGGGGGGACAGTACGTCTCTAAGTAAATAATGTCATTTAAAAATATATTTATTGCTCTTTCGTCAACTCTATAAATTATAATATGAAGTTTTTTTTTTTTCAGAATTTATTCGTCCTATAACCAATTATTATCTTTTTTTTTTTTGTATTGCACGTGTACGACCTTGTATGATAAAATTAGTGATAACTGATAAGTACGATTAACGGTAGCCGAACTATAGCTGACTGCTTACGATTATTCGATGCATAAAATTGTACCTACCTAATTATGTAACCCTATTACTTAATTATTAATTAGGACTGTTAATCGAAAATATTTACAAATTTTGTCTCTTGAAATCTATAATTTTTTTATTCTATGGGTTATGTTATATGTAATGACTTGTGGAATTTTTTTTTTTAAATTAATGCAGAAAATATGGATTTCGAAGCTCCCACGGGTTAGGTGGAAGTCGATTATTGCAAGGAACGCTACATTTTTATGATTCATAGTCCATTTCTTTTATTTTTCCAATTCAAGCACTGAATATATACAAGTTTTAGATTACCGTTCCGTTTAAATAATTATTCATTAAGATTAATTAAATCTATTATCGATATTTTAACTTCTTACACAGTTATAGTATAACATTTTGAAAATTAATATTTTACAATTTTACAAAAAAAAAAAAAAATAATGTGACATAAGAACAGAAAGACTGCAGTATTTTTAACAATAAAAATAAAATATTACTCTGTCACTTACGTGAATGCAATAAAAAAAACTGTAGGGAAGAAAACGAATTTGAATTGGATGTATTATTTTATTTTACCTACTTTTATCTGAGTTGAAACCAAAATTATAGTAAACCACTGAATTTTTTGGAAGGTTTATTTTGATATTAAATAATTTGAAATAAAATCACCCGTTTAATATAAGCGGTAATTTAAATGTATTTCTTTTGAAAATATAAATACACCGTTTTTAATACCGTGATAATTCGTTTCAAAATCATTTCTAAATCCTTTATTTTTCAAAGTGGTATAACTAATATATACTATAATTAGTGCTGTCAATACCAATTTCGTCCGCTTTTCTATATAATTATATGCGCGATTTAGACCCTCGTGCCGGCCTGATCATAATTCCACTACGTACCTTTTGACCGCATCTAATTCTACAGAATGTCGGCCATTTTTGCAAAAATCTTTAAATCGATGAATAAATCTAGTGAAACATTAAAAGTTGTCGAAAAAAATATTGGTATACTGTACCAATAAATATTGTAGTCTACTAGTCTATACTGAAAACGGTACAATCACTAGGAATAAAACGTCTAATGCCATTCGATTTAAAACGTATGATAATTCACGCAGTTAAATGGCAATCGAATAATGTAATGATATTTCCGACGGCGGCGCGGCTCTGCGTTAACGCTTTCGTCGAACGCCCCAGCGGGCGCCTCAGCGTGCCGTTATAATATTATAACACACAGACGTCAACTAAATTGCATACTCGTCACGCCTAAAAACGTATTTGTTCGTATTACGTGTCGGCATCGACAATATTCGTCAAGAGTTAACGGCGACGTTGTAAACACAACAAGCGTCCGTTCGGACGGCGAGGGGGTGGGGAGGATGTAATTTACCCTTCCACCGGCTTTTCCGTCGCTAATTTTTGTGAACTGAAGTTGCGGGTGGGTACTTGTGGCCGGTACGGTGTATTAAAGCCGATTAACAATGATTTATTTTTACCGATCTTCAACGTATCCACATCGTTTTTTATTCACGGTGCGTTATTTATAAAGTATATACATTTAACTAAAATCGATTTTATGTAATTGTTCTTTCGTTTATGTATTTACCTAGCGTCACGACCTGATTTCATCCGCTGAAAAACCGATGACTAAAAACCCACTCGAATCAGCTTTCTTTTTTCTTTTTTTTTTTCTATAAACCGTTTACTAAAAAACTGTAAGAATCCGATTTGACTATACACTCGATAATTATTGTATACTGGTTATTTATAGATATTTTTTTTTCTTTTCGTCGTTATAAGAGGTGACGTTGCAAGACATTTTTTACTGGATATGCCCGATATGTTTGATTGGAAAACACTAATAATAGAAATTTTATATTTTACATTTTTCTTAAAACCGTTGATTTTTCAAGCCTTTGTTTCACGGAACAATTTAAAAATACTAGACCCAGATAAAAAATAACAATTTAATAGATTATTATTTATTGATCATTAATTTTCAGTGAAAAGTTAGTAGACCCTGGCCTATGATGCTTATTCGTTAGTTCCACCACTGTAATTTGTATAATTGAAATACAAAAGACTCTAGTAATTTATATATTGAGTGAATTTTCATTTATTCGGGGGCAGAAATTATTGAACGATCCTGCAAATTTTCACGTTTTTCGTCTACTGTCTTGGATTTTAAACCGACATCACGATATGAATTTATAATAGTTTTAGATTCTGAGTGTAGAAAAGAATGTATTGGTTTTACAAAGATGTATAATTTTTTTTTTTATGTGAACACTTTTTCTACTAGAAAGCTTACTTCGTTGTTTTTTATGTAGACCTTTTTCTAGGTGGAAATTTTCTTGGGGTGGTATTTTAGAGAGGTCATTTTTCGATTTTTCCAGTTTTATCTCAACAAATGTGAAAACTTGGGGGAAAACACGGGAAAACCGGAAAAAACGGAAAAATCAGTACAATATAAAACAAATATTATTACTGAAAATGAATAATGCCTATTTAATTATTTTACTATAATATAAAATATATTATACATTATTGATAAAGCCTCACTATCAACTGAACTCCGCTCAAAATCATTTTTTCGTAAGCAATGGTTTATCGTTGTATACAGATATGCATTCAAATCTCTTTTGTGTCCTAACTTCACAACTTTTCACCAACAACAGTGGCTGCACCCATCGTGCAAAGTATGTCTGTTTTTTTTAACTTGGAATAACAACGATATTTCTTTGTGAGATTATAAATTGTTTAATATTATGATATTGTTGTCAATCGGGAAAACACACGTATCACATTATTAACATATCATCAACACGTATAACACATGTATCCATATCTTATTTTATGATTGTTGGAGATTTCAGTAAAATAAATTAATTCTAATTTATTGATCAATTATTACTGCAGTATGCTAGATATTCGTTAAGTTGTACAAAATGTTCGCATTATAAATTCGTAACAGCTGGCGAAAGACTCGTAAACATTCCTTGTACATCCGCGTAGCACAATATAAATTTGTATTTTAAAAAATCGATCGAGGTCAAAATATATTACTTTTTATAAATAATATTATTTATAAGAAAGTTTACGCAGATGGCTAATTTAATTTATTCAAAAAATGACCTTAAAAACGCATTTCAGAAGAGTGAACAGAATATATTTGACTTTCACCCATCATTAATATAATATTTACGGGTATAGTTTATCATCTAGTTTTAAAGTATACAATATTATTTATACATGAGTAATAAACAAAAATATATATTATATCGGGACATTGTAAAGTATTTTGGAATAATTTTAAATAGTTAGGTTATTAAGTGATATTAATTTTAAATTAAAATACACTAAATTATAACTTAAGCCCAGTAATTATAAATCGGATAGATACTCAATAGACATACAATTTAGGAATATTATATTAATAATAAGCATACCTACACCCGAAAAAAATATATAGCATTTGCATATTTCTTTCTTTTTTTTAAAAAAAAAAAAGTAGCATAAAAATAAAAATATATGCATGATATATAAATCTAAATCCTAAATTTTATTTCGTAAATTAATTGCGTATTTTACAGTTTTTGCTTTTTATAGTATATTTTTAGCAGTACCTATATTGCTTTTAAGTATGCCGTGTCATAGACACGCATTTTTCGATTTACATTTCACAAATTCATACGCACTGGTATACGATAGCACGGTCAAATAGACTATCGTAAGTTAATAGTAATAGTTAATGTATGGTAATTTGATTTATATTTTAGGCCTACGAACAAACATTGAGTTAGTTTGATCAATAACTCTCAAATCAACCATCTTAAAACACAAAGTCTTTATGTAAATACAATTATCCATAATAAAAAAATATTTATAATAAATTAGTTATACGTCAAGTTTTCAGTGTATAATTCCAATAGAAACAAAATATCTTAAGAGCAAATTCTAGCATATATTTGATTGTTTTTAAAACATATGTACATGTTTTTTAGAGTTAAAAAATCTCTAAGCCTAAATATAACTAACTCGCTGTTCGGTAATATGATTTATATTACGTAGACTAATATCGAATGTTTTTGAATATAGTTGAATAAATATCCGCGGGATCAAAATGATCCGAAATCCCATTTAGAATGTACCCAACTATACCTATAGGTATATAATTTAAATCACAATAGTTTTCTTAAAAACCAAAAATAAAACAACTAAAACGAATGTTCAATAATTCGGTCGTTTTTTTTTTTATATATTATATATTTTATATTTCTGTATTTCTTATATAGAGAAATAGTATTATAACAATATAATGACAAATTAAAACATATTTATTTTTTCAGGACGATGATTATAATTCAAATTTAATTTTTAGTATGGTAAAAAATATATTCCTATATATTCCTAAATATATTCTCTATGTATGGTAATTTTGTTAGCTGCAACCCTTCAAAACTTAACAAATCGATCGTCAATTTTTTCGGAAGCACTGAAATGTTTCCTGTGCCTCAATTTATAATGTTGAATTTTAAACATGACCTGTACAATTCAGAATATCAAAAAAAAATTCGAATTTTAATCCGATAATATTTGTATACTCGTAAACCGTAACAATATTCGTTGGTTTTCACTTACTTTGATGAACGCCCGAAGATCTGGTGGACGTGAAACCGATACAGGTGTACTGCAGTACGTGGACCATCAACAGGAATTTGACTAACAATAATTCACTATTGTTTGCCATTTCGTTAAACGGTATACGACTACGTATGCGCGTGTATACGTATTGTGTGTTTGTATATGTGCGACGTATATTTTGTGTCTATACGTATTATTATTATAATTCCGTACGTATTATCCCGTAAAAATCAAACGGACATTCGATCGCGGACGTTAGTAACAATAATAAAAAACGCAAAAATCACCGCTGTCGTGTAATGATATATCGTTGGGCGGCCGGGAAAGCGGTACACCGTCCGGATTTATTTTTTCAATTTTTCTATTTTTCCTCGATCGCAAATATCAATATTGGTAGTTGAAAAAAATAATAATAATAAAAAATTACGAAACGCGATTTACGCTTTACGCGATATTTTATAATATTTATATACTATTATGTTACGCCACGGTCAGTCCAAACCGAACAACTGCTCCGCCGCAGCCTCCGCCACGTGCATATAAGTCGGATGGAAGTCGCCGGCGGTTTTCTTTCGCCGCGGCGGCCGAGATCGGCCGCCCGCAGCAGCTCTCTTTCCCACCACGGCCATATTATTATCATTATTATTATGATGATTATTATGATTATTATTATTATTATTATTATTATAGGAGGCTGTGGATATTATGGTCGGAGTGGATACGCGGCCGATTTAATTACAAGACCAAAAACACTTTCATTCCGTATATACCTACCACCTCTATAGATACCTATTATTATTATTGTAATATATAGGTATACAAAATAAACCGCGAACCAAACAACGTTTCCGGAACTGCAGCAGACGGACGATTGATAATATATATAATAATATAGGTAGGCAGTGATAGTATAGTGATAGCATTATATACGTATATATATGTATCATTGTAAAAGTGTTCCGGTTCAGCTGAGTTTGCGCGGCGCGCACATCATGTAACTACAACGACGGCGATAATATTATTGTATACGAGTGCGTGAAGAAAAAAAAAATCCGCGGCGTTTTCGTATTACCCTTTCAACGGAAACTAATTGAAAAATAATAAAAACGTAACAGTATTTGTGTACCTGCAGTTATAATAGCCAACGGGTACAACACTATACACTGTACAGTATATTATATTTTGTACTACAGTGGCGTAGCAAACTCTTAGTTAAGAGGCGATCGTCTCTGAAATTTCTGGATAGGAAGGTGTCTTTATTGTTAAGTATCTTATTATATACTTAACTTATAGTTAGGTATCTTATTAATAACTTGAGTACTTTAAACTTTAATTTTTTTATTAATATTACCTAAAGATTAAATTATGTTATAAAAAGCTAACATTTTACTTAAATGTGATGTAAAAAGAAAAATTACATAGATTTTTAATATAAGCATAATATAGAGCCAAAAGTTTTAGGGGGCCAAAACAATTTATGATAGAAAATGGGACGTGAACATTTTACACATTTTCGGGAGATTGATGAGTGGATGGATTCAGAAAGGGAATAAGTCTCAAGTTCTACCTTATTTGTACTTAAGATGTTTAAAAAAAAAAAATCAAGAATGAAATCTTTTTTTAGCTGTTGAATAAGGTAGAGTGGTTGGTCCAACAAAATATTTGCCTCTCAGAAAGTTCTATTTTGCCACACCACTAAATTATACAACGTGTGTATCACTCGAATGGTTTATCTGTCTATACCTATTATTTCAGGTAAGGTCGAATATTTCACTTATTTTAGTCGAACTGCATTCGGATCGAAAATGAGTAATGCACTAGGGCCTAGAAAGGTTTTCAGCGATAAAACAAACACAATTTAGCACCGCTACTATATCCACTATGGATAGTTATTGTTATAAAACTTTAATAATTTGATTTTCTCATTAAAAACAAAAAATGTGTTTTTAATGGTTAACATTTGTATTCTAATTCTAACAATTTTGGAATTTATGACTTACAATATGAATAAGACCAAGATATTATTAAGAGAAAAAATTAAAAACTAAATTAAAACATTATTAATAATTTATTATAAACTTGTTTTAATATTTTTAACACCATATTTAACTTCGAATAATTTTCATTGTTATATTTGCGCCTTGTATTTAGGATCTTTAGGCAACCCTATGACATCGTGGGGTATACTTTGGTTACAATTCCATCCTTTATAATTGTCATTTATAATATTTTGTTTGCCTTGATAACGGGATAATGAAAAATATTAATTTATGTTGTATATTATTAATATTATTACAGATAAAAGTACGGATACTGAGAAACATCAAATGTGGAATAAGTAACTATATTAAACATAAAATAGATATAACAATAAGATAATAATTTCTGATCGCCACGTATTAAGTGGCTGTATACATCGGGAATGTTATTGCATGGATTGATAAAAACCAATGGTTACCAGTCTGACATACAGCTCACTTTACTTGCCAACTCGTGTGAGAACTCATGTTGGATTTTCAATCGAAAATAAACCCTGTTTTTTTGTACGATAGGTAGCAAAGGAAAAAGTACGAAGTAAAAACGTCTTCTGTACATAGGAAAAGAAATATTTTAAAAAACTAATGACTATTATAAGAGGCTGTCAAATTAGGTGGGGTAAGAGGGATTTATCCTTCCCCCAGTAAGTTATTTTTTTTAAACACGTATAACAATAAACAGGGTGGTTTAAGCATGCTCACGCCATTTATATACTTAAATTATACATGAATTCAAATTCTGATATCTATTTGAAATTTTTAAGTATAGTGAAAGACGATATTTTCGAATACTTAGAGTTTTACAACACTTAAAGAGTATTCTCTAGCAATACCAAATTCGGTTTTTCAAATGAGAGTCTACATGTTTTAATGGAAATTCGGAAATCAATCAGATGATCTTTCTGGAAATGTTAATGTATATTTTAATCGAAATTTAAACGAAAAAATTCTGAGTTATTATGTTTAAATAGGTACTAATAGGATAATAACTGCACAATTCAAATAAGAAATGATCTATAACATATATTGATATATGAAATATTTATGTGAATTTATGTTACTTATATGTCAAGTTTAGTATATTATAAGAATTAAGAAGAGATGTATTTGATCGTCTAGCTATAATATTGTATGCTTTTATTTACAAGATGGCCGATTTCAGCTTCACGACAATAGTATTATTATCTTCGGATTGCTTATTTGCTTCGACCGGCAATTCTGCTGCACAGATTTGAAAGAACGTTTGTAATTCAGCGCAAATTATATAGGTACCTACCTACCTACCTGCAGTTTATTTTATTATTAATTTCCCTTCTTTTTCCACTATACGTTTCTCGATTAGGTAATTTCTCTTTAATTCGAAATGGTTGAATAAGATTTATTTGATTTTTTTTGTATATTTATTTCTTTTAAAGAAATGCATAAGCAATTGTAGATATTACCATAAACACAAATTTTCTTTAGTTATGATTAAAATTCAATAGACATACACACATTCATATAATAAGTAATAAATAAATAAATAAATAAATAACAAGCAACTTTTCAATGAATTAATCGAATATTATATTAATATACCTAATTCAATGAATAAAATCTATAAAAAACAAAATTCACTTTTGGCACGGAAACTTGATAGGTATTAAAATGTGACGTTATCATAAGCATAACCATATTTTAAATTACAGCTACAATAATTTTAACCACAACCTTCCAAAAAAAGGTAGGTTGTTTAATTTATTCTGCAGTATACTCCTATAACTAGGTATATATAGGTACACATTGGCTTGCTCAGGAATTTTCAATGGGAGAGGATGTAATGAATAAAAATCGTAAAATCGTCTTCTGTATACCTGATTTGACTATAGGAATTAGTAATTTAAAATCCGGATCCTAAAAAAAACAATTTTTAATCAAGCTTTTCCTCGTAACTTTGCTGAAATATATACATTTCTCGATATTGAATTACTCATATTTTTTATATTTTTAAACGGAGGGAGAGGGGGTATAACTGCTAACCGAGAATTTTCCCGTCAAGACAAAATCCTGAAAAAAAAAAAAACAAACAAATCAAATGGACATTTTAATATATTTTTTTTTTAATTTTATATTTTATAAAATGGGTCTAATATACGATAAGATATGAGTATATGACAACAATAACTTTTGTTCAGGCGCAGGATGGGTTACCGATAGCTTAGTTCCGCATATACATTGCAACTTGTATTAATATTAGTAATAGCTAACTCAGTAGTGGCATCATTGGCAAGCACACACTTGACGAGTATGCAACGTGTGTTTACAACGAAAGGTTTATGACAAAACCATTTTTTTTAAATTTGTATATTAGTGTTTGGAAAAATCCGAAATTGTTCAATAATTTGGATTTTCAGATATATTATTATTATAATACAACTTAGTTCAAATTTAATAATAGATATTTGAAAACAAATATATATATATTATACGCCCAAAAAAACTTTTACAAGATCAAAATATTTTTAAAAAAAATACGTTTACTTTGTAGTTTAGTACGTCCGCTTTATTTGTTTTTGGCAAAACGATGGATCTATTGATTTTACTATGGATGTGTGCATTTATTTATTAATTATTTTTTTTTTTTTTTTTTGCGGGATTTCATCTATGCGAGATTTTATCCGGCGAAATTTTGACGACGGGATTTTGTCCGGATACCCTCTAACCTTCCCCTCTTTCACACAGTATATATATATACCTACTATATTTAGTATAACATACGAGGTAAATACATGATCTTCTTTGGCTTTACTTTCTTCATAAATTTTAATCACTGTTCTCCAATCGTTCTACCATCCTGGATTCTATCTTCCAGTTCAACATATTATTTATTACATATTACTTTGTTTAGAATCAAGAAATTAAAAATTAAATAGTTCAAGTTCAAAAAAATACAATTTAACTAGATCAAGCTCAAGTTCCAGACATTAAATAAGAACTAGTTTAAGCTCATAAAATTGAAATAAGAGTAAATTATTTATGTATAATAATGGCATTTATTCAATAACCGTTTATTAAATATAGTAAGTTTAAAAATGCATAAAACAATTTGTTTATTATATTTATAAAATAAATATTTAACATACATTTTTTACTTAAGGCACCCATTGCCAATGTTGGATTGCCCACAAAAATACACTCTACAAAAATAGTGATACTGTTCAGTAGAATCAACCAGATTTAATTTTTTTTTTTTTCTATTAATAAAGGGAAACATTCTAGAGACCGTACTGAACTCCATTTTTTTAATATTTTAATTTCAAAATATACACATAATGAATCTTTAAAAAAAAGTGAATTTTAAGCTTTTTGCCATTTTTTTTTTTTACTTTATTTGAAATCAGATTTAAAAAATCAGAGTTCAATGTGACATGTAAAATGTTGCAGTTTATCAATAAAAAAATAGTTTATGGAAATAATGAATTGCAATTGCGTTATCACTATTACCGCGAAGTCATTTTCGTTACTAAAAACAACCCCAGCACTTCCCCTTAAATGGATATCGGGTACTAGATATGTAGAAAAATATTATCTTTAAGGTAGTAATTGAAATGTTAAAAATTTTTTTTTTTTAAATTGGAGAAAATTTGAAAAACTGGCATGAGGCGTAGATGCAAAATTTTCAGAATTTAAACATTTATTCAAAAATATATTTGTTCACATGAAATCACCACTAACTTTTAACCATTATCTTATAAACTAATAAATAAAGAGTGGTTTTTTTTAATTTTTAAAAGTTTAAAATATGATGCTAATGCATTATAAAATAAACCTTACATTATTCTTTTAATATTATCAATTAAAAATGTAAAAATATGTTAAAACTTTAAAATTCTCTTTTTTCAATTGAGACACTATTATTAAATTATTGTATTTAAATGTGATACATGTAATACACACTTGAGAAATAGGGAATAACTAAAATTGAGTTGAAAATTACTGCAACAAAATTACTTTTTCAATAGTTAGATTATATTTTATTATAAATAATTTATTGTAAGTAATTTAAGTTGCTTTTTTGTAATAAAATTCTAAATTACTCAGTACTGTTATTTTTGTTGTTTTACTTATATAATCAGAGGGGGATCTAAGGAGGTCACAGTGTACGTGCCCCCATTACTTAAATATTTTTTTTTATTATTGCAAAATTATTATGTGTTAACAATTTCATATTATTGGTTATCATTATTAGTTAATGTATTGTACTATTGCCATATGATCATATTAACATCATAATTATTCTCTCCATCATATTTTTCAGAAAAATGTAACTTTTATTGTAATTAAATTACATACTTTTTCAACTCAAAAGTAATGTAACTTGACCAAATAAAAAAAATAACTTAAAACTATTTTGGTTACAATTTTGAAAAGTAATTGGTAATATATTTTAATTACCATAAAAAAGGAACTTCTCCAACACTGGTAATACATATGTTTACTCAAATAAAGTATCTATAAATAATATAGTTTATGTAACAAAAAATTATCAAACTGACAAATTGAAAGAAAAGTTAACAAAGAAAGAAATTATAATTGCATACAATTCTTAATACCTAACTAACAAATTGTCAAATTATAATCTATAATGAAAATTAAAAACTAAAATAATTAGAAAGATTTGTATGTTAAAAATCCGGAAATATGATTCTAATATTTACAAGTATGCAAAAGAAAATGCCTCAATGTTGAATGAATCTTCCACCATTTATTTTTTTTTTCATAAAACTACATTTACTCAGCAATGATTTATAAAATCATACAAATCCAGACTTTAATTATAACCATGTCATGTTTTAAAGTTACCAAACTATATAAATAAAGATAAAATTATAATAAGGCACTAGAATATAATGTGTCAACATTGCTATTTAAGTCCATATTATAGTGCAACGGAAATTATAATTTCATGTTTTAAGACAATTAGATCACTATCTACTTTAGTGTTTCCCAAATTTTTAGATTCTAAGTGGAGTGAAGAAACTTATGGTTTTAATAATGATAGTTTTTTTTTTCTGTGGATAACTTTTCTATCTAAAATTTTGCCCAATTTACCATGATAACACCCATTTTGAAAAAAAATCTGACTGGCCATGTACTGTAGGGGGTTATTTTTTGATTTTTTTAAAAAATTTTTCCCAATAAATGGAGAAAACAGGGAAAATAGATACAATATTAAACAAATATTATTAAAGAAAATAAATAATGACTATATAATTTTACCATAATATAACATAAATATTGTCAACAAAGCAACACTATCAAATGAACTTCGCTCAAAATCGTTTTTTGTTAACAGTGATTTATCGTTAATTACAGATATATATATTTCTCCTCTACTACCTTCCCAACTTCTCATCCACAACATTGGCCCACCCACGTGGTAGGTATTTCCGTCTTTTTTTATTACATACCTCCTTATAGATTTTCAAAATTTTCATGCCTCCCTCTATGAATTAAATTTAAAGTATAAGATAAATTATTTTTAATTTAAGATATTGTAAATTTTCAAATTTTATATTTCATTCTTACAATTCATCATCACTATATTACCTTTCCCTCCTCTAAATTACAATACCTAAATTTCTCCCTAGGATTGAATTCCCTTCCCCCCCCCCAAAAAAATTAATTTTAATTTCAATTAAATAAATACATAAATTACTGTATAACCTACTATTATGATAAATATTTTAAAAAGCCATAGGATTTCAACGCCATATCTTACCCCTGGCTGAAACCATAAATAATAAAACAATTTTATTTGTAACCAACAATATTGAGATGTAATAACTGATAAGATATATTCTACTAGATATATTCTATTGTCCTAATGACAAAACAAGTCATTGTAATATTGTCATCAACTCTACTTTATAACAATACATAACAATTGAAAATTACTGATATTACCATCAAAAAAACAAAATACATAAATTATGAAATCAGAAATATTTGTTATACCAGAAGTTTTAAAAATATAGTACCTATTTAGTATTTAACATGGTGTGTATTGTCAATAACAAAATTGAAAATAGGTAAATACTTATTTCGATTGAGTTTTGAACAAATGTATAGATATAAATAAATACCTACTAAACACTGACAGGTATATAATTGCATTATTTTAACTAAAGGGTTTTGTGCAATAACTAGATAGCTCTAGCCATTTATTAACATAAACATAACATCAGTTCCCACTCATAATTTTTTCATTCAATTCCTGGTGCATATAATTCTTATTATTAATACTTATTTAAAGTTATCTTCTGTTTCAAATTTCATATTGCTAACCAAGAGGTTGTTTGTGTTTTGATTGTTTCTCGACATCCTCAAGTATTATATTTTATTTTAATTTATACATAGTCCCATTAACATGCTTGCTTTACATAATTTTTCAGTTGTTTGAACGACCTCCTCTTTAGTACTTTCTAACAATATAATATCATCGGTGTATGCCAAAATCACTGCCTCTCCCAATAGGTATATTAATTTTTCGCTGTTTCTTTATACCACTTACTATTTTTTCTTGAGCTAAATTGAATAATGTGGGTAAAAGGGAGTAACCTTGGTATGAATAAAATATTAATAATAGACATGACCAGTTGACAAAATGAGTGTGTTTTTTACCATAACTATAATATTGTCATTGTATTTGATCTAAGATTTATACTTATATAACTTGTAAACAAATAGAATTCATGACTATGATTAAGGATATCCATAAAGTATGGGATATCCACACAAGTCTCGTATGGTCATGTTTCATCCAATGAATAAAAAATATGTTTAAGAGTGTAATTTTAATAAAAGTAAGTAACTTATCTTTTAACTTAGTTATTACGTTTTTGAAAATGTTTAACTTAGTTACCTACTCAAATTAGTCAAATTGATTTATATTGTAAAATTAACTTTGGCTTAGATATTTTTTTTATTCTAGGATAACTTAACTTAAACTAGTTTTAAAAATTAGTTAAATGACCTAGCTATGCATAATATCTTTGTACTAATAATACCTACCTAGTTAGTACTGTGTTATTCAAAAAAATATTTGCTTCTTTCCCAGAGTTGTGAGTCATAAATTTACACCCACAAATTACTATACGATACCATCTTAGTATGACCCATGGTCATGGTATTACTATTATACTAATTTATAACTTATAAATTGAAGCAAAAGCAAATAAAGCAATAATAATAATAGTACCTATGACCGTCATCATTCTGTGCCGCGATTATAGATAACTAGTATCTATGTAGCAGCGAGTAGACAACACAAATGATAAACTAGCATGCATACAAGATATCAGTGATTGAATATATAGGTTATGTAAATATATAATTTTTTAATTTAAATTAAAAATGTGTAACATGAAATATTTGTTTTATTAATATTTAAATAATAAAATCCATTTAACAGTTATATTAGTTTATATATCTATATTATGAAATATCTTAATTATCAATTTTCTGTTTCTATCTATTATTCATAATTTGAATTATGTGTACCTAATTTTGTCTTTTGACAACAAATTATACTTATGAACAGATACCTAAGTACTTAATATTTTTAACGATTTTTTGTAAGTATTAATATTTTTGTTATTTATGCTTGAGTATAGTTTGTATGTAGAGGTCTGTTGAAGTCTATGTAAGCAAAGAGACTATATCAAGTCTCTTTAAAATCACAGATTATAGACTTATTAATTTATAATATATGTATATACAGTGGTGTTTTCATGGTAATTGGAAAAAAAAATCCCAAAACAACTATACTGTCAATAATATCGAAAAGTTTAGTGACAGATACTTCTATTTTATTTAGTGGAAAAATTATCTTCTAATCATTGTCATCTATACATGATACATAAACAGTATAAAAAGATATCAGACACTCCATTATACAGGGTGTTATAGTATAAGACTCAACAAAGTTGATGGGAACACCACTGTTGATAATTTAGTTAATAGGTCTATTCTCATAAAGTTATGATCTTAACATATTTAACTGTTGATAGGTAGTTTAGTACAGTATTTTGTATAAAATAACCTGTAACTAGTGTTTGGTGAAAAGATTTTAGTATAGAGTTGGTACCCATAATAGATTTTAAATCATAATATTATACACATTTTAAGAATTTTAAATTGGTTAATTATTTATTGTTTCATGGGCTGATTGTATCATCACATTAAGAATTTCTTCTATCAGTATATTTTCATTATTTATAATATTTATAAAATCAATTGTAAATGTATGGTACCCAGTTTGAGAAATAAAATATAATTCTAGTTGAATAAAATTAAACATAAATATAAATGTAATGTTGTATTAAATAATTGTGTAGTACAAATGTAAATTCAGTTTAACAATAAAAATATATTTTTATATCAATATTTATTTATCAATTTTTATTATTAAAATTTTCAGGTTTCAAAAATATGAATAATATAAGTAAATACATACATTTTTTCCGGAAAATTAGTTTTACAACCTCAAATATTCTCAAAAATCAGCATGTTATACAAGATCATACATGTTTATTGAGTAATTTTGTGTTGTCTCTTTTTATGAAATGTTTAGTTTGTATTAATAACTTTTAATTTGTATGTTTAAGACCTATTAACAACAAGATATGTCTCAAATAGTAATCACATAAGTTTATCCAATGCAAAGGATACCAATGATATATTAATAACCAATATTAAACTTGCTAAACAAACGAAGGAAGTTTTAGAAATTGTACGATCCCATAACTCTGTAATGACTTATCAACAACATTTGCAAGCATTGAATTCTTTATTTATATTGCAAAAAAATGACAGGTTAGTATAAATATTGCAACTTTTTGTATTATGTCTTACTTGTATTATATGTATACAATTAATTATGATAAACAATATTTAATATATTAATTATTTCCTACACAGCATGTTTGGTTCATAATAGTTTTGGTACATCACTTTTAATCATTGTTCCAGAACAATGATATCCAAAGAAGAACTAACCCGGAGCCCAGAATTTACTGCATTGTGTCATAAAATTACAATTTGTTCAAGAAATCTTGACCTGAATGATGTTATGAATAGTGTTAAATGTTTATCATATCTGGGTGTTTCAGTTAATAGTAACATAATGCAAGTTCTTTTACAACTAATAAGCAAAATGATAAACGAAATGTCTTTAAAGCAAATAACTTTTCTACATTTTTTACTAAAGGAATTATCATCATGCCCTCTAGTGGATGTATTAACACTTGCTTTACCTATAGTATTTGAAACACAAATTCAGTATAAAATAGAAGATAATGTATATTGGCAAGTAAGGTTTTTAAATTATATTGCCAAACACAATTTGTCTCAAGAATCCTTTGATTTTGTTATGTCCAGAATTATTAAAAATATTGATCAACTCAATCCTAAAATTGTCAAAAGCTTATTGCTTTGTTTATATTACAAAGGTTATTCGACTGAAAAATATATCAATGTAATTGATAAATGTATACACATTTTTATAAATCGTATAGAACTTATAGCAGATACTTCAGATATTGAGGCTATCTTAACTAGAATGTTATATAAATATAAGGAAGAATCTGAAGTTTTTTATAATGAACAATTTATAGATGCATTAATTGAGTACTTGATAGAAAAACAAGAAAGTTTTCAGAATTTATCATATATAGTTAAGAAGTTAAATAAAATTGTAAGAGTAATAATATAAGTATTCATGTACAAATTAAATGAACTACTAATATTCTAATTTTAGGGTTTTGTCCACCGAGGACTACTCAATTATATGACTTGTCAATTAACTGATCATACAACTTTGGAAAATTATAAATTCAGTGTTTTAATGTCATATATTGTAGCTTGTGCAAATGCTAACTATATTCCGCCTCGTTTTATAGAGTTAAAACCAAATATTTTGAAAATATTAAGTGTTCAGAAGGTATTTCCATCTACATAATAAGTAAAACTATATGATATACTAAGAGCATGTTGTTTTAGTTATCAATTGTAATTTGTTATAATTAATAACTAATAATTACTATTTTTAACATAGTTGTTCAATCTATCTCTTTAAACATTAAAATTATTTGTATTTTATTTACAGGATATCTTAAAATTACCATGGCTATTATTAACTTTTGACTTAGCTGTTTTGGATTGTTGGTCACAAAAGCTATTGGAACATGTATTTTCTAGATCTTTTCTTAATGGATTCTTAAACCGAAGTAATAATGTATATTATTATCTATACAAAATAATGATAATGCATAATCTATGAAAAACTATACTGATAATAATACTTTCATATTTAGGTGACAATATACATGATTATATAATGTTACTTAAACTCTACCAGGCAGCTGTAACTTTATTTCCTGGAGGTTATGATGGACCATTACCACCTCCAGATGTCTTAAAAAAAGCTACTGATATCTATCAAAAAAGTTTCAGAAATTTCCCATTAAAAACTGCTTTAGAACATGGTTTAGGTGGTAGTGATTACGTGTTATCAGGAGTCAGAAGCAAATTAGGACACTTTATTGGTTTGTTGAATTATTTTATAATGTTGACAATCAGCATGATCTTTTAATAAAATGTATTATTTCACCATAATTTAACAAGATTAAATATATTTAATTTTAGATCATATATTAGTAATGAGACCTGGAGGATATCCTGTTGCCATTCAAAATGATGATAAATCAAAATTATTATTGGAAAACATCATACAATCCTACAAAAACTATTTAGTGTATGTTACTATTTGCTATAATTATTACGACTATAATTTGTTCATATTTTTGTTTATGTAGAATTGGCATAATGGTGAACAAACCCAATAACTATGTCATCAACTTGAATTGTTTAAGAGGTACATTTATGTTGACTAACAAGATGATAGAAGCTACAGGATTAGTATTATTGCAGATATCCTTAGAAGTCTGGGATGGACTTCTGGATTATGAAAAAATACCTTATATAATGAGAGAATTAAAATCAAAAACTGATATTAATGTATTAACAGATAAAAACATACATTAATTGTTTACCATTATATTATAATAGTTGAATAATTTTACAAAAAATACACAATTTTTATATAGTGTGATATATTTTTTAAATTAACTTTCTTAGGTGTCAAGAACTAGTTATAATGAAAAACCAATAGAGGGGTTAGTGTTTCAATTGTACCTTATATAACAGAATAAAAATAATTTTAAATATATTTTAGTATTAAAGGTTTTGTGACATGTTATAAATAGTAATAGAGATCTTAAAACTTAGTATGACATATTTTATTTAGCTAAATCAAATAGTTTATTAACAAATGTGTGTTTATCAACTTTTAGTCAAATTGCCACAGTTTAGTTCAACTTATACATATATTAATATAAATTGTCTTAATATTCTACAATAATTATTTTTTAAATTAACATTCTAAAAAGGGTTTCGAATTAATTTTGAAAATTATGATTTTACTAGTAAACGTATTTAACATAATGAATATAATTTAAAGGAGTAAAATAAAATAATCATGCTTAGCATTTTATATAAACTACTGCACTGATATTGAAATAAATTTATTTTCAACGAATGAAGAATTTAAATTTTCATAAACAAAATTATTATATAAATTATACTTGTTATTCATATTCTATTGTCCAATTATTTTATATTTTATGCATTTTTATTATAGCAACAAGAACGTCTACCTAATGGTTTTATAGCTGGAGATTGCTGAGCAACCATTAAGTCAGCTGTCAATCGACCACGAGTCTTATTTTTACCTTGTTTCAAATCATTTTTATTTTGTACTAAATTTTTAGATTTTAACTCCATTACAGGCTTTTCCAACATTTCTGATTTATAACGTTCACCTTGAATATTACTAAATTGTGAACTTCTTTTTTTGAGTTTTGATTTCAGACCTTTGTCACCAGAGCGCAAGTTCGTTTTTCTACTGTTTGTTTCAGGTGTAACAGATCGGTTTGAGGTTTTACGTCTTGTAATTTCCGGAGTTACTGATCTAGATGAGGAATCCGAAATATTTAAATCAGTTCTATTGTTTTTTAAATATCTATACTGTTTGCTATTATCAGAGCTGAAACTAGATTCAGATATATTACGGTTTTTTCTTTTTACAATTGAAACTGCATTTTTTTTCCCCAAACCCTTGTTCTGATTTTGAATGTTTTTTTTTTTTTTTTCTGATGCTTTCTTTTTTATTGCAGTTTTATTATTCTTTCGTGTTAATTTTTTTGTCTTTTTAGTTGGACCTTGTAGTTCTTTTTCCTCAGATTTGTCAAATGTACGCAATGATCTTCTTATGTTTGGAATTTCTTCATGTTCTATCTTACTTACTTTAGTTGAAGAAGTACCAGTCCCCTTAAAGCTATTTTTTGAATATACTGAAGAAACAGATTTAATCCTTGTTTTGCTTGGACCACGGTGTAACTTAATTTTATTGGTTCTATCATTTACACCTTGAATAATATTAAATTAAATATTTATGCTAATAATAATAATAATAATCAATATCCTAAGGCTGTCCAATTTACTTACCATATTTCACCTTTTTTTTTTTAATTTTATTCAATCGTTCTTTAATTAATGGTTTGTATTGTTTTGGTAATTCAAATAATTTTTTACTTGTTTTAACATTTGACATTTCCTTAGAATCCTGTAATGTAAAAAACAATAGTAAATTTTTTCTTCTTTAGCCTTCACTATCTCAACTATTTGGAGTTAGTCACTCATCTTAAATTTCTACTTCCCCAATTCCTTCTCTCATACATCCACTGTCCCCATTCTTAATCACATTGAACCACCTCTTTTTTGGTCTTCATATTCCCCTCTTTCTGTCTACATTTATTTACATTGCAATTATTAGTACGATTCTGAATCATCTCTCTTCATGACATGTCCAAACCATCTCAGTCTTATTTTCTCTAATTTTTTTTCTACTGCCTTTTACCTCTATGTTTTCATTACTTATCCTATTTTCTCTCGTCACTTTATTTCTCCACCTAAATATTCTTATTTCCACTACACTCATTCTCCGTTTTATTTATTTGTCTACTGCCTAACACTCTGAATCATACAACATAAATCTTTTCTTTACACTCTTATAGAACTTAACTTTGTCTTATTGGAATTATCTTGTCACATAAAACACCTGATGTTTTTCTCCACTTTATACAACCACAATTATGTAACATTATGTTTCCCCTCCTTACCAAAAAAACAGTTCTTTAATGCAAAAGATCCTAGGTACTTAAAACTATGAACATGGTATACAACATCACCACTTATTATCATTAGCTGCCCCTTCCTGTTTCTTCAACTAATACTCTATATGCTCTGCTTTACTTTAAAAATTAATTAGATACTTATGTAAATTATTCATAAAATAAAATAGAAAGAAATCTATAAAATTTATCATTTACAGCAGCTTCTATATTCCATCTAGAGTTCAAATATTCGAAGATGCACTTAAATGGTATGCTAATTTTAAGTTGTTCTCTGATATTATCTTGTATGATAAGTACGTTTATAAATTTCTTAATTCCTAAAACAAACAAAATTAATTAATTAGTTAAAATAAAAATTGATTCATGAAATCAATGTAAAATATAGTATCAATTTAGGCATATCAACCATATTAAAAGTTCATTCATTTGTATGTTTTTACTGGGTACCTAAAAGATCAGACAGAAGTTGGAATTGTATCTAATTAATTTAAAAATGTTATTTTATTTTTATTTTTGAATATTAGTTACATATTTTAAAATAAAATGGTTATTTACTGCATATTGCATTTATTTTGGTTTCAAAAGTTTATAATTTACAATAACTGTCAGAAATTGTGTTAGGAGAAGAAGCAATGGATAGCCTTTCAAACTAATGATTTTATACATTTATTTATTTTTGGAAATTATGCCTAATGACAATATACATAAGGAACAGTATAGATAAAAAAAAAGTATTTAAGAATATTTACAAATATAATCAAGTTATATAGACTTAAAATTTAAAAAATTGATAAGTGAGGCCTTAAAATCAAACTAGAGCAGTATCAATATTAGAACTATTTGCATTACGCAGCATTCTGTGAAAGGGGTGATTTTTATAATTTCATTATTATAATTTTTTTTTTTTATAAGTTTTAAAATCAAAATTTAACAAAAATCTTAAATATTACGGCCTTTCAAAACATGTATAGGTAACCAAACTTTGTTCGGAATGGTTTTTCATAAATAATGGTTTATTATTAGTTATAGATATAAATTAAATAACTTTATGTATCCCCCCTTCCCAAATATCCACTTACAACAGTATCCGCATTAGTCCCCAGAATCGGCTGTTTTTTTTTTTAGAAGTTATATTAATATAATTTAAAGACAATTTTCATTTATTTTTTGTTTAAAACACAGAATTTATAATTCTATAGAATATAGATAACTGTGTAATCAGAATTTTTCTGAAACTATTATATTAGAGGTTTTCGCAATTTGAAGTTAAATGTATTTTTAATGTGCATCTAGAAAACCAACAGAGTAACTTGCTCACTCGAACTATTTTATATAAAAAAATTGATTTGAAGTTACGATAATGATGTAACAGAATATTCTTTGTTTCATTAAATTAAAAATATGTTACCTATATAAACATATAAAAAACGTCTTAAAATATTTAATGACAATTGACAACATAAATATTAAATATAAGGTGCAATAATTATATTGACTTTAGTTGTACTATGTTTGAACAAGTATCCCATGTGCCACGTTAAGAATCATATCACTGTATTTGCAAACTAATTTATGCTATATAATCAAAATCAAAAACTTCAGACTTTGAAATTAATGGTCTGCGTCAATTTTTGTTTGCATTCAGTGAAAATAAGTATATTAGATAAAAGTAAGGGTGCCCCAAAACTAGAAATATAAGTACTTTATTTTTATTAAATACAGATATTTTTAGTGTTTTAAGAGCATATTTTCATAATTATAAATACATTAACTTCCAAAACCAATTATAACAGATAGGTGTAAAGATATTATTTTTTTTATACTATAAAATGAAAGTGAATTTTACTGAATATATTATCAAATACTATAAAAAATACCTATTGGAAAGTTGATAATTAATTGGCGATTTTAAAAATGTCCTCAGTTTCAGTATTGGTTACCTACCTTTGCCCTTTATTATTATTGTTGTTCATTGATTGATACTATTAGATAGTAATAATCAAAAATCAAATAAAACCAATAACTCATAGTATTTGTTGATGATGGACTATACTTAAACTTCCACAAAGATCGAATATTATTATTTATTTCTAAAACTATAAATTATTACAAACACATTAATAATATTTAATTTCTACTAAACTTTGTACAATTGATAATTCTTAAATAATAAACAAAAACAATTGTAGGTAGGTATTCATATACAACACAATAAATGTAATAAAATAAATGATATATACAGAATATTTATTTTTATAAATAGGTAATCTAGATTTAATTTCCCAGTATAATAACAGTAAATTTGTACACAATTTTTTTAAAGAAATTTTACAAATTTATAAATTATAAATTATAATTTATAATTATAAAATAAAATGATAATATTATGTTAAAAGTTGATCATCACCATGGATAATTAGCATGTGCTCTAACATGGATCAAATGGTAACAAAAATAATAATAGTAAGGTAGGCAATCAATAGTGAAACTGAGGATTCTGTATGTCTCCGCAGATTATCATCGACTTTCTGGTATTATCATTTATGGAATTTGATATTATTTAGACATTCAAAATAATAACTGACCTATAGCTATTTCAGCAATTAGTGAATTCTGGACATTTTAGAAGCAAATTTTACAATAGGTACCCATCTAATTTAAAATGTTGAAACCATAAACAGATAAGTATTAAAAAGTAACATTTAGACTTTTTGAACGTACCATTACATAAGTCATAAATCCCTTATTATAAAATATACAATATAAATAAACATTAATAGCACGTACCAAATGGTTTAAGATTAATCATATGAAATAAAAAATATTTTTCTATTTGTGGGGTCCATTTGAATCTTGTTACATTGGCTTCGACCAATGATTTTTTCCTCATTGACACGGAATTCATTACAGTGGATGATAGGTAAGGAAAAACAAAAGTTTAAATTAAATCCAGTAAAATGAAACGTCTAGTTATTTTTATTACGTAAGATCACAATTTAAGAGACAACAGAAACAAAAATTAACTTAACTGGGTCGGTGTAAACAATCACATTATTATAATATTTACAGCCATTTCATATGATAAACAATGCGATAACACGAGGGGATCGAGAGCAAAATTCATCAACCAATCAGATCGCTTATAAATCGAACATATCTTATCACTGTCTAATCACGCGCGCTTTTAGTTTTTAAGTATGAACTATACGTTTGCATTTAATTAATATTTCACAATATTTTCTATTATTTTATAATGTCTTCGTCTTCTTTTATGTGTTTGAAATGTAAAAAAGTGTTTGGGTACCGTGGGAATTTATTATCACATGAAAATAAATGTGGTATAGTAAATAATAATGAAAATAAAACAGGGATTAAATGTCCAAACTATAAGTGTGGACAATTATTATTCACCGGATATAGTTTATTAAGAAAACACGTCGAAGATTTCCATAAAATTTCTATAAATAAAGAACGTCATTACTTCCAAACTCTGAATGGTACGTATGAGCTTGATGTAGTTAAATAAAAAGTGTGTAAATAGTGTATAACTGTTGACTAAAAATATTTATTTTTTTGTAGATTTTAAGGATTGGAAACTAAAAATTGATATAGAGAGTGTTTGCTCATATGTTTCCAAATCAACCGCTTGTCTTAAAAATGTAAAACGAACCTATTATTATTGTCATCGTAATGGTTACTTTAATAGTAAATCGCGAGGCGTCAGGCGCATTAAAAGCCAAGAAAGCAATAAGATAGGTTCAACATGCACGTCATCAATGGTAAATACTAAATAATAAATATGATGAAATACCATAAAATATAACTGCCTTCTAGTTTCCACTAATAATAAATTTCCTCTAAAATTATTTAGGTTATGACAAAAGATACAAATGGAATCAACATTTAGTAACACACATTTTGGGCATGGGTCTAACTTAGGTAGATGTAGATTAACTGCTGATGAACGAGCAGTTTTAAAACTCCTCCAGCCACCGGTGTTGAACGTAAAATATTAAACACTCATAATACTAATGACCATTCATACTAAACTAGTAAATTCTTTACCAAATATAGGAAAGTACATTGTATTTTCATATTATTTCTTATTATTATTAGTTCATAAGTGTTATTAGTTTTTTTTTTAAAACTATAATTAAAGACAAAAAGAAAAAAAAAAGGATTATTTACTTGATTGTATTAAGATTAATAATTATTATAATATACCCATTATAGAGGTGATATTAGATATATTTTTTTAATTTGAATCAATCTTTTTCAATCTTTTTATTATGTTTATTTAAAAGTTATTATTAATCAGGTTTTTTTCAGATAAAATAAATACAATTATATACAACATTTATTCATCATTATTTACCTAGATATAAAAAAAATTTAAGATATAATTTGAATACTCTGTGTATAAATTAATAATTTTTATAGTTTGGACATTTAATCCCTGTTGTCAAATCAACGTTGATTCCAGTTGTATCTTATGTCACATACTCATCATAATTAAAATGAAAATGAAATGTTAATTAAAACATTGTAACACCACTAAAAATGTTCAAATGCAAACGCATAGTTCATACTTAAAAACTTAAAGCGCGCGTGATAAGACAATGATAAGATATGTTTGATTTATAAGCGATCTGATTAGTTGATGAATTTTCTTCTTGATCCCCCGTGCGATAACCTTCTTTATTTATCTTACGGGTAGAGGACAGTTGTTTGAAAATGATAAGAATAATTACTCAGATCATATTCATACTATGATCTAAGGATATAGCAACTGATCGTTGATTCATTTACAAGAGGGCTATAAAATGTACGAAAATATTTTATCCAAAACATATTTCAATCAGGGCCTAAAATTCTGTATCCCCTGAATTACAAATGTGTGTCCGAAATTGTATAATGTGTTTTTAGTTTTAATTAGTATATTATAATAAATAATAAAATATATTATACAATAAACGAAATAATTATTTTTATTCATATTTTTTTAAAAACCGTGCAGTATTCCAAATTGCCGCGTATTGTGTGCAAGTTTGAGAAACCGTGAAACCACCGAAAGCGCCACTGCGGAGTCGCTAGTTTCGGGAAACGTACTGTACTTGTATTTATTTTGTGTGACATAAATGTACTTTAACTCCCTAGGGATTATTTTCCAAAATGTGTGTTTTTGCATACTTGATTTAACGGTACTTTCAAAAAAAGTCGCTCAAACTTCATTTGGAAATTATGGTAAAAAAATCTTCAAAAAGTTTGATTTTTCTAAAATATCGTGTTTTTGAGTTTAAAATACCAAAAATGTATATTTTTGGAATTACATTTATATTTATAGAATATTTTTTTTTGGAAATGGCAGTCAGTGCTCGAATTTCGGGGGGACGAAGTATTTGGGGTTATTTTTAAGAAATGTAAGCGTACCTTTACTATATGTTTGAAGTGGAACGCATGGGACGCAGTGGTGGATACAAAGAGTGTGCTATGACGATCACTCCTCTTTGAGTCTTTTTTTTTTACAATTTTTGTATTTTATAATAATTGTTTATTTAATATATACTTTTTTTAGTAAAATCCACCTCCTTTGAACAACCCTAGGATCTGGCACTACCTAATATTATCGTAAAAACATGATGCTATACATTTTGCATTTTTATCAACATATATTTCATTAAAATTTGAACTTAAAGCGCTTACAAAACAAATCATTACATTTCGTTGAATTTTTTCATGCAACTAAAAATTTGCCAAAATGATTTTAAAATTGTACCATGTCTGGAAAGGGCTGTATAGTAGAGACTATACCTATAAAAGTATTCAGTAGAATTTCTGACCTCTAGGTTATATTTTATTGAATAAACAAAATAGAATAAAACAAAAGCAGTAAATGTATCAGTTACAAGTTTTCCCTGTGTTTTTTCTAGGGGTTAACTCATAATTAATAATACTACAAAGAAAATCGAAAAGGAACTTCCTTATTGCACCGAAACAACAATTTTTACTAGGAACCATCGCCTCTAAAGATGATAGTTGGAGCGAGATTTCTGGTAAAAAAGTTGTTCACATACAGAAAAAGAAAAATACTTCATCACAAGGGCGTCCGCAGAAATATAAACCCGAGGAGGGGTAAAGTCAAAAGTATAAGACTTTTTTTTACAACTTACAATGTACAAGGTATCATGGCTTAAATATTTAAGCCATGCAAGCAATAAAACAATTAATATTTATTAAAATATTTCTCCCGCTGAAGGGGGGAGGGTAAATGCCTCCTTTTCCTCTCCCAAATTGTTTAGGTGTTCATTACTTCCACAATGGCTTCAGTCCCCCTCAAATCTTAAATCCTATTTGTGCTCATGAGCAGGAGGGACTTAACTTAACCGTGAGTCCATCCCCTTGGTCGCGCCACTGCATTATTATTAAGCATTATTAAGGAGGAAAATCGATTAAAATCACAGTCGACTCAGTTTATAGTTATTTATTATTGCATTGTATTGCAGTAATATTTCTGTTATTCATCCGTTTAACAATAGTGTCGACATTCGATTATAAGTAGGTCCACGGTCTTAGATCGTGGATAGGGCTTATAAAATCACATCGAGTACCGGAGTACTTTATGTACTAATATCAATCGAGTATCGGACAAACGTCACATAACAAAATTCCTGATTCATATTTCGCAGAGCTTACGACACGGGCAGTTGCGAGCGTATACGTCGTATCTGCCCCACTTCAGAAAATATGTACGTCGAGTTATGCGCATGGACCAATGACAAATGACAATTTTATAGTGGCACTGTTATCGTTTGTTATCATACGAGTATATGACTATTCATTTTTGATTTACAATGCGAGTGAAAATTAAAATATAAAATACAATAAAAAAAAACAATTATCCCAATTATATTATTTTACGCTTTGTTATAATTGATAATATTATTTTTCCTAGTATTATTCATAGTACACACGTACGACGTCGTTTTATACGGTTGATCGATTTGAGAACGCACGATTAAGTTCATATTTGTACCACCGGATCATTGAAGTGTTGTTACTTACCTATATTCATTTCAGTGCTATTAAATTTCGTATTTTTTTTTTTATTTTCTTAAATTTTGTACTAATACATACTTAGTCATGGATGACACATCCGAGTTGTCCAGTGATATATCTACAATTGATAACAGTGTTTCTGATCTTGTTATTAATCCTACAAAAAAGTATTACCGGAAAACAGCTCATAGGTACGTTTTAAACATAATATGATTATAGCAATTTGGATTTGTATAATAATATTGTATGTAAATAGTAATAACCATAATAATCATATATATATGATAGGTAATACCTCCAATTATTTTCTATTAGATTAAACATCTACCCGTATTACCTACCATTATTATTATTCATGCTAAGATTACAAACCAAAAAAATAAAAATGTATACATATATTTTCTGCATATTGTGCGTTTTAATTTGAAAATAGACCTATTGATTGTATACAAAATATGTTTTTAAACCTTTAGTATACTATATGCAATTCATTTTTATTAGTTTGTTATGAAAACCATATAGATTTATATGATTATTATTTATTAAAGATTTAAGGAAATATTATACTTACAAATGTATAATAAAACAAAATTGTATATTATTGTATTACCTATGTAGTTAATAAATGTATGAAACAAAATACACCCTTTAATAAGTAACAATTATTTAAATGTGTGTGTTTTTTTTAAATTGTTTTATTTATTTTTACTATTATTCTATTAAGTATATTAGTTTATATTTGTAATACTCATATTCAATATAGTTTTGATGATTTTTATGAGCTCGAGTATAAAAGAAAGTCAATTCATCAACAAATTGTAAACCTATTTTGAAAAAACAAATAGGTACCTAGGTAATATAATATTATTATTAATTATAGATGTTTCAGAGATTGGTTTTATTTCACATTTTTTATTATTTCCTATTGACCATCATATAATAGAAATGTTTTAAATCTTTAACATTGTATAAATATAAATTACTTTATAATTCTATAGTAGTGTGCAACTTAAAATAATACGAGAAAAACATAACAAATTACAATAATATGATAAAAATAAAAAGTAAATAATAGATAGGGTGAATTATTGTAAATTATTAAGTATGTATAGGTATGTATTCAGAAATAATTCATAATATCATATTAGCGATTAGCCGTCTACACAAAACATTTTTATACAATCTTTTGCAGAATATTATTTGTTTCAAACATAATATATTATATTTAACTTTATAGTACTTACTGTGTATGATAATAATTTATAAAGATATAGTTATGAACAGGTATTTTATTATTATTTTTTTTTTTTTTATAGAAACAATATCATTTTATTAACATTAAATTTAATGTTTTACAAAGAAGATGCTACAGTAACATTTTCTGACTCTGCCTTTCTAATGACTTATGAGTAATATAGCAATGTGTTTTGGAAGTTAATATGGTAATCCGCTTTATTAGTACAATTGACTTAAGGGGACATTATAACCGCGTCCGTTGTCTCAGTACTGCGTAACATATAAAAACAATGCATACGCAGAATAAGTAATAGAGAATATTATTTTAGAAGGAATGTCATAGGGTTTTTGTAGTATTCAAAATATACAGCTCGATATAAAAGATAATACAAAACCTTTTTTTTTTTTTTTTTTAAATAATTGTAACTCTTTTAATAGTTCATAATTGCAAAAACCTATGATGGTTCCTTCAAAATATTGTTCTCTATAAATTTCATAATAGGTTATGAAATTTATACTACTTTTACTTTTAAATCAAAATTAAGCAAATTTTACTTATTCTGTGTAAGCATTGTTTTTGCTTGTTATCCGGTTATTGGACTTAGACTTAGACTTAGACTTGCGGGATATCATGCTCATAACACAAAAATTTGTTCATAAAGTTTAAGACAACAGTATTTTAAATTAATTTCCAATTAGGTCTGCAAATCAGGTATCAAACAATTTCTATGAAAATAGTATATTTAGTCCTCTTTAATTTAGTTTCTTGTAACTAGTAGGAATTAGGTAGATAGGCAGTAGAGATTCATAATTTATTTAAGTGTGGATAGCTAATATTAAACTACATTGATTAAGTTAAAAGATTAGAAAAAAAAAAATATTTATTGTTTTCTTGTAAATTCAGATAGTTTTTAGTTTTTAGTAAAATCATTTACTTTAGAATTTCAAAATTTTCTATAAGTAATAAGAATAACACTTATTTTCAATTTTCTTACTATATATTTAAAAATTAAACATTATTATATGTATATGAGTTATTGTGGTAAGTAGACATTTGTATAACACCCAATATACATATTCTTAAAATAAATATATATATATCTAAATTACCTGGCCTATATTGACTATGATTAGAGGGCATATTTAGTAATGTAATTTTTAGGTCACCTAAATATTTCCTTCCAACAATATACTGTTTCAAACAGTAAACTCAAACTAGTGTTAAAAAATAAAAATACTTATGTATGTAGATGTACCTAATAATTAGAATTGATAATTTTTTTTTTTTTTGGCCAATTGCCATATGAAATAAGTACCTACAGGTAATGAAATAATAATTATCAACTTGAAATTCCTTTAACCAATTTGATTTTGTTTAATTTTTACATACTATACAACGAAAACAACTGAAATAACTTGTGAAACAATGTTATGAGAAAATGTCAACAGGAAACCTCTCCATTTGCTGGTGGCCCAGTACATGAGGTCCTCATAATAATTGCATGGGGAGGGGGGGAATATTAAAACTTGGGTAAGACAATTTTTTTTCATTCTAGGACTTAAGTACTATATTAATTATAACATTGATTATGCGTATTAATCATTAATAATAAATAAGTACCTATTTTGTTGTATAAATATAAAATATGGGACATTATACAGCACAATGAGACGGGTGATCATCTTAGTTCCAGGGATACGTCTGATAAAAGCCTACATATAAGGAATGTATTGGATTAACAATGATGTTTATATTTTTTTTTTTTTTATTGTGCACAAAAATTCCAGAAATCTTGCTTCGAGGTTCAAGTGCAGCACCTTTTCTAAGAGAACATTTTTCTGGGGTGGTACTTTAAAAGATAATTTTTAGATTTTTCAATCAGTTTTTAAAAATACGTAGGAAAAACTAGAAAATAATGGTGTTATTATTTTCAATATTGTTTTTTCTTGTAATTCAGTTCAAATTGTTCATATAGACTTGAAATTTGGACACAAAATTTATTTTTGCCTTTTTTAGACGTGGTAAAATTTTCGAAAAACGTAAGCGATTTTTAAATATTTTAGTTTTGCAAGTTGTGTACGTAATTTTTATTTGGTAAGTATCTATGGTAAAATTGTTAGACTTAACAGAAATGCTTGAAAATTCAATAGGATATTCATTAAAAGTTTTACTTTATGCAGCCAAAAAAAAAAAAATTGAGTTTAATGTAGTATTTTTTTTTATAAAATAAAATATACTAAAGGAATTTTAATACCATTTTAAGCAAATGCATTTTAGGTGTATCAGGGACCTAGTAATTGCTCGCTTGGACTATTTTAAAAGAAAAATACCACTCGATTTGTTGTGCAAACTTTTCTACCAAAAATCTTGCTTCAAAGTATCTAGTATAGTATCTTTTCTGAAAGGGATTTCCTGGGGTTGTACTTTAAGGGGGTTATTTTTTAAATTTCCCAGGAGTTTTTTTAACAAATGGGAAATATCGTAGGAAAATAGGTACATTATTAAATACATATTATTAAAGAAAAAATATATTATGTATATTATGTAATTATTTTACCATAATATTAAATAATATATATATATATATTGTTGACAAAGCACCACTATTAACCGAACTCTCCTCAGAATCGCATCTTTGTTAACAATGGTTAATCGTTTCATACAGCCGTACAGATATACATTAAATTTTCCCTCTACCTTCCCAACTTCTTACATACAATAGTGGACAGTGGCCCATCACGTGGGAAGTTTGTCCGTCATTTTTTATAATTATTATAATTTAATTGTTTAGTTTAACGTCACACATTCTACAACTTATTCAAATTCAACTATCCGCGTATAATATTATTAATATTATAATTTCATCGATTGTGTAATAGGTGCATTTTTTTTTGGAATCTAGGCTACAGTACATAGTTAAGTTTATTTTTCTTTGTCAACGTTTATCAGTTTATCATTTTGTTTGTTTAGGTAGCAGGTTATGAGTAGGTATATAATATTATATTATGCATGTGTTATAAATTATTGTAATGCATGTTGGTTAATCTATACATACGTATAATTCATTTATTTTCAAGTAAACATTTAATACCTAAATAATAAATCGTACACTATTGTACTGTTACAGTGTGTGTACAAATGTAAAATTATACTTATGTTTATCTAATCTATCTTTGATTATTTTTTGAACATTTTTATTTTTTTTTTAATCGAACAGTCATGCGCTTTCGCAATGAATTTGTCAGAGAAAGCATAATGAAATCAAACACTATAAAGTATTTAAAATAAAATAATATTTGAAATTTCTAAGTCCAGGGGGCAGTTGCTGCGTATTGCCCCCTTCCGAGCACCCATGCTAATAATGGTGTAATAATTTTATATTTCGAATGAAACTTTATTTGCGTATCTTGGGGGGTCTATTCTACTAATGCTGCGTAATTGGTTTATTGACCCGTTCTCACCAACGTAAACGTTGATTTTTAAATGAAGTTTATAAGATAATCGAACAATCGTGGTCGGTTATCAGCCATAAACTCAATTTAAGAATCAAATTAATAACTTTTTTTTTATGTTGATGAGAACGGCTCTCAGAGTGTGATAGTTACAGTAAAATACCGTACGTACCTTTTTCACTATTACGATTCCGTACGGTATACCTGGGCAAATTTATTTCAATATTGCTGTTATTAATTTAATAGGTAGACTATTCCGTACACTAATTCTTTACTGCCGTGATTGTTTGTGGTATATGGCTTATGCAGAGCATTATGAATTCGATCAAATGACGCACGGTTATAGAATATGGTCGATCTACAAGATAGACTTGACTCATATTACTAAAATATAAAAATTGAACAATATTATTCGGTTTACTTCAGAACAAGAAACTAATACATTGCATTAATATTGATATCTATAATATACGTATAACTATTTTATATGTAATAAAAAACTGTAATCATGAGTATTATGCAATCATATTTTGTAATGTTTTGTATGTAAATATTATGAATCTTGGTTTTGCACGTACCTATTATTGGCGACTATACACTCATATTCGTAATCGTTTTAATTTAAAGCTGGTTGCACACTACGCGATTTGGACGCGTGCGTTTTTATTTAATTTATTTAATCGCCCAAAATTAAATATTAAACTTGTTTTATATGGGCGCATTGTCGCATTCACACACCCAATTGAGAGGCTTGTACGGATGCGTCCGACGCGTTTCAAATTATGTACATGACGTTTAATTTGTGAACATCCGGTTGTTAAAATAAAATTTTTTTCCCAATGAACCTATTTTAAATGCATTTTGTTTAACAGCTTTTCACATCACACGATTCGTACGATGCGTTTTTCTGCATTTCATTAATTATTTATCTACTGTGGCTACAGGAGCTAGAGGGGGCACTGGGAGCACATGCCGTTCCCCCGAAACCTTTTTTTTTCCGTTATGCTGTGGTATACAGTTTACATAAATTCTTTATACTAATAAAATGTATTCTTAATAGCAATATTATGAGTATTATTATTAATAAGTGATAAGGGATTAAGGGAGTCATAAAATAACAGCTGACAAGTATTTTAGTTTAACAAAAACTAAATGAGTTACTTCTTAAGTCCCCAACCAAAAAATTTGTTTTTTCTATTTACGATACTGGCTGTAGCCTATATTTGATATTCGTTTATCAATTTTAACACCAAAATGGATAACGAATATTTTATTAATGAAATTTCAAAATAAGAATGGTAATATTGATAAGTTGTTGACATAATATTTTCTAAATAGAATACTTAATATATTATGTATTATATAATATTAGGCTTATGAATAATTACCAACGATTATTATATAGGTTTTTATTATTTTTACTGAGTGGCGTATTTTCGGGGTGGGAGGAGAGGGATTCCGGATCTCAGGACACTCCCAAAAGTCGAAAAAAAAATAGATGAGAAAGGTCTTTGTGTGTCATCGTTGTTACAATACTTTTATAATAAATCTGAAATCCACAATAGTTATAAGAGTAGTAATAAATATTAGTATGTAGGTAGTATGCACTAGTAGTTGCGTATAATACAAAGCACTGTATGGCTGAAACAGCATTTGACGAGCTTTTTATTTCTGGGTAACGTTAAAATTGCTTCTTAATTTAACTCGTAATCGTCTACGCGGTTTTGAAACGCGATCGCACGCGTCTAGTGTAAAGAAAGCACGTTCGCGTTTTAAAATCATATATGAAACGCGTAGTGTGTAACCAGATTAAGGGCTATAAAAATGAACCTTTTTGCCAAACTTATGCGATATTACTTCAAAAGGAACAAAGTACTCAACGTATATTTTTGCTGAGTATTACCACGTGCTGTTTACGTTCAAAAAGGTTTTCTAATTTTTTTTGTTCGTGATTGAAGATTACAGTATTACGCCGATTAGGTATTAGTAGAATCAACTCCCTGAACTTAAATAGATACTTATAGTATAAAAAAACAAATTGTATTATGGTACTTAATCTTAATGTATAATATAATAATGTATTTAACATATTAAATCACATGTATAATATTTAGAGATATTTCAAATTTTAAATTGGTTTCCCTTTTATAGAATCAGATGTATTTTCAAATTATTAATTTGCAAGTAACAGATTAGAATTCTAAAGAAAAATATTTTCTCATATTTTTGTTTACATTTTAAATCCTTAATGTAAAAAAGTTTTTTTTTTTTGTTATTTTATGGCATTCGACTGAAAATTTTGAAAAAAAATGTGTCTAAAATACAATCTGCTTCCAAATTACCTTCCCTACTATTTCAAAAAGTTTTCTGATAAGACTATTTGTTCATCTATTACTGTTGCAGACAAATATTTCAGAGATAAAGCTTAAAACAATATTTCATATTAAAATTAATAATTAAAAAAAAAAAAAAGCTGTCTTAGGATAATGGGGACAGGTGCAGACACTGTTGTAGGTGGGAAGTTGGGAAATTAGAATACAGGAGGAAATTTAATGAATTGTAAGCAGCCATACTTCATTGCTAAAGAAAAAGCGTGTTCAGTTGATAGTGATGCTTTGTCAACAATATATGTCATATTATGGTAAAATAATTAAATAGACATTATATATTTTCTTTAATAATTTGTTTAATATCGATTCTGATTTTCCCAGTTTTTCATATTTACTGGGAAAACTCTTGGGAAAATCGAAAAATGACCTCCTTAAAGTGCCTTTCCAGTCAGATCTCTGGTAGAAAAGTTGTTCACAAAAAAATAAAATAAACATCTTAGTAAAACCTTAAGTTTCTTCGCTCCACTCAGAATCTAAAATTTAAACCCCCTCTATGTTAATTCTGGAAGTGATGAAAAATATTGAAGTGTATTTTTAAGTAACTTTCACTGCAAAATAATTTTAAAGAATAGGATACCTACCTACCTACCTAACTTAGAACACATTAATTTGACAAGTTGATAAACTAGTTTTTGCTAATATTTATATTCAATCAGTAACCTTTCAGTGGATTTAAATAGTTTATTAATTCATTGACATTTGAATATTATTTTACATTTTACACTTTACACACTTGTTCAGTTCTTCATATTTAAATATTAATATTTAGATAACAACAAAAATTTTAATTTAATTTATTTGTAAAATATGAGCATATTATTATAACTTAATGTTCCATCATAATAATAAAATTAAACTGTGTAACTTATTAACATTTGTATTCTTAGAATAAGTATGGTATTATTATCGGTACATTTTCTGGGTAATATTTTATTCACGGCGATGTTTAAATTAAACGATAGTTGCACGGCTTCGTTTCAGCTCATTACTTTCTATCGCAAGTACTTTCTCTTAAATGTGTCCTCACTAACCGCTCATTACGGCTGACCGATAGCTTACATCCTACTTCAGCCTTTGACAGCATTTTATAGGTCTCTAAAGGAACCTAATGCATTTTCTGTCGGCTTATTAAAGGCACTTCGATAGCGTACAATTTCTCCTGACAATATATTGCTCTTCGAGCACTAATTTACAGCTGAATAGAATAACTAAATCATATCTCGTGTTGTATATTAGATTTTCTTAATTTATTTTTAACTCAGCTGATTGGTGGATTCTCTGATGTACCGGTGGCCTAGTCCAACCCTATGTACGACATAGGTAGTAAATTTTCGTTCAGCAGGAACAACTCTTTGCTGTAAATTGTAATAAAACTAAAGAAAACAGTAAAAAGAAATAAGAATTAAGTAATAAAGGTAGTACGTAATGATACAAAAAGGAGGTAATTAGGTAATAATAATAATATCAGTATCGTAATACAAAAAAGAGAATGAAAATAAAATAATATGTGATAATCTATAAAAATAAAGGGAAGAAGAGGCTCTTAATGGGGAAATAGGGTGCTCAGCTTAATAATTATGGTACTTCCGTCCAGGGGGGCGATGTTTTGGGTATCTGGATAATCCCTTGACGTCCGTGTTTAAGTAATATAAATACGTTAAAAACGTGTTTTTTATATAGGCTTGTGACCCCCTTTAAAAATCTGCTTGCACCACTGCTTCCTTTCTTCTGATATTTGGAGGGGTTCGGAGTTGTGAGTTCGAGAATGATGACGAATAAATAAGAAATACAATTTGTTTTACCTGTCTATATTCCACAGTGTTAGAGTTAACTGTGCCTATTTCTGGAATCGCCATAGACGGCTGTCACAATTCAATTAAAATATTCTAACTTAAGTATTTAGTATTTCTAAATTGTGTGCATTTATAAGATAACAAATATGTTAATATTTCAATTAAGAAAGAAAAAGATTGAACCATTAAAATAAATGTATAAAAAAATGTAAATTTGAGTGATTACCTGCTAAAAGTTCACATCTACTGGAGCTAGTTATTCGAGAGAGATTTACGAAAGAAGTTGGTGATGCAGGATTCTCAACCCAGAGTTAACGTCTCGGGATTTCTCGAAAGGTCAAGACACTCGAAAAGTTATAAACAAGCCGATATTTCATTCTTTTTTAGAGGTAGATGATCATTCATTAATAATACCGAGTTATATTGATTCGAATATTGTATAGAAATTATAAAGGTATTTAGTGTTGGAGTGTGACGATGGCGGTGTCATCAAAGGACTGACACATATGCATCTCTATTTCGATTTGATTCGTATTGAAAGTAACATATTATGAGAATGGATCTCTCCCGAACAACGAAAACACCGTTATAATTCGTGATTTTAAAAGGACTTTGTGTCGATGTCGATAGAAAATAGTTAGTGATGAAATTTTATTTATTCGAATTTAGTATAGAAACTATAATAATACTCTGAGTACGACTGTGGCAGTAGCGTGGCGGTATCCTCAAATGGCTGACAGATGTCGTATTTTCTATTTTTTTTTGATCCGTTAAAAAATGTTTTGATTGTAAGAAATATACAATGAATTTCTCTAGTACAACTAATGCTTCGTTTTATTTATTAAATTATTAACTTTTTTTAAATATAAAATACCATGTATTCGGTCGCTTTTGATTTTTTAGTCATGCTGTTATAAATATAAACAATTCTATACATGTTGTGTAAGCATAACATTTTAGTGTTGTTAGTTTTATGATAAAAAGCAGTGGAATATTTATGACTTGTTGTTTTTTGGGGGGGAAAGGAGGTGCATCAAAACATTTTAGACAGCCAAGTCGAGTGAATTATTATTATTGAATTGTGTTTATATCTCTCTTAGGTATCAAGATATAGAAAAGACTGATGTGGTTGCACAGATAATGTAAATAGTTCTTGTCTGTAAGTTTGATAATAGGTTAATTCACTCTAATATTAAAACCAGCAGCACAATATGCGGGTGCAGTGGCGTCTTTTTAAAACCGTTAATTGTGTTACTTATTTACCTACTGTCGCATATAATAATACGCAGACGAGTAAAAGAGATACACCGCATCGCATCGTTTCCATAAAACGTGTAAAATATTGCATACTGTTTTTTAAAAGTTTCAACTAGTTTATTGTATATTAGTATAGACTATAGGTAATAAAATAATATTATTGTTTACGTGGGTTCATAAATATGATAATATAATTAGTAATTATATTAATATTTGGGGTGACCATTATCCGGAACAAGAAATTCTGGAAAAGACAAGTCTAGAACGGCAAAATCTGGAACAATTGATTTTAAAAATTGTTCCAGGTAATGTTATGCTTCTATTATTATCATTGCTACTGGACGATTTCTATTAAATTTGCCCGTCGCTATAAATTATTATTTGTAATAGATCAATCAGTGTTAATCGGTATTAGTAATATTTCTCAAGTCTATTATAATAATAATAATATTATTATTATTATGCTCGTGTATATATTATACCTACCTACATTTTTATACCGCTGCGAGACATATTATAATATTTTTTATACGCATTAATTAGACCAGAGCGCGCGCTAGTGTGTGTGTTGTGGTAAAAAAAAAATGAATTGCATTGATTTTGTTCTCCCGTCGTTGATTTTATGATTTACTATCGCAGTAATATTGTACACAGATACACTACGGTTCAAAGTTCGCACCAGAGAAGCCAGATCAGTAATATTTCGTTTAATCAAACTTAAATCGTAGATTATTTTATTGTAAATATGTACTGTGATTATTTTGATAATTTAATATTGTTACCAGATAATTGGTATGTTCGTTGTGTGCTGCTCGGTATATTTTAGTATCATATTATTGCTATTGGCATTAACAATGTCTAGAATACATAAACATAAACAAAAACCGTGGACAAAACCGGTTGTCATTTCAAAACCATTCACTAACCTATCATTTATCAGTGTTATTGTTAATTTACACTCGGTACTACGTACTATATTATATTGTTATAGTGTGTATACGCGTTCATTTGTATTTCAGCAGTTCATTAAATGTGTTTCTGTAATTTTTTTATTTATTAATCGTTATTACTCATAAGTGAATGTGATGTATATTTTTCCAATATTCGTACGTTCCTTTTCATAATATTATTTCTCGAGTAAAAAAAAAAACCTTCATTTTGCTTATTCTATATCGCGGCGTCACTAGTAAATTGATTGTACGTTATTATCATTTTTATTTTTTGTTTTCCTGTCACGACAATGCTTCAGCAATCTTCTAAACCTCAGAAGGAAAAAAAACGCGTCCTGTCGACGTCTTCCGGCTTGCTTTCAAAAAGTACGCTGAGTAGTCATTTGTCCGATAACGAATTGATGTGTTTTTTCAACATGGAAAAACACAGTAGCAACGCCAGGGAATATTCTCACAGGTAAATTTATATTATTTGGTACCTATTGTCCGCGGTGTTCTGGCCGTTTGTCGACATTGGTTGGTAACTAATTTAAAAAGGAAATTGATTTTTTCCGCCTTCTACGCGATTAAGTTTTAAATTTTTTATTTTATCTACGATTGTCCCCTAATACACGGAAATAACATTGATTGATTTGTTCCTCCCTGCTATCATCATGTACCGTGAACAGACTATAGATAATTATACTTACACGTTACTCAAATTCGTCAATATAATAATTGCACACGTATACCTATACTATGAATACGAGCGTAATTTTGGAGCGGCCTGTTGTTTTAGGCGTGCTCGTAATATTATCATAATTAGGTGTTACGCGAAATACCTATCAAGTACCCATCTATACATAATATTATATACCGAAGTGAATTATTTTTACGTTTGTTATTCTTGTCGGTCGTCGTTTTCCGCTTAAACATGCATGGTTCGTCGTGCGTTATTAACGCATTTAGATTTAATTATCCGCAAGCTATATAAATTTTAATTATATAAATCGAGAATAGGTCATACTTGTTCATTAATATTCTGCACGTGTGCTGGGCGATGTTGGCTATAATATAACCACCAACAACCATAATAATATATAGGTAGGCACTCTTCAGTATGTATAGTAAACGATAGTAGTCGTCATTTCGTGAGACGTATTTTGAATAGGTTATTTGAGCGTTCGCGAGCTTCTCGTTATTTTTGTTTTTACTTAAATATCAGTAAGCATCCGCCTCATGTTACGTCTCAATATCAACGCGGAGTTTAATGCAAATTTAGACCTATCTAAAGGATGCCGCGCACTGTGATTAGCTAATAACGCGTGTGTGCGCGACGTGATTTAAATATAAGAACGTAATTAGCCAGGTAGGCTAAATACAACCATACTGGGCGTTTTCGACGCCCTATAAAAATAAAAATAAAATTTATGACGACTTGTATATTGTCGTATTGTAGTGGCACTTTCATTTTCTACTTAATGCTAAACAGACATAGGTACCTACGTCTTGTTATTTTTATAACTGATATAACTTTATAATTAATTCAATGGATCGCCAGTTTTTTGAAGTTATTTATATGGCAGAAGCCGTAAATGAACTGTTTGAAGTTTAAAACGACCGGAAGTACTGGTACTGGTGTAAATGTATGCCATAGTAATGAATATTGCAGTATAATATGCAGTGTATATATTATAATGACAATAATGATGAATAGGTCAAATCGCTGACGGGAAAACGTGCTAGTGTGTTACCATTCATACAAATCGATGTGTTTCGATTGTAATTTGCGTTTTGGGAAGCACGTTTCGAATAGTAGTTTTCGGCGGCCAAAACGCTGCATGTTGCGTTGGTTCGCGGTTGATTGCGGAGCAAACGCACTGTTTGACACTGCCCGTCTATTTATGGCTGAAACGGAAACGAAATGGTTGATTACCTTATAAACTCAGTTTAAAAATCAACGTTTACATTGGTGAGAACGGGCCTAAATTGTTACGAAATACCCAAGTATCCCGAGTAAGGCTGTATAATTTTCCGGAAAACGTAGGCGTAAGTACTTACTACTGTAGGTCGTAGGTGCTTCCTAATTTCGAACAACGGCACACACACTATTCAATAGGTATTTTAGTATTAAGCATTTATTAACTAGCGAATATAAAATAGTAAAAATGCACGTTAATATTCGTATAGTGTCGTCCTATATTTTATAATCATTGATCGTTGATCGCATGCATAATAATAATGTTTCGTATATTGTTTTAATCGTTATATTATTACATAGTTACAATATTATATTATAATTTATAAATAATATGAATTAGCGAAATCGTATATGTGCAAAATTACATTTGTTTACACAAATTTATTTGGAAAATTGAAATTCTTGTATAGATATAAGTAGCACTTCATGTTTATCATATGGATAGTATTATTGTAAATACTCGTATGTCGCCTATTGTTCAATTCTATTATTTTGTCTGTTATATTTCCAGTGTTTAGTGTTTTTATTATTATTATTTTTATACCTGTTTATCATTTTGAAACGTTTCTGTTTACACTATTATGTGTTTTTCTTTGACAAACAGATTCTTATAAGTATTATATAAACAGAAATTTTACACGGAATATTAGATACTATTGACGGAAATGTGTAAGTTAATTATGTTCAATTAACTGTCCAAATTATGAACTCCTAATCTATCAAGGAGATAGTATAAATTTGATATAATTGTTTGAGTGCTCGGCATACCTATATTATACTATACTAGTATTACGGTATTATATTAGGTAATACAATTTGTTAAATAAGAATAATTTTAAAACGCATGACTCCAAAATAATAGTAATAGCATAAATAAATATTATTCGACTAGGTATAAGTACATACTTTTAGAACAATATTGTTGAATACGTGACAATATCGCGTAATTACAAATTCTCAAATAACTGTTTTATTTATTTAATTGTTAAATATAATACTAATTTATAGTTTACTAATAGTGCAGTTTTTTTTTTTTTTTTTTAGCAAAATGTAAATAGATAATTCTAAGTTTGAAATATTTAATGCAGAGTAGTCTATTAAGATTTTAAAGTTAATGCTTAATAATAATAACAACGTATTATCTCCCAAAATGATACGAAAAAAAAAAAATCAACAATAGGTTAAGTTTTATCATTGTTTTATGTAATCATATTAGAACCGATATAATATTATCATATTTTAGTTTTATACTGATATGTTCGTTTTTCAAGGCCGTCCGTGGGTGGGGAAGGAAAAGTAGGTAATAAATTATACACGTGCTTAAATAATTTAAATATACTTAAATAAATAACTGTTACATAGGTACGTGAAATAAAATATTGATATAGTTTTTCTTATAACTCGGTGTACCTGTTATAATTTTTATAGAAACAATGTCTGTACGTATATTCGAAAAAATAAAAAAAAAATGCTTACCTATGTGTAGTGAAGTGACATAGTTGAAATGAAAGAATTAAGACATTAAATTCAATGAGAATAATTAGTCGATTACTCAATTACTCGATAACTTCATAATATATATATATATATAGATATCTATAACTTGTAAGTACAGTAGAAGCCTCTTATTGGGAACACGGATAATTGATACAATCGCATTATTGAAACAAAATGTACAGGACCGGTCGTATGTTAAAACAATCGTGTATTAAAACCAATCGTTTATTAGAAACAATCGGTTGACACGTTTCACCTCGGTCCCAAAGTGTTCCTAATAAGCGGCTTCTACTATATAATAATCTATTAATAAAAAGATATAATATATTTCTATCTCTAATATAAAAATAAACTATTCAATAAAAAATTAATATTCTCTTATAGCATAGACGTTAGGTAGGTAATGTAATTAAAAATATGAGCATGTTAAAAATCTATGCTTATAAGTAGAGTTCGGATTTATATGCATTTGCATATTTATTCTGGTTGATTGTATGACACGCTGAGTGAGCACAAAATGTGTTTCATGACAACGATTTAAAAAATTTAACGTTTTTGGTGCGTATTTTTGGTATTTCGACATTTGCCCATTTTTTTCTATTTTAATTGCATATTTCATCTATTAGTGCATATTTCGGTAGTTTTTGGTTTTTTTTTTTTTTTTGACGTTTTTGAAATATATACTATTGCAATATAAGAAAAGAATGTTATATTTTTATAGTTTCGATTAATATCAAAATAAATGAATTTGTATACTTGTAGGTATAAACGGTTTTCCGAAATATGACCGTAGATCAATAATCGGTGAAATACGTATATCAAGATAAGAACATCGATTACGACTATTGACCATTGACATTATTTGAGGCGCGTTAAAATATTTATCGTGTATTCATGTGTGCTTTCTGTTGCAATTCGCGTTTTTATTACTTTATTTTTATCAAAATGCCGAAAGATAAATCGTCGTTATCGAGAGTCTTATACATTAAAATTACCTGCAAAATGATGAAAGTGAAGAAAAAAATGAAAAAAAGTATTTATTGTAAGGTTTCATAATTTTAAATTTATTGTTTTAATTAAATGTTCAAAAACTACATTTTTTTGCTAATTTTGTTATGCATATTTTAACATTTTAGTGCATATTTTTATACATTTTATATATTTTATCTAAGATTTTTTAGCACATATTTGATTGGTTTTGAATGCATATAATTCCGCGCTTTACTTATAAGGGATATTTCAATTACGAGTAATAGAAACTTTTGATATTTCAAAATAAATTTCTATTATACTTACTTATTCAGAGCGTTGAATGCGAAATATTATTCTAACCGTTTTTACGCTTCATTAGTATATAATAGGATTATAATACGTGTATATTATAATCTTGAATCTTGTATAGGCGATAGACCCCTTTATATATTTTGGATTTGTTTTAATGTCTGCTTTTAAGTTTAGAGCGTAACGAGGGTTATATTGGTTTTAATATATATATATTTTTTTTTCACTTTCTTTTTGTATCTGTAAACAAATTTTCTACCAGAAATGTTGTTCCGATGTAAAGAGTGTAGTACTTTTTTTAAAAGGAAATTTCGTCTAGTTGGTGCATTAATGAAGTCAATTTTTGATTTTTCAAAGAGTTTTCAAAATGATAAGGAAAAACCAGAAAGAAAATTATAGGTAAAACGATAAATACCGTTTTTATTATTTTTAATTTTTGCAACTTATATTTTTCATCGAAAATATTGGTCCAATCGAAAAATTAAAAGATCCGTTTGTTACTTTTAATATTTAGCCACTGACAGAGGAGGTCATTTTTTGATATTTAAAGTATTTTTCATAATAATTGGGAAAAACCAAAAAGATGAAGAATAAGATTTTTTGAAATTACGACGCAACGATTTAATTATTTAAAATTTTTACGGTATGTGTTTTCTACCATAAATATTGCTCTAATAGAAAAATGACAGGAGACCTTATTTGTAGAATTTTTAATTTAGTTTATGAGTAAAAAATTTGTTTTTTATTTCCATTGTAGTTTTTTTAATAATTGAGCCAAACCGAGAAAAACATAGAAAGAACGGGAAAATGTACACAACTAGTAGTTTTATTATTTCTAATTTTGTTTTTTTTTTCGTTGTAAATCAGTTAAAAATGCTCACAGTTTTGAAATTTAAACAGAAAACTTACATTTGGCTTTTTCTAGACGTGCTAAAATTTTTAAAACATATGGACATTTTAATTTTGCGAGTTTTTATGTAATTTTTATTTGATAGGTACTCTATGGGTAAAATTATTGGACTTAACAATAATGCTTGATAATTTAACAGGTCGTTCATTATAATTCGTATTTAGTGCCTAGTGGTTAAAAAAAAAAAATGAGTATGATGTAAAATTTTTTTTTATGAGAATTTTAATATCGAATTTTGATGAAAATTGTAAATATTACGGCCTTTCAAAACATGTTTAACCGAAGTTTACTCAGAATCATATTTCGTTATTAATGATTTATCGTTGCTTACAGATATAAATGAAATAATTTTATGTATCCTACCTTCCGAACTTCCTACATACAGTATAGCACACCCGTCCCCAGTTTGAGCTTTTTTTTGTATTTTTTCTTCTTTCTTTAAACAACTATTCTATACCAGAAATCTTGCTCCAATCATCTACGTCAGGTGTGGTTGTTATAGTAACAAATTGTGTATAATTTGCGCTTTAGGGGAGGGTAATAATTGTAATTTTTATGATTTTCCTTATAACAGTTTTTTAATAATTGTGAAAAATTGAAAAATTGAATACAGTAACCATTTTCGTTATTTTTGATTTAATATTTTTTTGTAATTCAATTAAAAATAAACGTATTTAATTTGAAATCTGCTCAGTATATTTATATTGACCCTTTAGTACACTTTTCTGACTTTTCAACATATTTTTACAATTTTTAGCTATTTATATTAGTTGTTGTATTTGAAATTTTTAAGGTTTTATGTGAATGAAATCGGTTTGGCTCAGTTAAAATGTTTCAAAATATAACACGGAGTTCATATAAGTTTTATTCGATGATAAAAAGATAAAAAATGAGATTAATTTACAGTTTTTTTGTATAAGCGTTGTAAGTGCAACATTTTTTACAAACATAAATTATATAATTGTATATTCTACCTTCCTAACTTCTCATCTACAACCGTGGCACACCCGTCAGCTGTATCATCATCCTTTTTTTCTCTCTGAAAACAAATCCTGTCCTGGTTTTATCCGGTTATTTTATAATACAGATCACTATAATATTTATAAATAAAATAAAATACTGACGAATTCATATTGTGTCTAACTCAATGACAAACGTATTTATTAGCTATTACCAGGAATATGCTTTATCGGACTAGTTAGTATACTACTTACTACCGGTATAATAAATTGTTTATATAGTGATGACGTACTAATAAAATATGATACTCATGTTAGGTTTATTAATTTGCACTTGATCTACAACTTCTATTAATAAAAAATACACATAAGGTCATTATACAGATATCAACACAAATTAACGTAGTCAAGTTCACACTCGAGGCTTTTGTTTTCACAGCTCAACATGATATTATGTGAACGAGTACATGGTCACATTTTAATCGTACACAATGATTCAAGTATATTATATTTTGTACATTTCTCTACATGACTTGGGGTATGAGTTTTTTTTTGAAAAATTTGTAATATTATATTGGGTATTTGATGGGTACCTCTAAATTTTTTCTTTTGTGATTTATTAATTTAAATTTTTTATTATTCATTACTAATATTGACAAACGAAATTTTGAACATCTATGTTTTAGATTCTTAGTGGAATGAATAAGCTTATGGTATTATAATAATGTTTACTTTTTTATGTTTTTTTTTTATCTGTGAACAACTTTTCTACCAGAAATATTGTTTCAATTTACAATGATAGCAATTTTTCTGTTAGGAAATCTGTCTGGGGAGGTACATTATGGGGTAATTTTTTGATTTTTCTCAATGTATTGGAAAAACCAGAAAAAGCGGAGGAAAAACGGGATAACGGGAAAATAAGTACAATAACAAATATTGAACAAATATTATTAAATAAAATATTTAATGCGTATGCAATTATTTTAATATAATATGACATACTCATTGTTGACAAAGCAACACTATCCACTGAACTCCGCTCAGAATCATTTTTTTTTTAGAAATGGTTTATAGTTGCTTACAGATATATATTAAATTGCCATCTGTATCCTACGTTCCCAACTTCCCACCTATAACAATTGCTCCACGCACGTGTAAAGTTGCCCGGTTTTTTAATCTCATTCCCTTACCTCCTTATTTGCATCTATGTTATTAACACTGTTTTATGTTTTTATAATATTTTTAGAATCGTAGGTTAACTACAAATATAGGTATAATCTTTATGGTTGTATAGCCATTTTCCAAAAATGAGATAATATTTTGCTCTGTTGTCCATTTTTTTTTCAAAATAAAGGATACGGAATGTATTTCAGGGGAAAGTGACCGTTAAGCATCATATGAAAGTACTCTAAAAATTATGGACCCCTTTTAAAGTGGGGGTCTAACATTTTTATTTTTTAAGTAATAAGCTATTTAAATTTTTTTTTAATGAAACCGTATCTACCATACATTTATTTTATGTACCTTGAAAACTTTAAATTTATGAATCTAATTTTTTTTAGATTCAGAAGAACAAAGCGAAGAATGTATTGGTTTTACAAAGATGTTTATTTTTTTATGTGGACACTTTTTCTACCAGAAAGCTTACTCTAATATATACGATGTAGACCCTTTTCTGAAAGGAAATTTACTTGGGATGGTACTTGAAGTAGGTAGTTTTTTTTTCTTTCTCAGGATTTTTCTCACTAAATGTAAAAAATCTAAAAAAAAAATATATTAGTAAAATATTGCGGGTATAACGCGTTTACTGTCTCAGCCCAACTACTAGGTAACATACAAAAACAATCCTTACGCAGAATAAGCAGTTTTCATCGTAGTAGTTCTCATCGTAGTTTTCTGCATGTTTGGTACCATAATGTGGTTTTAAATTATGTTCTTTAAGTACTGTAATAAATTGTTGGTTTCTTGGCCTTTTGTTTAACTTGAACAAAATATAACTGCTGGATCTTTTTTCTTGAAATACGGGATTTTCGTCAGAGATTTTACGTTTTTTATTAACTGGCATTTTATATTTACGGTGAAATTAAGAGAAATACTTCGTGTATTATGTTCCTTTAAGACACTATATTAATGCGGGTACTATGCCACCATTTTTCAACTCGTTTATTAATATCAAAAATGATTATAATTGTAAACGCGTCAATTTCATATCTGATATGTTACGTTATTTTACTCTGTAGCCCAGACATATTATATAATGGCTAATTGAAAGTTTATACAGTCAAACTACTTAGCACAAGCATATCGCTGAAAATATTAATACACACACATATATATATATATACCGAGTGATTCATTTAAGTGGTTACACTCATTATTTCGGAAAGTATTAACTTTTTTTGGATTTTGATTTCTCGAACATTTAAGAAACAAGCAATTCTACAATTTTATATTCATGTTATTTTTTGTCACCCTTATTTTTGGGAGTAAAACCACCACTTACTTTTGATTTTCAAACGGTAACCTACATTAAAAATTCCATAAATAAATGAAGTATTAGTTAAAATAAATAAAAGTGTTGAAATTTTTGATTTCTGTCAAACCATTAACCAGATATTTCACTTTTAAGTTTGGGTTGGAGAAGAGAAGTGGTGAATTATTAACATGCCGCATGCCGTACCGCCACAAGAGAACAAATTCCGAAAAAATTTAATATTTTCTGAAATGAATCACTTGGTATATATATATAAATTTTAGTCGTGAAAATAATACTTAATGTTTTGTTTAATACAATAAAGTTCAAGTTTTTATTAATATAACATATTTAATTTATTAACAACATGAATATGTAAATAGGTAATTTAATTTATCTTATTGCATATTTCTCAATTTTTCATTAACGATGTTTTATTAATAACCGTTCTATTTTAATCAAAATAGGAAAAATACACGTTATTCTTAAAATGTGATTGTGGGTCGCAAATAAAAGCAAGATTCCTGGGCTACAACTTGGTTTGATCTCTAGGATTATTTTTTGGGTCAATAAATAATATTATAAAATGCCGTAAAATAAAAATTATTTTTTTTTTTTTTGTTTTTATAAGGTAATCATTTTTTTTTTACATTATAAAATGTGAAGTTCAAAATGGTAATTTATTTGTTTTTTCAATAAATAAAGCCTCGGTGATTATATGGCCATTAGTTGAAACTAGTAACTAGTTGACATGTGTTTACACTTTATCTTATTTACATTATATACATTATTTATTTTATAGAACCTAGAACGTTTAATTTTATAAACAGTTAAAAATTATAAAATTAATGGTAATTAACATATTATGTATTTAAAAAAAGTACATTTATTAATTTAAAATTACATATCAATTGGTTAAAATCAGTGCTGTCATCTTTAAGATAAAGTTTTAACAAAAAATCTACATAATTCATAAATCATTATAACATACTTTATCTACTTATGTAAAACAAAACGGGCATTCACCAGTTCTAAGGCATTCAAAACATATTCCAGTTGCCCTTTTCCAAGTATACAAGTTGCCCTGAACTAAATGTACGTGCTGCTCCTATCGTATAAAACAGCGCGTATATTGTACAAAGAGAGGAATTTTACCAAAATGGATAATTTTATATAATATAGAAAATTGTATACGATAAATAATGACAAGTAATGATCCTCAATAGTCGATAGGTACCTACATAACATTAACTACAATAAATTATAAATAAATTATACTTTATCGAAATATTCGTTATTATCATAATGTCATCTTTATAAAATTTTCATTATTTTAATATTAATTTTTTTTGACAAAATACAATGTATGCCAATTATTATTATTTATTATCATTGCAAATATTGTTCATACACCCGTTTAGCAGTGTCACAATTAGGGATTATGGAGCTGATGTGCAAACTTTTTTATTTTGGGGTCTAAAAAATTTGCTTTTTCTAAACGTGGTAAAATATTCAAAAAATTTAAGCCATTTTTAAGCTATTTATAGACATTTTAATATTGCGAGTTTCGTACATAATTTTTATTCGGTAAGTACTCTATGGTAAAATTGTTAGACTTTATGCTCAAAAAAAAAAAATTAATTTAATGCAGTATTTTTTTTATAAAGTAATTTTAATACCAAATGTTGACGAAAATCTTTCGAGTAAAATATTATGTGCATACTTTTCTACAAAAAATCTTGTTCCGATGTATCAAGTGTAATTTATTTTCTGAAATTCTGGAAATTTTAACTTTGTTACTAAGAGAACCTATAGATATAAAAGAACAAGGTCCAAATCCACATTATATAATACAGCTTAAAAATCTTTCTTTAAAACTCAATTGTTTCGGTCTTTAGTAATTTCATATTGCTTAGGTACCTAATATGTCTTTAGAACTTTTACAAATATTGGAATGTTTCTTTTAAATTTTTTTTCGAACTTTGGGACCTACATTGGTTTGGAGGCCGATGTGCAATGCACACTTTGCATACCCGGTAATTGCGGCACTGCCTCTCAGTAATATAATCGGTAGGTACTACGTATAGCGTGTACTGTTTTATGTATCCACCGTACACTCAGTTTTGTACGTAAGAATTAATATTTTTTTTGTTCGAAAATTCTTCGCGTAGCCTATTGAACAGCGGCTCCAACAGAACAGGCTTTTAGAACAAAGGCTTCAATAGGTAACAATCATTTGTACGCATAGTAAATCGTATCATAAATACAAAATTGTTTAAACGTCTGTGTGTAACGTTACCAAAAACAACTGTCAGTTCCATTTGCGTTTAGTGCTCACCATTGTTTTTTTTGTCTAGGTACCTACGTTATAGCATTATCGTAAATTGTTACTTGTATCTATGTTTATATATTTTTAGTAGGTTTAAGCAATTTTAGGCTTAGTTAGCGACTGACCAGTCTGCACTTCGTGTTATCCGTTTGTAAAGTATTTATCATTTATTATATTATAATTTGTTGAGTTATTTTTATACCCATCTGTTTTACTACCAACTCGTTTATTTTTATTACTATGTATTTGCGTATTTAGATATTATTGTTTGCTGGATCAAAAGGGTCATACTATTATATAACCAAATTGTTACCAGTAATAAACAGCCGTAATTACCAAAATTTTGTTACTATTTTTTTACCTAGTTATTAAGTCATACACACGAATACATACCTATTCATCACATCACATATTAGCGTTCACTGGTTTTGCCCGGCGAACCCAACCACTTCCATTTGAACTTCTTAGTTGGTAGGTAATACGCACAAGGAAAATGGTGCCCGGGTTATGCGAAATTTTTAATTAGTCCTAAAGTAGTCCTAGTCTAGGATATTAATCAATTAATAAGTTGAATCTTCAAATGACGTAATATTTGTTATCTTTTGCCGGTTAGTTTATTTTGTATTTCTACTGTATTTCAACGGTTAAGGCAGTGCTTGCTAAAATGAATACTTATTGTACCTATATATTTATGATTAAATTGATTCCAATAAATTCAATTAATGTTTGAAGTAAAGTAAAAATGGTTTGAGGGGCGAAAAAATGTTAAAGAAACGTAGTAGGTAGTGGTGTAAAATAGTCTCTCATTTTTGGAAAAAAAATGGTGAGAACATAATCGTTATTTGATTAGAATATTTATTTGTTCATTTCGAATTCGTATTTTCAAATATATAAGATTATGTATTAAGATAAGATTAATAATACTATTCTGTCGATTTCCTACAATCATAATAGGCAATATGTTGTGCAAAAAGAAACAAAAAATACTCGGTGAGCGGATGTATAAGATTTAAAAAAAAAAAAAAACCGACAGTTTTACAATGTCCGTATTATTGTAATAAATTTATCTGTGCATCGCATAATACGGTGATGTTCGTGCGTGTATGATTGTAATAATAATTAATGATTAACAAGCACTCATGAGCTCGCCGCCGCCGTTGGCGGATGGGCTATATCGGCATAATAGCTCTCTCGAATCTAATCTAAGCATGTATAACACGAAATGATTCGTGCTATCCCAATTAATAATCTACCGCGATATCCATTGTCGACGATGATCCACCGGCGGCATTTGCCGTTTACCAAATCACCATTAGTGACTTTCAATCGTTCTCGTTCCAGGATATTCGTCAACAGAAGTTTACATCTGGAGAACATCAAATTCTATGGATTCGACATGGATTACACGTTGGCTGGTAAGTGCACGTGCCGCCGCGCCCGTTCATTGACCGGCGTGTTGTTTTTAATTTTAACTGCTTAATTTTAGCGTACTTATCTATTTAAGTGAAGTGGAACGTACGGGCCAGTACATATTTTGTATTTTTATTAAAATTTGAACTTTAAGCGCTTACAAATAAATTGATTGTACTACGCTGAATTATTTTTTTTTCCATTATTGCAACTCATTATTAACCTTATGTTCAATTTTTGAGCGTTTTCGCATGGATCAACATAATTTTAATAATACAAAACTAAATAAAATCTTAAAATATTTGAAATGGCTACAAATGACTGAAATATTTCCAGAATATTTTGAAAATTGCAATATATTAGGAATAAACTGTATATCTTAAAGATTTCCCAACGTTTATTTCTAAGAGTACCTTCAAAATTGAGAATACTAAAAAAAAAAAAAAACAAAAAAAAAATTTTATACTAGAAACCATTATCTCTCCAATTAATTATCAGAGCAAGATTTCTGATAGACAAGTTATTTACCTATAGACAAAATAACAAAAACAAATATTATAGTGAATCTAAAATAAAGTTTATGATATTTAAGCAAAAATCTAGCCTGCAGTAGTGTTATAGTGTTTTTTTTCATAAATTATTAATCACAGAATTCTGTTTAAAATTGATATGAGAAGGGTGTAGGGGTAAAGCTCCTCACGAGTTCGGTTTAGTTAAATAATTTCAAAGGAAGCTGATTTTGTTTTAAGTTTTATTGTCAAATTTATTTGATTTTCTAATTCAAAAACTGGGTGTGCCACTGCTGTAGCCTGTAAGTGGGACGTTTTGATTTGATAATAGGATACATAAATTTATTTAGTTTATATTTGTAGGTATGCAGTGATTAACTCTTGTTAATGAAAAACGATTCTGAATGAAGTTCGACTACATATGTTTTTAAATGCAGTATTTTTATAATTTTCGTTGAAATTTGGTTTTAAAACGCTTATAAAAACTACTTGTCATATTGCACTCAACGTTTTTGACCACTAAGTATATCTTATTATGAATGTCATCGTGTTAAATTTTGAAATATTTTTATTAAACCAATTAGTCAATCAATTATATCAACATAATATCTATCAAATCAAAAATAAAAAAACTCGAAAATGTCCTAAAGGCCTATAAATAGTTCAAAAATCGCAAGGATTTTTTAAATATTTTTAACACGTTTAGAAAAAAATCTTATATATGAGTAAGTACTATGAAAACATTTCAGATCTCTACAGTTATTTTAAATAGAATTTTACAATAAAAAAACAAAAACAAAAGTAATGAATATGTCAATGCCCTAAAATTTCCCATATTTCCTAAGTTTTTTTTCAAATTATTATAAAAGCTGCTTGGAATATCTAAATGTGACCCCCTCAATGTACCAACTAGATCCAAAATGCGCCAAAAAAATTATTTTTTCATTTTTTGATTAGAGCAAGATTTCTTTTTGAAAAGTTGTTTACAGACAGAAAAAATCGCACACATTTCTTGCTTCTTTCAAAATATATAAAAAAATTTGTCATAACATTAATATTGTTGTTCTGTCTGCAGAGTACAAGTCTCCGGCGTACGAGAGACTGGGATTCGCGTTGGCCGTCGAAAGGCTCGTGGCGATGGGGTATCCCACTCAGATATTGCAGTTCGAATACGACCCGTCGTTCCCGGTCAGGTATGTCTGAGCCATATTATTGTATTATTTTTGATGACAACTGAGGTACAAAATGAAATAGAACGGAACCTATTTAAAAAAAGTTGAAGGTATACTCTTGGTTTGTTTGCAGTCAAATAGTGCGATGAAATGAAGTAGAATTTATGAATTATGTTTAATATACATATTAATGCACATATTATATATGTAAAGTAAAACTATATTTTAGAACTAGTTTTGTGATCAAATTAAGCTAAGGGATTGCGAATGGCCTGTTTGATAATAATATATCGATATTTAAATACCTATGTTTAATTTTGTTTTTTGTTGTTCTTATCGCAGAGGTTTATGGTTCGACTCATTGTATGGTACTCTACTCAAAGTCGATTCGTACGGTAACATACTCGTATGCGTACAGGGTTTCGAGTTCTTAAAACAGTGAGTTATTACATTATATACGAATTAATTATACATTAATCTTTTGTTTTCTTTAAAATACTGCTGTGTTAAATACAAACAAATTGTTTATTACCACTATCCGAAAGTTTTTCAAAACTATGTTTATAATTGTTTCCGTTTTAAAAACATTAATATGACTTCAAAACAAACGTTTCAAAATATTACTTGCATCTATAATATTATTGTAAATTATGTATTGAAACAATTATTATTTTTCTTTTGTCAGTTCTCAGGTGTACGAACTGTATCCTAATAAATTTCTTCAGCTCGACGAATCTCGCGTCTACGTGCTCAACACATTGTTCAACTTACCCGAAACGTATCTGTTGGCTTGCCTGATCAACTATTTCACGTCTTCGCCTAACTACTCGAGGTTCGTGACCGTGTTTGCTAGCGGTTTAAACATAATGCAATTTAATGTTCGTGTATCTAGGTATAATAGATACTTGAAATTATTTTTAGAGAAAAAACGGGAGTATGCAGTGGCGATTTGCTAATGTCGTTTAACTCTATATTCCAAGATGTGAGAAACGCCGTAGACTGGATACACGTACATGTAAGCATATTTTTGTAGAGTATAAATTGTTATTTTTTTACAGTTTCAACCCTATATTTTTTCGTAAATCTCATTCTATTCCCTCTCGTTTTCCTCCAATATATTATCCGCTACTTTTATATACGTAGACACTACCTCTTTTATACTTACTACATCTTAGCACTCATTTTGACTAGTCCGATTCAATGTCCAACACTCAGACCCATACACATACTTTATATATACATTTTTATATTTTATATTTTTGAAACAGGGTGATTTAAAAGAAAGGACTATTCAAAACATATCCGATTACGTCACAAAAGACCCTAGGTTGCCGATGTTTTTGGCCAGGATTCGCGACAGTGGCGCAAAAGTGTTCCTGTTGACCAACAGTGATTACCGGTTTACCAATATGATAATGACATATCTATTCGATTATCCACACGGAGCTTCGGTTTGTTGACGTTGCATATTGGTATAATTTTATATTTTGTTATAAATTATAATCCGTTTCACAGGAAACCGAACCACACAGGGACTGGCAAACATACTTCGACATAGTAGTAGTGGACGCGAGGAAACCGCTGTTTTTCAGCGAAGGTACGATTTTACGAAGAGTGGACACGAAAACCGGTGCTTTGAAAATGGGCACGCACATTGGGCCATTGTTGAAAGGTCAAGTCTATTCAGGAGGTATGTTTGTAAACCTATATATTATAATAGTTCGCGTATCTACGATATAAATTATACAATATATAATGCACATGATATTTAAGATACACATCGTGGCAATTGGCATGATTACTGCATTTTGTGTTTTTAGGCTCTTGTGATATTTTCACCAAACTTATAGGCGCCAAAGGCAAAGACGTCCTATATGTGGGTGATCATATATTCGGAGATATTCTCAAGTCGAAAAAGATACGTGGCTGGAGGACGTTTTTAGTTGTGCCTGAATTGGTTCAAGAATTACACGTGTGGACAGATAAATGTCAGCTGTTCGCGAATCTGCAAAATTTCGATATAGCTCTAGGTAACATGTACAAGTAAGTATATATAGCAACAATATTAAATAATACAGTGGCGTCATTTGAAGAGCGGCAGGAAAGCCATTTCCCCCCACCCATGTCATCAGCGGGCCTCTATTGGGCCGGGTATGAGCTAGTTTTGGGCCACAAGCCTACAAACATAATTCATGATTTATGTTGTATACGATCACTCAGAGCTACATTTTTTAAGATTTATTTGTGAAAATAATTGTGATATATTGCATGCAATATTTTTTTTATTGTACTTTTTATTAACATTCATTGCACTTTAGCTAAAATTGTCAGGTTCTCATAAGAGTCCATGTAAAATTTAGAGTGTGTCAATTCTTGTTTAATTTATTCTATGATCATACGGATGGCCATGGTGACCATGGTGACATGGTTATAATTTTTGTAAATACATGTATACTCCATACATATTGGCACAAATAGAACATAAATTAGGGGAAAATTAACCTCAAATTAAATCTTCATATAGTAGCTAATAGGTAATATATTTAGGTATCCCTTTACATATATATTTATTATTTAGTCATTGTTGTCCCTCAAAAAAATGGGTTATTCATGCCTGTGATAGTATGTATAAAATTAGGTAAAAGAATATTTGTATTGAGATAAAAATGTAACTGTGATGGATGAATTAGTGAGCTGTTTTTATCAGTTTTATTTTGGGCCGGTCAAATTTTTTGCCCATTCTTTTCAAAACTGAAATGACTCCACTGATATAATACATACCTAATCATTGGTGTCATTTGAAGGGTGCAAGGTATGCATTTCTATATTTAAAATCAAATACTAAACAAAATTGGCCATTTTAATTTGGTGTTATAAATTGCTTGGCCTATATAATGGATAGTGACTTGTGCATTACTGATCTATATATTTTACTTTAACATTAATATTTTATGTTTGTTTTGAATTAAAAACAAAAACATGATTTCGAATATTACGTAGATATTGTTCATGATGATTATCATATTCTTTATAGGTAATCGCAATGACATGTGAATATAACTTTATTAGTTAATTATTTAATGTTTTATTAGATGGTTTAATAGATATTTTGTTTAAAAAATATCTATTTTGCTGTAAAATGTAGACAGGTTTTGTGGCCTACATAATCACATGGGTATTGAAAATAAAAATTGGAAGGAGACGCCACTGTACAGTCTGTCCCTAATAATGTGATGTAATGATTAAATTTAATATTACGATTGTTATGTCAAATCATAGAAATTTAGATAGCAGTACAAACGAAAAACCTGATATATCTAAACTGAGAATGGCAATGCGCGATGTTACTCACAAAATGGATTTGTCTTACGGGATGATGGGTAGTCTTTTTCGTTCAGGATCGAGACAAACCTTCTTTTCATCACAAGTTACACGATACGCCGATCTATACGCTGCTACATTTTTAAATTTGATTTATTATCCATTTTGCTATATGTTTCGAGCACCGGCCATGTTGGTGAGTGAATAACTTTACAAATAGTATATTATTAATAAATAATTAGGTTTTGATTCTTTACATTTTACCACCAAACGATAGACAGGTATTATAGAGGTATTGTGTCTAAAAAATTAATATAAAAAATAAAGCTTAGTACTGTTAACAAATGTGCCACCATTGTAAGTGAGAAGTTACATAGAATTATTTAATTTAATATACCTCTATAAATTACTGCAAACGAAAAATGATTCTGAACAAAATTCGGTTAAACATATTTTAAAAAACTTCATCAAAATTTAAAGGCTTATAAAATACCTACTGTATAACACTCACTAGTTCAACTTATGATATACTTCTCGTGAAACTTTAAATATTTATAATCAGTCAAAACAATTTTATCTATACATACAGTCAAATAAAAATTAAAAACCTTGACAATTTCAAATGATAAATAAGCTCTATCATGCTAGCACTCGCATATTGGAATTTCGACTGATTAGACTAATTACTAATTAGAAAAATAAGTTATAACCCATAAAAAAAAATTTGTATCTGATATAAATTCCAGATTATATCATCTATTTTTGTATATATGTATAATATGGATGTAATAGTGTAAATCTTGATACATTTTTGGGGTCGCAAACAATTTGTAGGGTTACTTAAACTCATGGGGGGAGGGCTTCAAATTTTGCAAGTTACATCTCTAACCATAAATTAATAATATTTGAAATTTGAAATTATAAATACACTTAATCTCAACAATATTATTTTAACCTCATAATGAATATAATTGTTATGCATCTATTAGTACAAAGTATACATTACATGTGAAAAATATATACTTTAATTAAGTGCATATAGTCATTGAGTACTATCAATAAGTGTATATTATATTTAAACAAAATATTAACACACATAATAATACTAACATAATAATTGTTCTTATATTCGAATTTATTAAATTACTTAAACATATATTAAATAGATCAACAGTTGTATATGATAATAAATCTATATGAAATAAGTTGACTAATTCCGTACCTCTATTCATAGGAGAATTTCGACCATAATTGGTTGACTGGAACGGTACATAAAATGTATTTAGTTGTCTAGTGCTACAACTAGGGACCAGGAAATTTAATAAACTCAATAAATTTTAATAAACAATAAACTTGTCTATTAAGTAGTTTAAAAATGAAATAGAGATCTAACCTTTTCTTTCGTGTCACCAATGGTTCAATATTTAAAAGAGATAATAACGGCTGGTAAGAGGAGTGAGGAATGTCGCAGTTAAATGACAAAAATCTCAAAAACAATTTTGTATCGACCCTACTGTTTGTATCCAACCAACTCTACTAGGTGACCAAACTATAGAGTTGTAATCCAAAATTGACCATACATATGAGCAGTAAAGTACTTTTAATGCATATGGATTATTAAAACTTTTGCAGCTTCGATTTATAAAACCAAGCATAGAAGAAGCTTTGTTTTGAATATTTAAATAATGTGCATTAAATGATAGTTTTGTATTAAAAATTATACCTAGGACACTATTCTTATCAGTGCTCTTATTATCTGTGTACACGTAATACACGTGTACATATGAAATTAAAAATATCGTGCTGAAAACCGTGTTATCCGTAGTTCACTTAATTACGTGAATCATGTATATTTACAAATTTACGTCGTATACAAAAACCTACACCTGAATTTAAAATTAATTAATAATAATAATAATAATTGTTACGCCGTAATCAAGTCTATTCATATTATTGCGCGGTAATTGGCGACGACTCGCGGTGTATCAAGAGAAGGGTAGGATTCGGTAATTAAATCGAATAGTACTAATTAAAATAAAAATACCAATCTACACTTTCGCATTGCGCACAATATGTATATTAAAACATACGAAAAGCCAAATAATTATAAATGAGAAATATAGGTGCCCATCAAGATCTAATAATAAACAATAATATTCTTTCTTTATAATAAACATGAATACAACCGAAGTATAAATAAATAAATATTAATAATAATACTCGTGGAATTATAGTAATACAAACAACAAAAAAAAAAGCGTGTCCCAACATTAATAATAATAATTTTTAAACTAAAAGTTTACAAGTACTATAGTTTCAAATATTTCAACAAAATAATTTTCTATTTTGGTATAAAAATACCAACATGTCTACATTTTCAGGAAGAAGGGAACTTCTTTTTGATGTCACAGTATTTTCTGGCAATAGCTGCTACTGCTGGATATTTATCTTCTCGTGTTTTTCACCATTCTAAGAGATTTAAATCAAATCGAAGTTGAGGTTCTGAAAGATATCCCGTAAACTGCGTAGAAGCATCATTCGTATCAATTATTATTTTCTTTGTAAATAAATGCTAACACGTTACTCATCTCCAAATCGCTTTTTCTTCTTTATTATGATTTGTAACGGTCGAAGCGCTCGATTCGATAAGCTGCAAGACATGTAATCGAATTATCTCTCTCTAGCCTGTATAGGTTCATGGTCCATATCTTTATATCTTGGATCAAGGAATGAAACAATCTGTCTTGCAGATACAATTTTTTTCATGTTGGTTCAAAACGAGTAGTTAGTTGATATGAAATTGTATTCTTAAATCATTCCGTCTTACTATCATCTTTATAATGGAAAAATTGACAAAACTTCAAATAGGTACACGCTGTTATAAACTGGGTGATATTATTTTTCACTAGTTGCATGTAAATAATTAAATGGTTTATGAGGAAAACATGTATGATCATTGATCACAGATCACGTGAATATAAATCACGGAATTCACGTGTCACGTGAAATACGTGAATATGCAACATAAATATCCGTGTACCCTTGACACAGATACACGTGCGAAATAAATCACGTATTTTATTAAGACCTCTAATTCTTATAAACGTCTTTAAGTTCAGAGTCATTTAAAGTATAGTTATAAAGATATGGTGTCCGTTTATTTGAGAAGGTTAATACTTTGCATTTAAAAATATTTAAAAGTAAACTATTCTGGGTACACCATTCATAGAGGACGTTATATCATTTTGGAGTAACTCAGCATCATTTGGGGTCTTCATGATACGAAATAATTTTAAATCATCCGCAAGGAGTAACATACGTAAATGGGTAAATTTATTATCGTTGATAAATATGTTAAATAATAATGGTGCAATATGAGACCCTTGAGGGATACTGGAACATACTTATTACATTATACTAACTTGAGCAAAAGTTTTTAATTTTAATATGTTGTTTTCTACCAGTTAAAAGATACTAATTATGAATGAAAAGAATTGCGTAAGCCTAAGTGGTATAATTTGGTGATAAGAATATCATAGTCAATTTTGTCGAAAGTTTTCGAGAAGTTGGTATAGATAACATCCACTTTATGTCCTGCCTTAAATGCATTTAATACATAGCGTTAAAATACTAAAAGATTAGTAGTAGTAGACCTTAATACTGCTTATCAATTATTATGTATTTAAATATTGGATTAAGTTTTTTTGATAATAGGTTTTGGAAATAGGTTTAGAAAATAGGTTAGGAAATAGGTTATCGAAATAGGACGATAATTAGTTACTTGAGTATTGTCACCTCCTTTTGAGATTGGTGAAATATAGGTAACTTTCCATTTATCCGAAAAAACACACAACTAAAGAGATCGATTGAATAAGTGTAACAGGGAAATGGCAAGGACGAATTTACATTCACTAAAAATATATTTGGAATTATATTCGGACCAAGACATGTTTTAGTACTTAGGCGGTTGAGTTCTTCGTATATGTCATTTAAAGTTAATATACAATTGTGTATGTATGTTCCTTTTTCAAAAATATTTTTTATCTATTAACTTTTCTACCAAAATTCGAGATCTATTAAAAAATTAGATCTTTTTTATTGCATTTTGGATTGAGAAAAAGAAATTGTTTTAAAAATTTTCTGGTGTTTTAATACTATATTAAGAAAAACCATAAAAAAAAAAAGTACAGAAATAAAAGTTTAATAAGGTATTTTATTTTTGTACCAGTAATCGTGTTCTTCTAGAGAATTTCTAGAGAATCATAATTTTTGGAAGAAAATGTCTAGTTGGTATACAAAAAGGTTAATTTTAGATTTGAACATAGGAGGTTTTGGTTTTACTATTTGTACTTTTTTTTCTATCTGTAAACAACTTCTTTCGAAATCTTGATCTAATTGAAAAATAATGAGTTCACTGACAGAGAAAGTTAATTTTTGATATCTAAAGTAGTTTTCATAATAATTGGAAAAATCAAAAAAGACGAAAAATACAATTTTTTAAATTACAACTTATTATTAAAAATTATATTTTTCTACTGGAAATCATTGTAAAAATTTCGAGAATAGCATATTTTCTGAAAGAAAATTTTATCTAGTTTATGAATGTGAAATTTTTTGTTTAGTTTTCCATATAGATTTTCTAACAATTACAAAAATCTGGAAAAAAATTTAGGAAATATGACAACTGAAAAGTATTTAGATTTTTGTTGTTATTGGAATGAAAAGTATTGTGGAGACCTGTAATTTTCATAAAATACTTATATCGGCCTTTTGTAGAAGTGGTTACATTTTTAAAGCATTCCAATTATGTTTAGGCTATTTATAAGTATTTAATATTTTCATGTTTTTATGTGTATTTTTATTTGCTATTTAAATAGATACTGTTGTTCAAATTACACGACTTAAGAGAAATGCTTAAAAATTTAAGACAAGGTATATCATAAGTTGTATTTAGTGGCCTAAAAAATAAATTGGAGTTTAATGTATTAGTTTTTTTTTCTTAAGCGTTTTAAGATCAAATTTTTATGAAAATCGTAAATTTCGGTATTTCAAAATATCGAAATTTGCTCCAAATCGTTTTTTTTTTTTAGTTTATGTATCCTACCTTACCAACTTCCCACATCCAACAGTGGTTGCATCCTTCTACACTATAATTTGTTTTCTTTTTGTGTGTTTGTAAACAACTTTTTGAAAAGAAATCTTACCTCAGTGTATAGTGAAGTACCTTTTCTAATAATCAATTTTATCCGATTTGTGCATTAGAGAGGTTATGTTTTGATTTTTCAAAGGGCTTTCAAAATAAATGGAAAACCGGAAAAAGACGAGAAATGAAAAACGAACCAATTTACTGCGAACAATTTCATTATTTAAAATTTGTATGGCAATGTTTTCTACCATAAAATGTATGGTAATTTAGTGTAAGTTTTTATATTTTTTCCCGGATTTTCCTAATTATTATTAAAACTACTTAGAAAATCTAAAGATGACTTGTGTAAAGGACCAATTACATAAAATTTAATTTTAGAAAGGGTGCTATACTTGCTACATCTAAGCAAAATTTCTAGTAGAAATGTTTACAGATACAAAAAAAAAACACATAGTAAAACCAATATATTGTTACGCCCTGAATCTAAATTGTATTACTGCTGACAGGTGAGCCATGTAGTAGTTACAAGTAGTGATGTCAATTATCCGTTTTTGAACCAACTGAATAAACTGGATATACCGGGATATTTATATCCTGTTAATAAAAATCCGAATTATTCGGATATTCAGAACGATTTCATAATAATTGAACGTTTTAAAATACCCCAATTATTACAATATTAATCAAAATTTGGACTTTAAACATTTATATATAAAAAAACATCTGTTCATTTAATTTTTTTTCTTTTTGAACCACCAATACAATTTATTAACTAGTGTAAAATGTTTTATTGTTCCTTAATAGGTGGGTATACAAATTATAATATTGCTAATTTCTTTCCAATTTCTTATTGATTTTTACTTTTACTAAACATTACACAGATGCCACATGAATCAACTGTAGCTCACGAACATGAACAAAGACTGAGCAAAGAGGACACATCAAGTTCAACAACTAAGACCACAGAGCCAGCACCAGCTGAATTGCAAAACAACGCAGATGAAGTGAGTTCAAAATTTTTGATTGTGCAACTATAATACTATAGTAAAATTTGTCTACTGATATCATGTGTCATAATTTATAATATGACATCAAATTAATGTAGGGATGATGAGGGATAGTAGTGGGTTCATGAATAAATTAGTTGGTTGGGTGTATGATGTATAGCACTTTATTATTAAATAATATGTTTTATCTAACCACAAATTTTGCTCTGGGAGTTTTCAAAAAAAAAATTACAACATAACTACAATTTTACCTAATATCAAACAGATATACAGATATTTAAAATTAATAAAACAACACAAATAAAAACGTTTACAAAACCTATAGCATTTATTTATTATTAAATATATAAATAGTTTAGGTTACCTAAGTCATTAAGTCTCACCTATTGAAATTAATTACAACATTAAGTCAAATTGATTATAATATATAATAAATAATTTAAACTAAATATACCTACCTCAGAAATAGTGTTATGCAAGTCAGTTTTGATTCTCTTGAGAGTTGAAAATGTTATTAGTAGCAGAAGACTAATCTAACATAACTAGTAAAGTTACTGCTATGTTAGTAACTCAAAACCATTTGGGTACATAGCTTCATTACATATATACCTAAATAGCTTTCATAGCATTTTTTGATTAATCTGCTTGTATTTTAATTTTTGTTGCCAATGCCTGCTCATTTTTAAATGCATCATCATGATTTCCAATATTTTACAGGTCTTCACTATACTGATTTTTAAAATTGTCTTCATCACCACATATAAATCATTATATAAGGAATAGAAATTTATTAATATAGTTTGGTAATTTGTAAATCTTTCTTGAGTAACTTTGTAATAATTAAACAATAAATACTTGTAATATAATACAAGTAATATTTCACAATTATTTTGGGGCCCTCATAAGTTCTAGTAATTTTACTAAAACTACCTTAGTTACACATTCTGATTTTTCTTGGCTGTGAGGAGTAGAGAATAGTAAACCAGCAATTTAATTCTAATTAAATTGGTGTAATTAAATAAGTATAATATATGGGTTGAATAGTAGTAGTTCACTAGTCCACTTGTTGTTTTGTCTTGTGGAGGAGAAATGAGGTTGATTTTATAACAATTATTATTATTTACATTTTTTTTTTTTTTTTGTATATGAGGTTAGGTTAGGTTCAATAGGAAGGAATCAACTAATCTTAACAAATTGTATTTATACATTTTTAAGTTCTACTTAAAAACCTGTGAACTCGACCTACAGTATCATCATAATTTTATGTTCCAGTAATTTTCTCCTATAAATATACAAAATTGAAAATAATAATTTATAGTGAAACATTTTTATTAAATAGTTTAATCTAAACTTATATGTGGGCTTGAAATTTTTAGGTATCCTTTTGTGGGTTTTTGGGTGGTCAACCTTTTGAGATTCAAATGGCAACTTGCATTCAAAATTCCATTGATAAATGAAGTATTTGTTCAAATAAATTTTAGCATTGACATTTTTGATTATGGTCATTCCATTGAGGAGATATTACACTTTTTAGTTTAAGCCGGGGGAAAGTATTAGAATGCTATTCAAGCACAGTGCACAATAGTGTGCCACCACAAAAGTGCATAGTGTTCCATTACTATAGTAATACTTATGTCCACATATAATTTTAGATTACATTTTTAAAAAAAAAATTTTCATTAGGTATACATTATTATTTATTTTGTATATTCATAGGAGAAAATTGCTGTACTATAAAATTCTGATCACTATATATACTGGGGAAATTATTTATTATTTGCTTTATATGGCCTAATAAAAAAGTTCCAGGATTACACCATTATGGGTCTATAGTCTGTTTCATTGCTATTGATGAACTTGACCACTATGGTCAGGTTTGATTGAAAATAAACACATGCACGTTTACATATTATATGTAATATTTTTTTATGGTCTGTTTCAATCACAGAATACAAACACATTTTCTACTCAAATACCATCCACCGTGACACACACACATGACGAAGATTGTTCAGATGAAGAAGATCATACAACAGAAGGAGCACCAGCAAACAATGTATAGACCACAAAGACTGCAAACATAACGCACAATGGCTAAGTGATCACCAGTGAAGCTGCCCATCTTGGACCACCTTATTAAAATAATACAAATTATATAATTATATTATAATGCATGATATTCATATAAATGACATTGTAAGTTCTGTAACATTTTTGTTTTCGATTAGGTATTATTTTATGTTCAATAGGATTATATATATATATATATATATACATTTTTTTTTTGAAATCTACAAGATAGCATGATATATATATATATATATATATATTTATACATTTTTATCATTATTATTATTATTATCATCATTATTTCTAATACATGTCGCTAGTTAACTGAAATGTCAAAAAAAAAAAAAAATAATAATAATAAACATTTTTAGACCATACATGAAATTCCGTTTATCAGTTGAATATCTTAACAACAGATTTAAATTATGATAAAAATTGAGTTTCCCTAAAATATTGTGTTTGCAATCTAGAATTTATTTGAAAAATAATATCTATTTTTTCTCTCAATATCTCTACACCTCTATACTCTATAGTCTATATCATCAAACTATAATACTGCCAAGATATATATTAGCTATATTAAAACTTACATATTAGTATAATATTATTATTGTTACTACTATTTATGTGCTAACTCTAAATTTATTGGTATTTTTGTGTTATTATTATAATCATTATCCAACCTACAAATTTAAAAATTGTTTCACAGGGTCCTTTTGAAACTATTGGATATCATTCAAAACATCAATAGCTTCAATAGCTATTAGATTGCATGGATTAGGAGATAATAAGTTATTACCAATTATTATCAAATTACTAAAAAATGTATTAAATACTAGCTGAATAACCCAGCTTCGCCCTTGTGCAATATTTTTGCGTTATCTGCAACTTTAATTTATCAGTTTTTAATATTATAGTTATAGGAAAAGGATAATTGTGCTAAAAGTGCTAGCTGTCCTTGTGACTGTTCCAATTTTTGAATTCTTTTTACCTTTATTCCTGTTTTGCTTAGTATATTAGACAGAAAAAATGTCTATGTGTCATAATATGTTATTTTGCATGGCTTTGTTGCTAGATCTGAGGTAAATAAATAAACAAAATGTAAAATCTTATAATAATAATAGAATTTTTCACTACAAAGGATGATTTTTAAGGATGAAGGGATTGAATATTAAAATTTTTTTAAAGCTTATAACCTTCTCGGGAAAATTCTGATCAAAAAGCCTCATTACAATGGGATGAATTAGATTAGGAAGGTATAAGAGACATACAGACAAACATTCATTTTTATATAATATAGCTGTCCCGGCAATGCTTTGCTATTGCTAGATTTTATTATTATTTTTTTTTTTTTTGTAGCTAAATTAACAAACAATATTCAGTAGAAACCATAGCTACCATGTAATCAATAAAAAAAAAAATATACATATAGGTTTTAAAAAACACAATGGGCTAAAATAATTTTCTTAGTCATCTAAATTATTTTGAGTTATCCTATATTATAAAACAAATATTACAAGTTTACTTAATTTATCCTACAGTGATGGATGTTGTGCAAGAAGAATATTTCTTTGCTTATAAATAATTGTCAATAAAGGTACAATGAAGGGTCATATTTAAATTTAGAATTTAGATGCATAGTAGGTTAACATATTTTATAATTGTTCAATTTCTAATTAGTTAATGAGCAGGGCTCATAACTTATAGTTATAAAAATGGTTATAATAATAAGCTATTAAAACATGTATATAAGCACAAAAATATACATTATAAATAATAAATTATGCAATAATAATAATAATGATATTGGAATACCTAGAAATTTTAAAAATAAAATACTAATGTGTATGATACAATTATAGAAGTTACTATTATAGGCCTTATTAATAAGGTTACCATTTGGCTAAGTTATATATAAAGATGAGTAGAGCTATCAATTTATCATTTAAAAAGAGAAATATACAGAGCTCAATTGATAGTGTTACTTTGTCAACAATATATAAATAGGCATTAAATATTTTTTAAGAATATTAATTGTTTAATGTTGTACTGATTTTCCCGGTTTTTCCCATTAATGGAAAAATCAAAAAATGACTTTCTTAAAGTACCTCTCCATCCAATCAAATAGACTTTCAGAAAAAGTGTTATCATTGTAAATCAGAGCAAAATTGCTGGTAGAAAAGTTGTTTATAGATAAAAAAAAAAACATTGTAAAACTATAAGCTACTTCACTTAACTCAGAATCTAAAATATATATGCAATTTATTACTCTTCCTTTCTTCTCCACTCTAAACTTTAAAACTATAACTCATAAATAGTAAATCTGATCTTAGTGTTATGCACATAAAAATGTTTAAAAAAATATTCTTTATTTCAATCTGAGTAAAAACAGGGGGGTTCGTATTTGAAAAACAATAGTATATACTTATTTAAAGTATATAGAGTAAGGTTAAAAATTAATAATACTTTAGAAAGTAAAAATTAAAGCTTAACAGATCCCACAATGAATAAGAAAAAAAGAAACACAGAAATCAAATTCACTTAAGATCCTCCTAGATAATTGCTGGTTCATGATAAAAAAAAAATCACCTTGTATATGGTTTTATTTTATTTCTGTTAATTAAAAGTTATTTTAAGGATATGAGGTATTTTAATAATAATATTATATATCTGTTGTGGAAACATAGCACATGTAATTGGACATAATACAAACAATATATGTTCACTGTTTGACAATATTATTAATTATTATGTTGGTTAGCATGGGTGCCTACAACTTTTACAATTTTATTTAATTGAATCTGTACATTATACCACTGAATTCCAGTAGTCATTAATGTATTCTGTAGTAATTTGCTCTTTGTTTTTTCAACATGAATAAGAAAATAACAACTCAGCATTCTATCATATAAATAAATAAATATATGTAATATATTTGATGTATAATTTTCTTTAAATAAACAAAATTTTGTATAACTAATATTAAAAATAAAATATTTTAACTAATACATAACCCTTTATAGAATGACTTAAAATGTTAACTTTATTATTATTACTATTATTATTAACATATATATATTTTAAAGATGTTAAAGTAGTGAGAATAGACTTATATACCTGGGTGTATTGCTGGTTGATACATTAATACTGTGCACGAGTAGTGGTATATCAAAAGGTTTCCAACTTAATATTATAGGTATGCAATAATTAAACTTAAAAAATAATAATAATAATAATAATAAATATGTATATTATATTAAAAACAACTAGAAAAAAAATCACAGATTAAAAATTGAAAAAAAAAAGTTACATTCAATAGGTAGTAGAATATTATAATATAAAACGTGATGTTAAAAAGAAGTATTTAAAATAAGACGAGGTGAATATTATTATAGTAATATTTGAAACATGACTATGATATTACAATAATAAGTAAAATCATTGACTTAATGTTTAAGGTGAAAAAATTTCGCTACATTATACAGAACGAGATCGATAATATATAAAACATGATATAATAGATAAAAAATATAAATTATAATAATATAATGTAATACCTACCGAATGAAAGTAAAAGTAATAAAAATACTCATTTATCATATTGTTTTGATGTACCTAGACCATTAAAACAAAAGAGCTCTCTTAAATAATTATAATACACTATAGGTAATACAGTGGACATAATATTGGGCAATGGGCTATTCAGAAATAAAATAGAAAAAAGTTGAACGAGCAGAAGATACAAATAAATTTCAATATTGATAGACAGGAGGGCCCAAGGAAATACTATATTAGTGGAAAATATACGCTTTGTTATTTATTGTAATAACTGGGATTCGGGACTTGTATTCCCATATTATTCTTAATAGCTGCTATAGAATAAATGCATTTTACTTTTAAAAATTACAAACTTGGACATAAAATACTTTTCATAGCAAAAGTAAATTATAAAGAAAAACAAATAGGTTATAGCTTGCAGAGGTAAAACCTATTAAAATATAATTATTCAAACAAAGTAGGTACCCAATATAAAATTAAAGAAACTAAAAATTGTATAAATCAAGTTTTTTTTTTTTAGTATCTATTTTAATTATTTAATATTTACTTAGTTATATTTTTCAGTTATTTTAGTTGTACATCACCAACAATTTTTAGTTCCAAATTCTATCACTAATAACTATGTATAACTACAGTTATTTATATGATAAATTATTTCTACATCTATAAGTGAAAACAAGTCAGAGTCAGTCTAAGTTTCCCAGTAATAAAAATTAGGTACAAAACGGTTTAAGTACACATGGGACGGATTAACATTAATAATACTAACACCTACCTAATTAAGAATATTTTATAATATAGGTTAGGTTAGGTACTTATGTGAAGAGGTTGTTGTTTTTTTTTTAAGTAACACCATGAAAAAAGAAAAAACCCCCATATTAATAAATAATTATAATAATAATAATAATAATAATAATAATAATAATGTTTTAGTGCGACTAAATGGGACAAAACAATAACAGTGTCAGTTTTAATAACAAGTACCAGGTACCTATTAATAAATATTAAACTTTGTACTGTGTGCGGCGCTTAGTTCCAATCTCGAGTCTGCGCCAGTTGGTAAAGTTTGGCAATAATAAAAAGGCTAGAGTTGGAAACGTAATGAGCATAGACTGTGACAGAGTAACAGTTTTTTATTGCAGTCGGACTGTTTCCATTTCAGCTTCAACTGTAACATATCAATAGTATAGATTATAAGAATACTATTTAACTCATAAACAAAATTTCACATATTGAATCTAATTAAAAAGAAAGCAAGTATCTTCAATAGTTTAAATTCAGTTCATTGGTGCAACTAGACCAACAAATTTGGGAGTGCTAAAATTATAAGCACATCACAAACCCATAAGGGCAATGCCTCAACAATCCCCTTTACACGATACTTATAATAAGCAACAACAAATTTAAGTCTTATAGTCTTTATTAACAATAATGTTTGTATAAATATATCTCATAATTTTTATATTTTAAACACAAAGGCATTTTTTGTAGATAATCTGTATTTTGTTCCACTTATTAATTATGAAATACATGGATAAAATATTTAGTCAATAATATAAATAAACTTATTGGGAATTTTCGGGGATGCTAAAAAAATCCTAACACCCCATAGTTGCATCTATGATTCAGTTGTAGTCTAATAAAGCAAGGGATCAATTGGTGTTTCAATACAGAGTAATCAGTATAATGTATGGCGCTCATTATTTCATAAAGAATTAACTATGTATTTTCAAATTTTTTTTTTTAGAACATTTAGGCAACAAAATATTCCATTACTCTTTTTTTGTTATCTCTATTTTGTGGGGTGAAAACATTATTTACTTTTGATTTTCAAGCGGCAAATTATATTAGAATTTCTTTAGTTAAATAGATAATTAGTTTAAATCAATTTTGGTGTTGCCATTTTTAATTTCTGTCCACCTATTGATGATGTATACCATTTTTATGTTTAGGTAGAAGGAGAGTTGTGTAACACTATTAAATTGACACTGTGTCTCCACACAATTGATATACTACTACTTCTTCACCCTCCCACCAGAATTTAAAAATGAAATATTTCATCTATGAGTTTATGGAAATTAAAAATGTCAACCCTTAGGGGGTAAATATAAATTTCACAAATAAAAGAATAATGAAATATTTTAGAACTACTTATTTCTTAAATGTTCTAAAAAACTAATCTGAAAAAACTTAACACTTTCTGAGATAATGAGTGTCTTATGTTATGTTGGTCCTAGTAAATTATTAATCACAATTATATCAAATTGATACAGAAATTATTAAATACTCAATCAAGTGATTAATATAATTATAAATTCAATTTATTAATCAATGATAGTATATTAGTTTAAATATATTCTGAAAAAAAAAATGCATTTTTTTTTTACAAATTACTCATAGGGTAGCATAGCTATTATTTTTCAACCCCATTAAAAATAGGGGTAGCAATTGCAACCGTGTGCTGTAATGACACCTATGATTAAACACATATAAGCAGATAAAAACACACAATATTGTAATAAAAATAAATACAGGTAAATCTCAGTCATAGGAAAAAAAGTCCTAGATTGACAGACAATTCCATAAAGGAGCAATATGCAAGAATTATGGAACTAGAGAGGTTCTAAATGTGGAATTTTTTAAATAGATAAAGTACATAGAAAACAAACAAATTATGGGGCATATTGCACAAATGTATTTACAAAATTCAAAATGAACATTGTAAACTACTCAGTTTCTTCGCTCCAATCAATTTACTATTTAAAAATGGATACAGAATTACCCTTTCCTAATCATCTAGTCTAAATGATATATTGTGATAACTCATAAACAGTTAATCCGATATATAAGTGTTATATATACAAAATTGATAGACAAATATTTTCTATTCATAACTGTGTTTGAATTGGAAGGGGGTTTCTATTAGAAAATAAAAAGTTAATACTCATTTAAGGTATAGGAAGTAATGGTTGTAAAAGTGAAAATAGTATTAAAATAAGGCTTAAATGATTCCATGATTGAAAAATAAAAATAAAATTCACTTAAAATTCTACAAAAACATCACTGGTTCATGATAGATAAATCTACCCTGTACTTGAAGTCATAATCAATCGAAGCAAGGTCTCTGGTAGAAAAAATGTTTGAAGACATACACATAAAAACACACATCATAGAAAAACCATCACAAAATCTAAAACATAGATAAATAGTGTGCTTTATAGAACTTACAAAAGTTAATAGATCTATGGCTTAAATTAATAGAAAGGTAAGTTAAAACTGTATTGGTATACCTATATAAGAAAAATAATGTACTCATTTTTATTTCAATTCCCATCATGAATAATAATCTTATTTCATAGTACAGCTACCTACCATGACAAAAAAGATTTATAAATTAATTAATTAATTAATTAATTTTAGGTATATTCAATTATCATCACAAAATGCAATGTGTTATTTTATAATATAAGATAATAAAATAAAATTACAAATTCAAATATCTTATTTAGTCAAACATCAAATTAATATTAGTTTAAAACAAATCTATGACAAAAAAATTGCGTGCATTCACTAGAGGAAAATGTTTAGACTACTGTACATACATACTGCATGCTATTAAATAAACAATACAATATTAAAACAAACATGTCTGTACCATTCATTTCAACAATGCTATCGCATAAGATTTTGATGTGAAGTCAATTTCTTGTGCGGTCTAGGGGATATTCCAGCGGATATTAACACATCCACATCAGTTCCATTTTTCTTGGACCAATCTATTGGTAGCCCTGTATTACGTACAACTATGTATTTTTACTAGTAAGTAATACTTGTCATTTAATGAAAGATTATTATCAATTAAAAATTAAACAAATTTTAAATGTATTTAAGTTAATTTAATAACATTGACTTATATTTTTATATTCTATTCAAGTTTACCTTTAACATTTCTATTTTGGCAGGAGTCTATGAGGACAGCGGCTAAATTGTTTGAACCAGATATGTAATCATCGGGCTTATATTTTTCTAAGATCAAGATGATAGGCTTTTATTTAATATGCACCAGTAATACCATATAATTATACAGTGTCGGCCTGACCATGGTTAAAAATAGTGAACAGAACTGATTTTCTAATCAGGTTTTGTAAAGATATAGCCTTACAATATTAAAAAAATCAATAAGATAGACAAATGGAAACAAATTTATGATTATTCCATTAAATCGCCAAGATATTAAAAATAAAAACAGTAATATTACACAAGTTAAAAATGATTTAAAACCCTTTTGAAAAATACATCTGAGGTCATTTAAATGTCCAGACCAACACTGTCAGTAAAAATTGTTATAATATTAAAAATTATAACCTGAATTACTCCTAAAATAAGATTGCTGGAATGGTGAGGTTGTTTGTACAGGTGAATAAACATTTGATATGAATTCTTCAAAAGTGCCCGAGTGTCTGTATTTTTTCATAATCAAATCTAATGATAACCACCTTTCTTCATAACTGTAAAATAAATTGTTTAATTCAATCTAAATTTCGAAAATTATAATGGTATCTAAAATTAATATCGTAGTCAAAATAAACATACTATTGTTGATAGAATGGTATAGTACTACGTTTTGCACATGACGCATTTATAGCTGTGTGACGTACTACATTAGCTAAAATAGATTTTTGAACAATAACTTCATTGTACAGTGGTCCAAAATAAGGAACCTAAATAACATTAAACATTAAATTATACAAGTACACATAACACATCAATTTTGAGTTTTCAAAACTACCACACTATGTATAAAAGTATGAAATTTGACTAACTTCTGGTTTCCTAGACACTTGAATTCTAAATAAACTGTTTGGCAATGGATATATGACAATAAGAATATCACAGAATTCTGTAGGAATAATACCACGTCTATAATCTTTGGAATTTTCGGACCATACAATATGTACTTCATCATTTCCTAGATGTCTAGTCTGATAACAAGGCATAATATAAATAGTTGGATAAATAGATAAGTTTTTAAAAATATACTTTTTGAACATATGCTTCTTGTGTGGATGTAGTAGCCATTCTGGTAGCTACATGAAAAACTACCTCAATGAATGAAGTAGAATAGTATGGTGTTGTACTACCAGCATTTTTGTTTCTCTGTAGTCCACCCATAAAACCATTGTGTGTTTCTAATTCCACCTATTTATATAAGAAAATAAATTAAAAACATTTTAAAATACCTTTATAAAATATGAGTATAGCTTTTACCTCCCAAGCAAGTGCAGAAATGAATTCTTCATAGGCTTGACTTCCCCCAGTATTTGAAATAATAGCAAATTTATCTTCTTGGCCTTCCGCAACATAAATTATAGCTATTTTGTGAGTGTCTCTACAATACTAAATATAGTAAACAAAAACATTAATTATAATGTTAATAAATATATAATATATTAAACATTTATGAACATTAATGTGTATATTTAATCTATGTTATATGCTATATTAAATGATTATGTGTGAACACAAAATAATATTTTAGAGTACTATTGTCAAGGGTTAACCATCAGGGCACATGCAATACAACAAAAAGTTTTATAAGTACCATTGTACATATGTTTTAAACAAATTCATATACACACAATAATTATTAATTTAGTTATAAACTTATGAATTTACTAATTTTTAGTATTTTATAAATGTTTATACACATAATATTTTTAAATTATTAAAAAAATGTAAGTTTATAACACATGTAATTAACATAATATTAATAAAAATGAAAAGAATTTATAAATTTTAAAAATATAACCATAAAATAGTTATATTGCTAAAAACACAAACTACCAAAGGAGCATCAAAACTTTGAAATATTCAACAAAAAAATTCAAATTTCACTTCTAGGTTTTTTGAAAATCACCAAAAAATGTAAATACTTCAAGTCTTGGTTATCACTTATTAAATTAATTTTTCAGTATTAAACAAGTATATTTTTACAACCAAAACATATTTTATTTTATTCAAACCTAGGTGCAGTTTAAGTACAAACAATTTACAAATTAAATATATACAAAACTATAATTAAAACTCTGAAAACTACTAAAATACCTGAGCATCAAGATTACGTAGTTCTCTCAAAACTTTTTCATTGCGTTCAAGCTGGTAAATTTGTTTTCGTTGATCCCAGTTAGTAAAACCTAATTCTGAAAATAGTGCTCGCCCAGTTTGAAATGGAGATTTATGAACACTAGATTTAGGCCGCTTTTCCATACTTCAGTAAAATTTAAATGATATTCAAATTAGTATAAAGTTAATGAATAGCTATACTATTTAACTTACTGTGTGCAAAGTACAGTGTTTAATTTTTCTGTATAATTATTATCTAAAAAATGTTGTCCGAGAATTGTACTCATAACATCTTGTTCTAATTGTAATGTCATTGGAGATTTTATTGCAGGGTTGTTTAATAAAATTTCCAAGTCTTCTAAACATTCAGAGCTGGTAAAACCAATGAATTGAAGTAACTGCATATATAAAGAAAGGTGCGGATTAAAAATTAAATATATTTTAATTATAAAATATAATGAATACATCATCTAAATTATCAAGATCATCTGCAGAATTTTCAAATGTCGGTAGAACATTAGGAATTCGATGGCGCAAAGTATGTTCAATTTGACAATTTGAATTGCATATTAGAATCGATTCTTCTGTTTCGTTATTTTTATAGATAGACTTTGTAATGAATAAGTTATCATCTAAAAGATATAAAGTGTAATTAAATTCTAATAAATTGTATCTACACAATTAATTTGAAATTAAGTTTAATTTTAGGTTTACCATTCTTTGGTTCAGATTCAGGACTACAATAAAGTAATGAAATATCCCAACAAGATTTTCCAACTAAATCGCGCTGTATAACGCGTACTTGATTAAATCCTGTTCTCAAACATGCAGTTATACCTCCACCAGGGAATTCCAACGTGGGTAATTCGATTATAGAAATTGTAAGCATATTTGTAATAGACATAAATAACTAAAGAGTAAACAATGAATACAATTTAAAAAATATTTAAGTTTAAAACATATATTTTAAACAGCTATACCTGAATCTTTGGTACAGAAAATATGTCAACTGTAACTTGTTCATGTACAGAATTAAGGACATCATCATGTTCAGAAACCATAGAACACAATCTTCCAGTTAACATAGGGAATTGACCCAAATTATTAAGTAAATGGTTAATTATCTGCAAGGTGGTTTGAAATTAATTCAATATCAAAATAATTGTAGTAAACATACACACCATTTTAGTAGCTATTTGAAGCGAGTGTCTCGTACTATTAAGGTGTGTTGGTGCCATGGTATTATGATCACTAAACATGTTTCTAGTAGACTCTCCAGTTTTTAAATTATCTAATGTTATATCAAATGTGAATTCATTTGCATATTCTAAATTAACTTCTGTTGCTTTCTTTAATGATTCAATTGTCTTTTCATTACAAGTTCTGCTTAAAGCATCAATAACCTAAAGTGAGACAGTACAGTTCTAAATTCCTAATCATAGTGTATATGCCTTAAAATAAAGTGTTCAAGTGTCTTATTAGACATTATATTTCATTAGTTATTAAACATATTTTAAAAAAATCAACACATAAATAAAAATTATAAAGCATACCATAAATACAGTCATTGATAAATTTTGTTTAGACCTTATTTCTAATAAAGTCGAAATTGGCAAACGCATAGTCCATTCAGCTAAACAAAATACTAGAGATGTTAATAAACGCTTATTTCTATCCCCAATTGGTAACATATTAGACAGGGTTGCAGATAATACCTATAAAATTAAAGGATTATTTATAAAAAAATTGTTTTACAATTATCATTGTTACATAATACATAGGTTACCTTTAAGTTTTGCGAAAAAAATACAGTATAACATTTATCATTAAAAATGGTTTTATTGTTTTTCAAAATATTCTCCACAAATATCATTACACTTTTGCATGCATTTGAACCAAGTTTCAAAGAACTTTTTCGAATTCAATTAAAATACCTCCAAAACATGCATTTTGAACATATCAACTGGTTCTTCAGGCATTAGAAAAGGTTAACCATGCAATTTTTTTTTTGATGTGGGAATAATAAGAAGTCATTGGGTGCTAAATCAGAGGTGTATAGCAGATGACCCAACAATTTGATGTTTTGACTAATAAGATAGACAGTTGTTTGAGGCGATCTGTGAGAGCTCCCATTGTCCATCTTTTTTCCCTTATTTCTTCGAAGAATTTTAGTAAGCAAATGGTTATGTACCATTTAGAATAAACTGTCCTACATTGTTCTAATATTACAGTTGCCACATGTTCAGTTATGCAAAAAAACAGGCAACCATTTGCTTCAAAGAGGTCATGCAACTTTTGTTAGATTTGGCTCACCTTGAAAGACCCATACAATTTATTGCCGTTTACTTTCCAAATCATACACATAAATCCATAATTTATTCTCTATTCCAATTGTATGAAGTGCCATGACTCTATTTTTTCAACATTTCTGTAAACCAATCTATATGAATCTTTTTTTGAGTGTGTTTTTTGAGTTTCAAATTGTGTGGGATCCAACATGAACACACTTTTTACCAAATGTCCATGCAATATTAAATGAACACTAGTAGAACTCATGCCTAGAGATGTCTCAATTTCACAGTGACAAAGTCATATGGCGATCTAGATTTATCATATCACATACAATGTTTTCTGGCAAAACCACTGATTTTAGATGACTTTCATGAAATTAATCCTTAAGCAAATTAAATAACCACAATTAAATTCAGCAAATCTGTGAAACAAAGGGCCGGTGTGACACTTTGTCACCAAAAATTGAAACAAGTTGTTCAAAATATTGTTGTTGAGTTAATCTACAGCAAAAGTCATCACATTTGTATCTCAAATCGATAAATATAAATTGTAATAATGTCAATTATCATGTTCTATTATAAGATTAGACATAGTAACCCAAGTGTAATCTTATCGCAAAACTTAAAAAGCAACCTAATGGTACATGTGATAAGGTCAATTGCCTACAAATCTATTATTAAAAAAATTTTAATTACCTCAAGAACTTTTGGTGGAATATCTGGATAATATATCAACAAAATTGGAACATAATCACATAATAACATTACATTATCACATGCAACTTGAGAAATTTTCTCATTTTTAAACTAGAAATAAATATTTAAAATAATTACTATGCACAGTTATAATATTGTTATCTAAACCACATTGGTATTTACTTGTAAAGCAAGTAGCAATGTGATAATTGCTTCTTTAATACTAGGATGAAAGGGGTGAGGTTTACTTAATTCTTGACACACAAAAATACCCAAATTAGATAAAGATATACACCTTGCTAATCCAGAAGGTTCTCTCTTAGCTACTTTTAACATGATGGTTATTACAGTATCCTGAAAATATAATTAATAATTTATTTATTCAATAAAATACAAGCTGAACTTTAATTTACTTTAATATCAGGACAATATGTAATTAGAAACTGGTGGCAATCAGGTTTAAGATAAGGTACTTTGGTAAGATTAGCCGGAAAACATAATAATGTCCCTAGTATAGACACCGCTTCAGCACGTGGCGCCTGAAATAAAAATTATAAAATATTATAACCCATTGTACAAACATTTTAGTAGAAGTTATAAGGTAGCTATAAAGAATAAAGGGAAATACTTTTATAAACAATTTGAATTACTAATTTAATGAACTCAACAAAGTTCTATTATTTATTACCATACTAAAATTTGTTCCACTAAGGACTTCATTACAGGCACGAACAAAATCCAATGTCAGTAATGTAAATCCTGGTAATTGATGGGAAAAAAATTGAGGGCCTGTATTTTTTAGTATTGTGTTAACAATGTCCTAAAAAATTAAGTGTAATATTTTATTTATTTATTTATTCTTAAATAAAGAAAATATAAATATATAAATACTTGATCGCTAGAAGTTAGGCCATAATGTAGTACTTTGAAAAATTGTGTGACATATTTTTGTCCTAATGATACATCTTTGTTATTATTTAGTGTCATTTGACACAATAATTTATATGCATGAAGTTTACCATTTCTGTAAGTTTTTGGTAAATTCAAAGCCTAAAATAATATTTATATTGTAATATTTGTCAATTAATTTAAAAACAAATAATTTCTTTAGTAAATATCATAACAATTGAAAGTTCTATATTGAATAAGAATAAGATCAATTCAAATATATTATTCAAATAATTTAAATTAGCAAAGATAAACTATAAAACATTTAATAAAGTTAATTCTTTGATAATAAACCAAGAATTTTAACTTACCTGAAAACACCATGGAGCGATAATTAATATTGGTGGAACTAAATCTGAAGATGCATAATTATCTTCTTCTACCATGCTTCGATTTTGATATATCTATAAGAAATTATTCTATGCTTATAATTTTCATGTATACAATTTTAAAAGCATTCACTTACTTTGGTCATTGTTTCATTGAGGTCTAATAAGTATTGAAATACTCTCTCATGCAATATTGGATTTTCTAATAAGTTCACATCTCCAAGAGCACTAAGCATTCGACGCCACAATATTGCAGCAACATCTGGTGTCCAACCTCTAACTTCCCCACCAGACATGACTGACTTTTTATTAGTTATTTTTTCTATAATATATTAATAAGGATATACACTATTGCATTGCAATATAATTATCTATTATACCTGAAGAAGGATGTTGAGAAGACATTATTTCTATTTGTATATTTGTATCTTTAAATAAATTACTTTCCATTCCAGCTGAAGGCACTGGAGATGGTGACCTTGAATGAGTATCACGCATTCTCAACACTGGAAATGCACCATAGTCATAGTTAATTAATTATTGATAAATAATTTAAAGAATACGTACTTAAAAGTTGTGTTAAATTTTCTAAAGAATGACATTTTCGTACATTAAATAAACATTTTAAAGATTTGTCATCCTTCCAACTATATTTAATATCATCTGCAGTAGGTGTTTCTATATTAAAAATAAAAGATATAGTAATATTAATTTAATAAGTATCAATTTATTATCACATACCTGTAATATTAAAAACTGAATCAGTTTCACTATATTTTTGAAATAAATAGCAATATGTTATATCTGAATCACTATTTGACCGTTTGATAAATTGTCTTTTTTTAATTGTATTATCTGAATGAGAATCTATATAAAACAAATAAACCAACATATTATTTATAAAAATGTATGAACATATTTTAGTAATTTTATCTTTAATAAGAGACTCCTTTTTATGTAGATTTAAATATATTGGCTGAGATTAGAGGATTACTAAGATTCAAATGATAGTTAATAAACCAAATCTATTGGTTAACAACCAATAGAGAAGACAAAATTAATTAAACATATTAAATAGCTTTATAAACTAAAGTCTAAAATTTACACCATAGACTACAATTAAAAAAATATAAACAAATCTTAGATACATAAAAGTAAAAAGGAAAAAAATTCTTAATACAAAAAATGGATCTTAATAAAATTGACTGTTCCATGATAAAAAAAAATGTACACTTATACATATGCCCATACAGTACTTGATTTAAAGCTTAATAAATATAAATAGATAAAATTTATTATAGTAAATTACCTATCACAGAACCTCGTTGTTGGTTTACTTGTGAATGGGACAAATTACAGATATTGTAAGCAGAGTTTAATATAGTGCAACCACGTTTTTTTCTTGATTTTTTATCTAATATACGCTCTAATGGCAAATCTGCTAAATCCAGGCCATACACATGTCTAGCTAATACTCGTGTAAGTGTTTCTAACGTTTTCTGAAAATAGTTAACACAATAAATAAGAAATAGATATAAACATAAATTATATATATAAAAATAAAATTGTTTGTATATAAATTTAATTAATAAGTATTACAAAGAAAAATATTTAAAAAAAAATGTATTACTCACCGACCATTCTCTAATAAGTTCTTCCCATTGAGTGAGAGAACAAAGCACTTTTAAAAACTGGTTCCACAGTTTTTCAGAAATTGGAACATTTAAATTAGCTTTTATCCAGGTTACAATTAAAGTCTAAAATATGTACAAATTAAAAATATAATAATATATAGCTAAATATTTGGCATGAGCATGCTAAGAGTTTGATGATTTAACCATAATGAATATTTCATAAAGTATGATACAAACTTTAAGAATGATGTCACATTATTAAGTATTTTTAGTATTTACATTTCCATTCAATTTCGATTTTGCTAAATTGGGACTTAAAACAGTTCTCTTATTTGACTAGAAATTAAAAAAAAACTATATACACATATACTTATGGGAAAATCAATCTTCCATTAAAATAATAATGTAATAATTTATAGATAATTTCATATAACTAAAAAAAAAGATCTGATACTAGGGGACTGGGTATGGTACTATTGTAGGTGAGAAGTTGGAAAGGAAGGATACATAAAGTTCTTTAATTTAAATTTATAAACAACAACAAACTATTATTAACAAAAATAGTTAAAACAAAAATAATAACAAAGTTCGGTTATACATGTATTGAAATATTTAAGATTTTCATTAAAATTTGTATAAAAAAAAAATACTACATTACACTCAATTTGTTTTTATATCAACCTTTGGTTAAATTTTCAATCATTTCTATTATTCTAACAATTTTATCCACTTTTTATCTATCAAATAGGCAGTCATAAATTTTCTGGACAATTTCAACCCTCTAAAATAAAAATATTCATAACTGAAATACAAAAAAAAAAGTTACATTTTTTATGATAGGCCACTCTTATAGGTGAAAAGTTGTGACAGTAGAATATAGAGGGAAATTGAATGTATATCTGTATGCAATGATAAATCATTGCTACTGAAAAACGATAATAGTAGTTATATAAGCAATTGATTTTAAAAGAAAACAATACTAAATTCTTGTTATTATTAATTATTTAAGTACCATTTATAATGAATTTTGTGCTTAATGTTCAAGTATTTCTCTTAAGTCATAATTTTAATAGAATACCTATCAAGTAAAAATTAAGAAAAAATTTGAATGTCTATAAATAACTTAAAAATGGCTTGAATATTTTTAAAATTTTACTAATCTAGAAAAAACAATTATAAGTTTTCTGAACAAATTTCAAGTATCTATGAAAATTTTTAACAGAATAACATAAAAAATTTTTTAATTATAAAAGCCTAATTTCCATACATTTTTTTGTCATTTATACGTTTTTCAATTTTGCACAATTATTAAAAAAAAACTACATAGAAAATTAAAAACCGAATTTCTAACCCACCCAGATTAAAAATACAACAAAAAAGGTAATCTTTTAATTTTTAATGAAGCAATATTTTTGGTATAAAAAACAGAGTGTAAGAATTTTAAATAAATAAACATATTTTATATCAAAAAACATGAGAATTTAATAAGGAAATTAATTAACGTTAATTATTAACTTCAAGAAGGCTTATGGCAGTATTCATAGGAAGAGTCCTATAAATGTATTGAAAGAGTTTTATTTCCCCCAGAAATTGGTCAATTTATTAATCTCAATCAGTATCATGGAAACCATTGTTAGAGTTAAAATCGGAAGCATGAAGTCAGATCTAGTTATAGTGAAATTCGGCCTAAGACAAGATGATTTTATCTCATCTGTCTTTTTCAAATTAGTTTTGGAAAAAGTAATAAAAAAATGAGAATTCAACCTCATAAAGGAATAAAACTCTGGAATTTGACTATTTGCTTATTGGCATATGCAGATGATGTAGTGTTAATGGAAGATAGGATAAGATAGGATAAAACAGTTCTTCAAAAAGCTTAATGACACACATAGAAAGTAGGATTACACATTAATGAACAGAAAACTGAATAAATGATAATGGGAAGATGAGATTGGACTGACTGCATATACATGGAGGTAGATAAATTTAGATATAAGAAAGTTAATCATTTCAAATATCTTTGCATAATTGTAAATGAAAATAATGATATCAACAAACAAGTAGCTACAAGAATCCAAGCAGGAAATAGGACTTATTATGGATTGGCAAAACTATTAGGTACAAGATCACTGTCAAGGGAGATAAAAAAAGGATTATATACCACCCTGATGTGCCCAGTAATTATATACTGGTTGGAAACCTGAACAAAACAAGTAAATTAATTCCACTTAATAACATACAAAAACATTCTTGAAGTTTGTACAAAAAACACTAAAAAACACATAGGTTATGTATTTATATACATATTTGCAGATTTGTAGCCAAGATTTTCACTAGAAGTTCTTATAAATATAATACTTTAATATACATCAGAAAACCACACAATCCTATCAAAAAACTGCATATTTATTTCATATATTGGCAATTCAAATATACATTAAGTGTTAAATTTTAAAAAACCATTTACAGGTTTAATTAAACTAGAACTCACTAAACCTCCTTAACTGTGTGGCTACAACACTACATAATATACATATCTACATAAAAAGCATTCACTTCTTTAGCTAAAAACAGTTCAAACTCATAAAAGTAGTTAGTAGAGGATGCACATTGTTCATATAAAAATACTGATTTGGTTTACCAAATATATTTAAAAATTATTTGTATACATATTAAAATCATTTAAATTAAGAGTAGCATGCTACAAGTGCATATAATAAATTAGACAATAAATTTGATGTGAACATTTTATTGATAGAATATTAAGTTGTGAGTTTAGGATATTATGGTCAATTTCTTGAGGTAACAATAAATTATTGTTTGTAAAATGAAAAAATGATTGAATTAATAATAATTATAAACATTGAAATTATTTTTCAATTTATAACAAACAAATACTTTCATGCTGGGCGGATTGAGTGCTGGGCAACCACCTGCCAGAAGATAAATTTGTTGGCTAAATATAGGTATATTTGTTTGCTAGAAATAGTTTTTTATTAAAGGACCTAATCTTATGGTTGTCCATGCAGACTTTCAACCCCAGTCCGCCCCTGCTTTCATGCTGACATTTAATTGTCTAAAATATCTTAATAGAAAATACCTGGAAAATGTTGATTGTTCTGATATTCCAGTAGAGATGACTATCAAAATACAATATTTTAATGCCTAAAGAAATTATTAAATTTATATGACCAAAAAATGATAAAACTCGCCTATTCATTCCATACAACAATCCAAATTTATGATTTAAAAATACAAACTTTTTGTATTATTTTTTATTTTGAATTGTACTCTATTCAATTATAATGTTTAATATTGTCATCAGTATATATGAGAACATTTGTATTTTTTAAATAATTAATATAACATAATTTTTTTTACCTGGAATATAGCTGGAGCTAGTTTACCAGATAAAGTATCTTCTTTTCGTTTTGGTGGTTTTTTATTCAGGACAAGTGTGGTTATTCTTAACAAAACATTGAGTAATTGTTCCCTGTTTAAATAAAATATTGGAACATTTCTTTATTTTTCATGTATTTTTAAAATTATATATTGAAAATATTTATACAAATCATTTTATTTATTAATATAGTCATATTTCTTCTACTAAGAGTATACATTCATAAATTGATTGTAAAAACTGTTTTTCTCAAACAAACCAAATTTTGCACACAAAAAAAAAATAAACTCCCCATGTAACAATAATTTTATTTTTTCAATATCAGAAATTTAATATCAAAAAAAATTAAAAAATAGCAAAGTAAAAGTTCTATTATTTGAAATAGAACCATTTGTATGGTCAACATTTTGTTATAAAACTATAGATAGGTGGTTCTTATACCAAATAGTAAACATTTTAGTTGATTCCATGATTACACAATAAATACTAATAAAAATCATTGAGAATTTTAAATTTATTCAAAAGTAAATTTGAATATTTTTAAGTTGATAAATGTTCAATTATTCAATAATTTATTTTAAATTATATACTATCCCTAAAAAAAACTGGTTTCACAAAGCCAGGGTGTCATGTCAATGTAATACTAAAACCACTAAATTTGATTTTTTTTTTTTTATGAAAATAATAATTTTAGCAAATACAAATTAATACTTTTACATTCTAGCAATGTTTGGTGATGGATACTAATCTAGGTGGAAGTATGGAGTAACGAGGTTGATAATATCACTTTAAATATAAAAATAATATAATATCCTTACCAAGTCTTTAAAGTCATATATGTATGCATGACCATATACCTATAAATATTTAATACTCGTTTACAAATATCAACTTGTTCTTCCAATAATATAGGATGTGTACCATTTTGTGAAATAAACACTTGCAAAGCATTACTCATAAACATTTGAATAACATTCTGCACCACAACGTTGCATTTCATTGATAAAAACAATAAAATTAATTTTTAATAATAATATTACAATATTGAAATGTTTACCTGAAATCCAGCCCTAATATCACCATATTTAGGTTCATATTTTATCTGAGGGATTTCTTCGTTATAACACTAAAAAAAAACTTTTTTAAGCATACTTATTATAAACAATATTTATGAAATTTACATTTAAATCTGATGTTTGTACATTTATTTCTTCTGGTTCCAACATAAAAGGTGGTTGATGCTCAACCTATCAGGAAAAAAAATAAAATATACAAAATGGTAATTTTAAGTGAAACAAATTTACACTTAATTGAATCCAATCTTTGTAAACAGCAATTGTTCTTCGTATTGCAATAGCCCAAGTGAAATTTAATAAAAATGCTTGTCGGAATATTTCATGTATTAAATTTACATTTTCTCTCGACTTATATAAGGTATCTCTGACAATATCGAAAGGTATAATTTGAGCTTTGTCTCTATATTAATACAATAATTCATTACACACAAAATATTATTTTGTTATTATTATTGTATACCCTATAAATTTTGATATCAAAGGTATACTAGGATAATAATGTTTCTGTTTAATATCTTGTGTATAACCAGCAAGCCACTTAATAACACAAACCCTAGAGCTACTGTTAATATCTGTTCGATTTTGATTGGTGCAATCTGGTAGTTCTAAAACATTAAAAATTATATATTATCTACTAAAAGCTTAATTAAAATATAAAATACCTGTAGTTTGTTTATAAATATTAGTAGAAATTGAATAATCTGGAAATATAACAGGTAAGTAATATTCTTTAAATTTTTCAAATAAGAAATTAAAACATCGCCTTTGACAGTTTTTCAGATCTTTCCACATAATTCTTGGAACCTGAAATTTAAAATTTACAAAATGGTTTCAACATAGGTAAGTTTTTAATGATTAAAACTATATTCAATGACCAACCATATCCATAATATATTATTAATTGAATATCATTACCTGATTAACCATCAATTCTAGCAAGGATTCTAAATAATACTTGACTACATCATCTGGCTGTTTTTCACCCATTTGTGGTGGATACAAAATACTAGTTTCTACAGCAGCCACAGGACCTAATAAGGTGAAATATTAATTTGCAGTTAAAAATAAAGATTTTCTGGTAATAAGTTCCTTACTAGATATATTATCAAGTACTATTGGATTTGTACAACTATTCCAGAAGACTGTTAATCCAGAATTGTCAGGTATTGAATTTGAAAGTCCAGGAACAAGAGTACAAAATATTGCATTTATTGTTTCTGGTGCATTATCACCCAAAATTTGATACCATAAAATAAAAAATCTATAATATTTAATATTAATAATAAAACATAAGATTAAAATAATTTGTATAGATTAAATTTTTTACTTCATGCCATCTCGTCTCAAACGCCATGCATTTTCTGGATGCAATAATTTAGTGACAATCATACACAAACTGTGACATTGCCATCTTTGAGCTATAATTTCTGGACATAATGTTAATACTTTTTCTAAAATTATTAAAATGGTATCCAATTCGTCCCTATGAATTTTAGTTACTGAAAATTGCATAAAAATAATAGATTTGTATACATCAATAATTTAAAAATGTTATAATTATTATAAAATATCTAACTAATTTAATATTTGAAGAGAAATGAAATAATATAAGATCATACTGGTGAGTATGTAGGTATATAAAATAGGAATAATACTAAATCATTGTGAACTTGTTGTGAAAAGTAAAAGTTACTAAAAAAGACTATGGATTTCATAAAAATAATATAACCATAATAAGTATATTTGTTAACAAACATTTTTTGTACTTTTATAAATATTATGTAGGTAAAATGTCTATTCCAATGAATGATTCACCTTTATGGATTACTTTATTCCTTAAATAAAGTAAGTTACAAATCCACTCGAGTAAAATAGTGAAATAAATAAATATTATTCAAATTTCAAAGATTCTTACTTACAGAATTTTAATTTATATAACATATTTGTTGATCAATTTATCAAGTACTTGGAGAATTATTTACAAATTATAAGTACCTACCTATCATAGTCAAAACTTGTGGGGAGAGGGGCTTGGGGGATAAAGCTACCTCAAAATATATAAACAGAGAAATTAGTCCCCTCAAAAAAACTAAGTGTAAAGTGGTTAGTGGTCACTACTATAAAAATTAATGTATAGGTAAATACAAACATAATAATTTTCAATTAACATATTATTAATCTATATGTATAAATATATTGTTTAAAATAAATTATTTAAATTTATTGTTAGATACTCTATATTATGTACATAATACAATTTGATATATTTTTAAAATTTGTAATCTACCTACTTTTATATAACAAGGTTGTTACTGTAAAGAAATATTTGATGCATATTTTTGTTTTTCTTTATAATTCTTATAACATAATCAAATATATTTTTAAGTTAAAACTTGTTCCTTAAATTAAATTAATTGATTAAATTATTTTGGTGATTAATCATGTTTTCATCTACTTATCCTATGTTACTAATATAATACAAATATATATGATATCTAAAATAAATCAAACTTAGATTTTTCATGATGATTTTTTCAAGTACAGAGAGTGGCTCTTGATGTACAATTAAGTATTTTAAAATATTAACTCCCATTAAAATTATGGAAAATTTCTGCCAATAGTTCCTATTATAATGTTGCAAGCAGGCATGTAGTCAGAGAGTGAGGGGGAGGAGAGGAAAGGGGTCTAGACCCTCGACCAAAAAGTTTCTCAACAAAATATCAGATAATACTTTGATTTTCTACCCATTCATTTTTTTTCCCCAAGACAATTATTGGTAATTCATAATTTTATGTTTGGATTCTCCCTTCCACCCCTCAAAAAGAAAGTCCTGGTTACATATATATCAAATGATTAAAACATAATAATAATAATAAAATGTTATGCTTAAAATTTTGATGCAATTAGAATTCACCTGTCATACTTAATTTTCATATTATTGTTAATAAACCATGTAAAACTTATTTATATTGCTATTTCAATCATTTACAAATAAAAGTAACTCAAAAATGATTTTTCGGAATTTTTTTTTCATTTAGTGTAATAACATAAAAAAGTTTTCGGTGAAATCAGAACTAATATTTTTCGATATTTACAAGCCATTTGAGCGAAAACACCCAGGAGCCGTTTCTATAGTAATAATTGAAAAATGGCAGTCTTGGACACTAATTGCCAAAAATAACACATTAAAATGCAAGTTAAGTTAAAAATACCAAAAATGTATACTTTCATGGTTATCCTCTTAAGTTATGTTTGAAAGTTAATTGCATTGACAGAAATGTTTAGAGATGTCGAGATTTTTCCAAGAATTCGCATAGAAAATAATTAATTTTACTTTATTAATTATTTTGTTATTTATAACAATAATTTTACATTATAATCAAAAAAAATCAGATTTTATTTTATATTACCTTTTAGGTATAAGATATTTATACCTACCAATATATAATATAAGTTGTGTCTTATTATTTTAAATTATATTCTATAACTACAAATTAAATCACTGTTATAAGTAAAGCTTTATATTGAATTTATTTTATGAATAAGTTTTACCTCGTTGTTTCAAGTTAGCTTCAACGCCAATGAAACTTTCATAAAAAATTTGATAGATACTTGAATAATTATTTTCAAATAATAGTTTTGTTTCGTTTTGATCGCTATTATCTATAGAAAAAAAACAACAACAAGAAATGAATGATTTTGTTTCAATTATAATTAGCAAAATAGAAATACCTAGTAAAAATTTTAAATGTTTAAATCTTGTAGCTATATCTTTTTTTGGGTCCAATATTTTGTGAGCCGATTTTTTCACGTCCGTTTGCGCTTTTTTACTAAACATTTTTTCGCACATCTAGAATTTGACATTATTTTGATCGAACCAATGAGTCAGTCTCTGTTGGTAACATGGGCCCATCGGAAATAACACAACAGATATGAGATAAATTATTTATAATAAAATAAAAAAACGAATTACAAGAACCACCGAACATTTATAATAATTAATAATAAGTATTAAATATTTTATACATGCAATACTTAATTCTCGTACTGCGATTTACGACTTGATTACTATCATAATTATTGTCTTTTAAATGTTCAGACGTGTTATCAAACTACGATAAAACATTTACAATCCTAATATCCATAATACGCAAGGGCGGCGTACAGATGATAAGAAATTAGTTTTGTTACCAACGTACAACAATTATTATTGTATTGTTTATTCTCAAATAGATAATAAATCATTATAATGTATATTATCTACATCTGAGTATTTAACTCGAATCTCGATGACGACGTCAAATATTAAACAATAGCTAAGTGGGCAAGATTACAAGTGGCATGTCCGTCGACCGCATAGATAATACATCATGTATTATGTATTATCTATGGTCGACCATCATCCGAGCAACCGACCACAATATCCAGTTAAATTCCAGTTTCCAGTCCATTTTATCTTCGAACTATTTCGAGATTGTTTGAATAAAAACTATTCGTTCTATAGAAAATATTTAAGCAATAGTTGATACTCTATTCAAATCGTTTGAACATGATGAACTATCGAATAATTCGATAATGTCAATCTACTACCGTTAAACGGGGTCACTCGTTTTAGAGGTTTTTTTTGGCTATAACTTCGCGAATTTTTAAGTTACAAATTAAAAATGACGAACATACTTCGCACGATGGGTGGGCCACTGTTGTAAGTGAGAAGTTGGAAAAATAGACGAGAAATTTAATGTATATCTGTACGCAACGTCGCAACGATTAATCATTGCTAATGATAAACGATTCTGGGCGGAGTGCGGTTAATAGTGTTGCTTTCAAACTTTGATATTAAAATTCGTATACAAAAAAAAAACAGACATACTTCGCACATGGGTGAGTAACTATTGTAGGTGAGAAGTTGGATAGGTAGTAGGGAAATTATATATGTACGTAACTTTATAGACATTTTAATTTTGCGAGTTTTGTATGCAATTTTTATTCGGTTTATACTCTGTGGTAAAATGGTTAGATTTGAATAGAAATGCTTGAATCTAGGGGTTCCTAGGGGTTAAAACCAGTGATTCAAAAAAAAAATGTTTGTATTTTTTTCCCTTTTACCTAAATAAGGAAAAAACAAATCAATTTTGGGTGTACCTAGAGACCCAAGTCATCACTCGCTTGGACTATTTTAATCGCAAAATACCCCTTGATTTGTTGTGCAAATTTTTCTACCAACAATTTCTTTTCGATTTAAAATGATTTTTTCTGAAAGGAAATCTGACGGGGAAGATACTTTAGGAAAGTAATTTTTCGATTTTCCCAAAAGATTTCCCAGAAAATTTGAAATACCGAGAAAAAACATGGGAAAAACAGGAAAATTGGTATAATATTAAACAAATATTATTAAAAAAAATATATAATGTCTATTCAATTATTTTACTGTAATATGACATACACACATAGAAATATTGGAGTTGATTTTACTTATGTTAAGGTGTAAAATGCATACAATTTGTATTCAAGATTTGTAAGATTATGTGGTTCAAATAATAAAAACGGAGAGTTGAATTAAATAATATTGTTTAACAACAGTACTATACCTATGTTTTAAATAACCAAAAATTAAAACCATTTCAAGAGTAGATTATATTTAAATTGACTCTAGGTAAGTATTCAGTTTTAGTAATTTTGTTGTTAATTTTACTTAAATTGAGGAATTCAATATAAACATTTTGAGTTGTTTTTAGTTTATAATAAATTATAAAAGCGTTAAAATAACATTTGTATAACTAATTCAAACAACTGGTTCTATTGAAAATAAATTTGACAGTCGATGTGATTGTTAAATCAACACCATTTAATGTTATATTTGGATATCTATATGTAATGTAACTCTTGAGTTAATGATAATCTAATTTTAGATTTGACCACAGGAAAATTATTTTTTCCAAGTATAATGTTTATGATCGATTATCGATATTTACATTGTTCGATGAATTTTGCAATTTCATTTATTTTGGTATCACATCATCTATTCATTCTGTTTTGGATCGACATATCTATGTGAATTGGCCTTTTAGTATTGATTTAAAACCAAAAGTAAGTAAGTACCGTTCACGTTAGGTACCTAGGTATGCATTCTGAAGATAGCTTGAGATTAGCTTTGTTGTCATACACCCCGGATATTGTGAAATTAGCAAATCAAATGCAAGCACAAACATCTCATTAAATAATTAAATAAACATAATAATAATAAATTAAAAATAATAGTAATATAAAGTAATATAAAAGTAATAATTTGTTAATCCAATATATTAAAATACGTGTTGTATAAAACTGTGAAATTAAACAATATTTATTTATATTGTAAATAAATGTCTATAGTTAAAAAAAAGTAAATTCTTTTTTCATTATAACGTATGGCAGCATATAACATACGAAGAAATAGACAATCAAACAAATATTATATTTTATATATTAGATATGATAAAATCAATAATATTATGTAACAGTTAAATAAATAAAGTTGGTAATAGTCGATAGGGGTTAACCGTTAGGTAGGAATTCGTATATGGCCAGTGCAAATCCCATCGGGAGTGATTAGAAAATTAGCAGAACATCGTACCATTTTTTTTACTAAGATTTTTTGTCTCAGCACTCCATATAATGATTTTAATACCAAACCGTATTTATTTTAAATACTGTTTTTGTTGTATTTACCTCTTATTACAGTGAGCGTACAAATCAAGCATTTACCATAAATTCAATGTTTTAACAATCTATTATAGTTAAATCAACTACAATTTTGCTTTAAGCGAAAAACGACGTGCAAATGTGTAATAGATTAACACTTAAGTGTGTTAAAACAACTACATTTTTCTATGTGTGTATATAATGTTGACAAAGCATCACTATCAACTCAACTGCATTCAGAACCGTTCTTTCGTTAGCAATAGTTTATTGTTGCTTATAGATATACCTTAAATTATCTATAACAGTGGCTGCATCCGTCTCCATTATCTTAGGACTTCTTTTTTTTGGTTTTTTGCATTTATGAGAAAATTGAAAAATTACCTCTCTAAGGAACTTCCCCACACTTTCAGAAAAGTTGCTACACATAAAATTGGAGCAAGTCCTCTGGTAGAAAAGTTGTCGACAGAAAAAAAAAATATATACGTTTTTGTAAAACCATAAACTTCTTCGCTCCACTCAGAATTTAAAATTGAATTTAATATAGTATTTTTTCCATAAAGGAATTTTAATATTAAATTTTGACGAAAATCGTTCAAGTAAAAAATTATGTCGAAGAAATCTAATTTTTCAATTTTTTGTTTTTAACATAATATGTATATTGCTGTTTTAAGATCGATGGTGAAGTCAGAATTGGGCGGACTGACTTATTTTCGAAATAATAACTTTTTGAAGTTCAGATATTATATAGTAAATAAACAATGTAATCGTTTTAGTATCGTTTTTAGTAAGCATTGGTTTATCGTTGCTTACAGATACAAGTTAATTTCCCCCTCTATCTATATCCTACATTCGCAACTTCTCACCAATAACAGTAGCCTCACTCATCTTGCGAAGAATGTCTTTTTTTTTATATTGTGACAAAAATGTCTACTAGAAATCTTGCTCCAATATGTACGTGTGGCACCATTTCTGAAGGAAAATATTATCTAGATGGTACTTTAGGGGGATTATTTTTTGATTATCGATTTTCATAATATCTGAGGAAATCCAGAAGAAAACGTAAGAAAAATGAGAAATTTACGAAAATAATGTTTTTTATTATTTTCAATTATATTATTTGTTGTAGTTAAGTTCAAAATATTCGTAGATACTTGAAATTTTGGGCAGAAAACTTATATTGACTTTTTTTACATGGTAAAACTATAAAAACATTTAAACTATTATACCATATTTAAAATATTTATGGACACTTTTATTTTGTGAGTAATTTTTATTTGGTAAGTACCTACTCTGTGAATAAAATTGTTAAACAAAACAGAAATACTTGAAGTCAAATTTTGCACGAAAATTGTTTTAGTAAAAATAACGTGGGACAAATCTAGTGATCCATACAAATTATTAGTAAATAATATAAAACAAATTATATTGATATAATAAAATCTCTTAAAACATTTACTATTATAATTTTTTTTTTCATAAATATCATGTATTAAATTTTCACTATATACCTATTTAATAATAATTTAATAAATTAGAATACAATTATTGTTATATAATGATTCTGGTGATAATTTAGACTTTCAAGTAATAAACATAAAATAATAATATTTAAATAGGATGTTCCAAATTAAAAAAAGATACATATTTTATATAATTTTAATACTAAATAGAACATATTTTTTAAATTTATAAGTAACATTATTTATAATACTTATTAGCATATTTACATGTCTTTTCATAGTATATATTATACTGATAAATATTTGTATAGGATGTATTTGAACCTGTTCAAAGTAGTACAAATTTAATGTACATGCTACAGATGGTAAAAAGATGTTGAAGTTGGTGTCCAGACAAAACTAATTGGTCAAGAATTAGAAAAGACAATACAAGATTTATGACAAGAAAAAATATTGCTCACTAATTATGGTCAAAATGAGCCTGTGTTGTATTATAAAATAAATTAGATATTTCAGACCATTGTATTTCTTTTTGTTTCTGTATATTACATTTTTAAAATAAATAAATAAATAAATAATTAAATATTTTTTAAGTTGTTATTTATGTTTTTGTTTGTTTTTTTTATTTTTTTTACATTTTGGTTTTGAGGTACTGATTTAGGAACGAGTTCAGATAAAGTGAGAAAATTTCATATTCCTCATCCAAGATAATATTTACTTTGTTTCCAAGGTAACCAAATCAACAAAAAATATACCACAAAATACTAAAATCTGCGTATCAGTCATCCTTTAGGGGTTGAATTTCATGATAAAAAAATAGCCTATATGTTATTCTAATAAATAATAATGTTATTCTAAATAATAATATTGTAATTTCAGCTCAATCGGTTCAGTAGTTTGTGTGAAATAGCAACAAACATTCATAAATTCTCACAAACTTTCATATTTATAATATTATAACAGGATAATATATATTGTAATATACATATATATTTATATAATAAATATTTTAAATAATATAGTTTAATAATTATGATTCAAGCCAATTATGATAAGTAGTAAATACAATTAGTTGTAGGTAATACCTAAACAATCTTGGCAATTTATAACAACGCTTCTCATACATTTCTTAACCCAGTGGCGTACGCAGGAGAGGGGGAGGTTTGGGGTTATTTACTCCTCACATTGGCTCAAAAATACATCAAAATATGAATAATCTAATATCGAAACATATATTTCAGCCAATTTCGAAGTAAAAGCTTGATGAATTGATTTGAAATTGACATTTTTTGATGATCCGGCTCTTAAATTACCAATTACCACAGTCGAGTTGAGTAGAGAACACGATTTTACTCTTTATTCACGATTTTTATTTTTTACATCACCTCCCATTGAAAATGTAACGATTTCCCGCAGTCTATAAAAACACATTTACTATCGCAACCAAGGGCCTTTTTTTTTTTTAGAACAAAAACCAAATTATAATTATAATATTTTAGAATAATAGAAAGAAGTAAGGTATAATTTTAGTTTAGCAACCACGCGATTTTTTTTTTCAAAATGTGTGTTTTTGCGTGTACATTAAGAATGTAAAGAAAAAGAATGAACTTCGTTTGGAAGTTATGGGGAAACTTCTTAAAGTACGGGTTATCCTTTTCACGTATTTCTTAGTTAGAGTTTAATATTTTCAAATTTGCTTTTTCCAAAATGTGTGTTTTTAGACGCTTAATTCATTGGTTTTATCAAAACGTACCCATCATACTTACTTTTAAAGTTTTTGTATATAAACCTTCAAAAATAGCATTTTTGGAATTAATCCAAAATGTGGTTAAAAATAGACATTTTTATTATTATTATTATTTGTGGTTATTGATATTTAGATAACAAAGATTTTTATTCAAGTAGAATAAGTCTATCTGGCTTAGTTTTAGAGTTATTTGCGGTCAAACATGACGTGCTAATGACAAGCGAGTGACTACCTTGGATTTCTGAGTGCACCCAAAATATTTTTTCACTTTTCCTTGTTATCTACCAGACGTTGTTTTGCCCAAAAATTCGAGAGTTATTTTTGATTAAAATTGTCCGAGTGAGCAAAATATGGCACGTTTGAACATCTGTAACTCTAAAACTAAGTTAGATAGACTTTTTCTGTTTTCAACAAAAACGTTTTATCTAAATATCAACAACTACAAATAATAATAAAAAAAAATTTTTTTGGACTCCTCAACTCGATTTCTTATAAACAGTTGCGTGGGCTGTCTATGTATATTTAATCAATGCTACTAGATATATAGCGATATAAAATAAAATTATACATTGATGCTGTATGTTAAAAAGAGATGGCGAATACTTTAGGTATCTCTGTTTAACATGATCGCTTGGGCAATAGTGGTGGGTCGTTACTGCTGTATTCGGTACAACGTAACGATTACATTGGTGGAACGAGTAGGAACGAGTACATTTATCGTTCCATATTCGTTCCATCAGTACAAAGTTACTAACTACAAAATAGTCCCCAATGATTACTGATTACTGAGAACTGACACCGAGTACCGTACCGATTACCGACAGTAATCGAATAGTAACGAGTTATCACGATCATAGACGTAAACAGCCGGTTCCACACGATTCATGTACTCGGCGAATAATCGTCAATCGTAATGCTTTACGACTTTACTAGTCGTGTAGGAGGTATTTCATCAAATTTTTATCCATATAATTATTTTAAGTTTAGGCAAGTACCTAAGTTAATTTTGAAAGTTTCAATTTATTTATTTTATTGTTATCAATCCATTTGTTTGAGGATAAAGTGAAATGTAACATAACATTGTCAATGGTTTTTTTATATTTGTATTTTTATAATTATTTTTGCTGAAAACGAATTTTTTTTTTAAATCGGTACTTTATTGTAATTGTACCGATTGAAATAATATTAAAACGGTAGTAATTTTTAATTAGGCATTTCAAATGTATATTTATTATTTATATTATAATACTGGAAAAATAGTGTATCTGTTACAAATTTAATTATTTAAAGCTAATTTTTTTTCAAATGCAGTAAAATAATGTCGTTTAATAGAACTACGAAGTACGAAGCATATTCGTTAATAAATATCCATAGCAAGAATGAGTACACATTTGNAAATGTAACTAAATAAAGAATGTACCGATTGTACCGATGTAACGAGTATTTTGGAATCGGTACTGTACAGTAACTGTACCGATTGGAACGATTCCACTAAAGGAACGATAATTCCCACCACTATTGGGCAACACTGTGTGGTGAATGTTTCAGTTGTAGTTCAATGGGTTATATTTGTTTACATTTTTGAGAATTACATAAGCCGAATAGGAAGTTTACCATCAGCTGATTTCATATAATCCGTGGTCTGAAGGTCTCTGGTTATACCTTAATACCTTATACTAATAGATGGCAGTGCGCGGCGATTACAAACATTTTTTTCATTGAAACTTTGTAAAAACAATTAATTACAATAATTAATAAAAATGAAAATACACAAAAATGTATAATGTTAGTTTGTCGTTTGACGATGTGCATAAAAGATTGAATATAATGGGCTCCCCGTATTTGTATTGAAAAGAAAATATGACACTACAAAGAGTAGAGGGCGCCACTAAGCCTGGCGTGGCAATATGGCGGCAAAGGTCAAACGTTGTATACAAGGCGCCTTGATTGTTTACAGTTTTCTCTCAGTGTCGGTGATGCTATACATCTTTACACAATTAAATCTATTGTTTTTTAGTGATTTTTCTAGAATCTTTTCCGATTACTACGGTTTGAACCGTTTTAATTATCAATTTAGGTGTTCTTATTTTAACCAAGAGAGAATTCGAAAATGAATTCCGATAGACATGATTTAGCCAAATATGCTCAGTTTAATTTAATTAAAGATGATTTTATGGCAATACATGAGGCAATGGAGCATGGTTATCCCAATTATTGTATTGAGAGAATAAATAAAATTGAACCTGATATAAGATCAAAATTACTTAGCCAGGTAATTTTAGGTTTGATAATAGTATATTAAATTGTATTATATTTTTTTTTTTTTTAGAAATATATTGAAGGTGGCGAAGTATTGAATCTTCTGATTAATTCGATTTTAAAAAGCCAATTTCCTGTCGTAATGTCGCTAATTGATAATGGTGTAAATTTGAATTCCAAAGGAAAGGTACGACTTTTCGGTTCATTTATTGATGGAGTTACACCGCTTTGGTGTGCATCTGGTCAGTATCTGGTCATTTATTTTTATACTAATCTTATTTAAGCTAACAAAAAAATATTAATTTTTTTCTTATCGTGTTTATGTTTGTAGCATGTGGACATATTTCCATAGTGAAATATCTCATTAAAAAAGGCGCTATTGTTGACTCATATACAAAATTTAAGTCAACTCCATTGCTAGCAGCATGTTATAAGGGATCAATAGACTGTGTTAAATATTTGATTGAAAAAGGAGCTGAATATAATATGCCATGTCTTACAATCGCTTCTTCTAATGGTATTTTACACATTTTAACACATTTTTTAAAAAAATCTAGCATTTTGAAGTATTTTGACCATAACTTCCAAATGAAATTTGAGCAATTTTTTTGTAAGTTCCATCAAATTAAGCATGCAAAAACATACATTTAGGATAAAAAAAATTTCAAAAATTGAAAGCTAAAATTATTTATACCAAATCAAAATTACTGAGGTATCAGTCTTTTTATTGAGTTAATTTTTCTAATTTAAGTTAAGTAAGTATTCATACAAATTTCAAAATAATAATTTTTTTAACTTGTCACAAAGATAAAATATTAATAGTATCTTAGATAATATAAAATTTGGAAAAGAAATTTAACTCATACCTATCTAAGTAATATTATTCTTGTCATTAAATTTGTCTAATATTTGTTGTCTATATGAGGTTTAAAAACTAGTAATTTATATCATATTATACAGGACTTATTAATTATACAAATATGGAATTTTATAGACAATAAAAATATTGTTATATATTAATTCCATGTATTTAACTTTCCAATTTATAGTATTAGTAGGATTGAATTAGTGTACACCTTTTAATAACAATATGAATTTTTATACTTAATTAATCCATAGCTTAATAATTTTCTTTGCAAATTAGGTCAATATTATAAATTATTTATTTCAAAAGGGCTAAAGAAATAAAAAATAATTAATGTATATATAGTAATTTGTATTTAAATAATTATTATGTATGTAAATAAACACATTTTAAATCTTTTTTTTAAGCTATAACTCCAATTTTGGTTGCAACTGAAAGAACCCACATTACTGTTGTAAATTATCTTCTTGCTGAATTAAAGTTGACACAGCAAAACATAATTGAAGCTTATGAACTGCTCGGTGCATCTCTTTTAAACAATAAAGATAATTATAATTTTGAACAAGGATTTTCTGCTCTATTGAGAGCAATGGAAATTCGGTAAGGTTTTTAATAAAGTATATAATAATTCAATAATAATTTGTGGTATTATCTATATTTTAATTTTAAATAATTTATTATAGGTGCCAACATCATATCTGGAAACAACCATATAAACAAGTTGCTGCTTATAATAATCAAATAGAATGTAACAATATACACGCTTTAATGAGATTAAAAAAATTTCCTGAAGCTTTACACTATGAATCTTTGATTATAAGGTGATATAATATCAATTTCTTATGTGTAGATGCCTAATGATAACAAAATGCATACAATCTTATCATATTTGATTAATCTTTGCTAAAAAAAAAAACGATTCTGAGCGAGTTTGGTTATACATGTTTATAGTTTAAAAATAATAAATTTTCCTGGTTTTTCCCATTTGTTATGAAACCTTTAAGAAAATCAAAAGATAACATTCTTCAACTACCATCCCAGAAAAGTTCCTTGTCAGAACAGATGCTACATTTGTTACTTTGTATCAAGATTTTTGGTAAAATTTTTGTACATAGTATAGCAAAAAGAAAAAATTGAATTAAAAAAAAATACTTTAGTAAAACCCATTCATTCCTCATTCCACTCAGAATCCAAAAGGTTATGGTATTTTGATATTTGAATTTATCTTCATCTGTAAACCAAATATGAATGTTTGACGTTTTTAGTAATGAAAAAAAAAAGACTAACATACTTCAACCAATGGGTGCAGCCACTGTTGGTGAGAGGTTGGGAAGTTAAGATATAGAGAAGAAATTAATTTGTATTTGTAAGCAGCGATAAACCGTAGCTTTCTAAAAACAATTCTGAGTGGAGTTCAGTTAATATTCATGCTTTATCAACAATTATATATTGTTATATTATGATACAATAATTATATAGGTCCCATGTGTCACATAGTGTAAGTTCATGTTTGCTCATTAAGAGCTGTGTTTTGTGTGTAATTCCTTTTGGTTTACACTCTTAATAGTGTAAGCTATTTTGATTAATATGTTATTCATGTGGTACTGATTGAAATAATAAGTTGGATAATTTGATAAGTTTAATATTTGTAGATGGGTCATTTATCATTAGTTTAATTATTTAGACAGTTTTTAATAAAGTAGGTGTGTCAACATTAATTTCTTCACAGAGTGAGTGGATGATGATTGCTTTATCTGAAAAGTTTTTATTATGAATTTAAATTGGGAAAAGGAAAATTTAATTTAATTTTCTGAAAATAAGCTTTGGGTATTTATAAATGGGCCATCAATATTTGACTCAAAAGAATTGCTTACTTTTTGTTTTTTTTTTTGGACCTATAGTTTTCCCTTAGGTTTATTTGATTCTATCAATTTACTTAATAGGTTTGTGGACTGTTTTGGTTTTTGGTTGTTTTGCTGTAAATCAGGCTATTCCAAAGTTATTGGTGATGTAGAGCAGCTTGATGATGGAGGTGACCTTTTGGTTTATTTATTAGGTAGGCTTGAAATATTATTATATTGGTTTGATGAGTTTAAATTGTGACATTTTTTGGAGTGGAGAAAACTACTGTATTTCAACTGTTGATAGAACTACCACATTTTTTTAATACTTGTATTTTATCTTAACACTAAGTTTAAGATTTATCTTTGTATATATTTATACATACAACAACAGATTAGGTTATGTTAACTTTAAACATTTTATGTTCTAAAAATAGTAAAATTAATCTAATTAAATCATTTAGTTTTATAATTTTTTACAGATTAAATGATTTGTTTTTTTTTCTTTTTGTTTAAAATTTCACATGATTTCGCGATATAAAACTCATTCTTGCTTTAAACAAAAAAAAAATCATTTTATCATATTAGTTAAATGTTGGTTGGAATTTAAACGCATGAAGCAACTTTAATTTTTATGATTTAAGAATTATAGTTTTTAATTACATATACCTACTTTATAGTAACACTATGTCAATCTTCAAAAAATGACTAAGTGCAAAACCATGTATACATTTTTGATTTCATCCTTATATAATATTTATGTATGAAAAATATATTATTGTATAAGGATTGGGCCATTGTCTATAATATAAATAATTGTAATTAATTGGTAGTCAAAGAATAATTATGTTAATTTTCATATGTAACTACTAATTACTGATTAGTAATACTAGATAGTACAAGATAAAAGTAGGATAGTAGGAATTCAAAGTGACCCATCCATGATGTTTATTCAATATTAAAAATAAACTTACATAGGTAATTTGTAAAATATTTATAACATAATTGTTAATTCTATACATTTTAATTTTTAATTAATAATTTATAAAAAATAATTATTGAAACAATAATAATTAATTTGTAAATATAAATTCTATAAATCTAATTTATTTTATGTGGTAAGAGAAATAATGAGAATGGCTAGTGTTATTTCCTCTTCTAAGTAAACAAATTTGTATTTTAATTTTTTTAGACAAAGAATTTTTGGAGAAAATAATCCGTTATTATTGCCAGCAATAATATACCGAGGTACCTGTTATGCAAATTCACGTAATTATGTACCATGTCTAAAACTTTGGTCTTATGCTCTACAAATATCTCAAAGTAATGACTACAACACTCCTATTGATCTTAAAGATTTTATTGAGGTAAATATAATTAATAATTATATAAAAAAATAATAATTAATAATTAATAAAATAATTGCATTGTTTTCGCATTAAGAAGCATAATATTTATGGTACATTTAATTATGGCCGGACATATAGTTAAATGTAACTAAATTATGTAACTTGTGACTATAGTTTGTTTCATGAGATCCAGCCACGCATGTATATAAATAAAACTGACTCCAAGTAGTCATTTCTTCTTCCATGTGAACAGATTTCAACAACTCTGCATGGAATGTCAGTCAACAATAAATTATTTAACATGCTTTGTATAACACATGAAAAATATCTGCAGGGGATTAATGGGTGTGGATTAGACATAGCTTGTGCAGCAGCTACCTGTTTTGGTCAGCCAGAGACCTCATCTCATGAAACAGACTACAGTTACACAGTTTTTCTGTAACTTTATATTAAATTTAAAAGTTAAAATTAAAAATTATATTATGTGCTTTTTGTGATTTGATGATTCATAAGTGAGACTGAAAAAGAATAAAAAAATATTATTATTTTGATTTTATACTATCTAGATAATATTTTGTACTACACTTCCCCAAAAAATTATAAATTTTGATATCAATCTCATCTTGTTGGGCCTACAATTAAGTTAGCAGGAATGGAACAATCCTAATGCCCACACAGTTTAGGTAAAATGGGTAACTGTTGTAGCCTGTGGCCAACCTAACCTAACCTCCCCAGTAAAGGAGGCGTCAAAGTGAAAGCCCAGACAGAATATTAGTCTCGTCTCCACTCACCACATTCTGGAAAACCAGAACCCAGATCAGATTAGGCGATCCCATCACTTCAAGATTTGCTACTCAGAGACCCATATATATTCCATACCCTAATCTAACCTATCTGATCTGCTGTCAAATCAGTTTTTGAAGTTGTTGACAAATATTTTATAGACTATTATAATATAATATATATAAACATGTTTATCTATTATTATTTTGATTGTGATTTATTTGGGTATGTTTAATACATTAAATTATTATAATTTTAATTTTTAAAGAATATTTTGTACAAGTTAATATTAACTATTACAGGATTGTTATAAATACTTAAAATAAATATTTTATTTATCAATGTAACTTAACTTTAAATGCAATTTGTATCTAATTACACCATATAAAAGTATCTAGTAACTTGTAACTAGTTACACATTTTTAGAACAACTTGTCCAATCTTGCATTTAATGAAATTTCGAATTGCTTCATATAATATTCATGTAATTTTAGTATTAGTGTATTTTTTTATAACTAAATTACATTTCACTATTATATACTTATCTAAAGTCAATAACTTAATAATTAAATAAATAAGAAAGTCTTAACTTAGTTTTGTTATATTGGTTTAAATTTAGTGATAATTACAAGAGATAATATTTTGTGGTTCTACTTTTGAAATTTATTTATATAGGTATTTTGTAGAATGACTGAATCTCGTATCAATATTGAACTATTGTATTTAAGAAATGTGTTGTTATATCTAATGAATCAATTCAAAATGCAACAAAAAGAAATTGCTAGAAATATAAATTACCGTGAACTATTAATGGTATAATATTAATTACCATATTATAATAAATATATACAATTTATAATACATTTTTATATATTTAAATAGGAAAGCATGACTAAAAATATGAAGGCAACAATGGATTTAATTATTTTAATCAGTATAGCATTGCCAAGAGATTACAGTTTGGGGAATCCACTGACCAAAAATATTATAGCCAGTATTATGGAACTGGTCACAATGAATCTCAAATCAAATGAAAATAAGACATTACTTCACATGTGTCTTGACTTTAAGACAGCCGACGAATCGAAAACATTCCGATCTATAGATAGAATTGTTAGGTAATTTTAAGAGTTTATGATTTCATTTACATGCAAAATATTATTGATTGAAAAACGATTTTTAAAATGTTTCGTATCAGTTTACAAAAAAATGTGTCCACTCCCTCCACTTAAACCCAATACACAATTTTTTTTGATCTTGATTGTAAATGATATTTTTGTTTTTTATATAATTTAAATTAAATAAAAATAACAAATTTTCTTTTTTTCTTTGCAGCTTTCCTCATTACCTTTCAGGTAGATTATTAATATTTTGTGGAGCAGATGTAAATGCTTTAGATACATATAAAAGTACACCACTTCATTACATTGTTGAACACCTATTACAATAGTAGGTGTTTGCATTTTTATTTTTATAATATATTTTATGTTAAATGTATATTTATTTTTTTAATCTGTTTATTTTAAGTCCTCTTGTGTCAGATTCCATTTATTTCAGTACTAAAGATCTAATTAAAAGGCTATTGGATGCTGGTGCTCACACAGATATTGTTAATAATTTTGGTGTATGTCCTTACAATGCTGATCCCGTCACAAGTAATTGTTTATATTTATAGTTTTAACTTACTGTACTGCTCTGTTTATTTAACTTAACTGTTTTTTTAGGAATATTTCAGTTTATGAAGAAGTATCCCAGAAAATTGACATGCATAGCAGCTTGCGCATTGAAGTATAATCGTGATAGAGATTATTACTGTGATAAATTGCCGCAGGCTATACTACATTTTATTGATTTACATTAAATTTTTAACTAGTAAGTTCTTAGTAAATTATTCCATAAACAATTAATTTTGATTGATAAGGAATTCGGAAATACCTAATTGAATTAAATTAAATCTGTATGTAAAATAATTTTTTCATAATTTTCTATTTTTTGTTTATTATTAGTGTTTTATATTTTCCAATGTTTTATGTTTAAAAAAAGAAAATACCTTATAATTTATGACTGTTATTTTTATTTTAATATTAAAATGGAGTGATGTTATAATATTACAGATAAATGTTTAAAGCATGACAACAGAGCAGTAGACAATCAAACATAATTACATAACATAATATTGTACCATCATACTTAAATTTCTTTTTTTAAATTTTAAATGCATTTATTATCAAACTGATTTTCATAACTTAAAAAAATCTTAAGTATGATTAAAGTAATATTTTTAAAGATTTAAACTTGTATTTATTTTTTGAATTCTATTAGATAATACAAATATTGCATTGTATACATTGTATTTATATATTGCATAATTTAATGATTAGGCAATTTAAAAAATATAATATAAATATTGTCAACATTTAAAATTATTATTTTATTTAACTGTTTATAATATATAATCCTAAACATGCAATTTTATTTCTGTTTTTTTATTTATTCATTGTGGAATCAGTTAAGCTTTACTTTAAAACCATTTTTAATCTTTTACCTTGCTCCATATAAGTATATACCTTTATTTTTTTTAATAAGAACCTCCCTCCTCTTTTTGAACATAGACTTGATTAGAGAATATTTTTATAAACGTTTATGAGTTATACCAGTTTAAAGTATATACTGAAGAAGTAGGAAAGGGTATTAAATTGCATAATGCATATCTATTTGTTTATTCAGCTAGTACTTCAACATGTTAACTGTGACATGGGTTAAATTGGGTAACCCCCTTGTGCGGAAATTTTATATTATTAATATAATAGCTGGAATTTCAAGCGATGACAAAATTAACAATATTAAGGTTTTAACTATGGGGGCGCAAAAACAAATGATTTGTAATAGCCTGGTATTATTAGGAGAGCTAAGAATATAATGACAAGTTGTCCATGAATGTTAAAGAGATTATTTTTTGATTTTACCAAGAATTTTTATTATATTGGGGGAAAACAGAAAGAATGAAACACTACAAAAATAACACTATTATTTTTTTTTTTTTTATAATTCAGTTTAAAAATGGGGGCAAAATGTTATGTGATCAACCAAGATAGGCCACCTACCAATAATCTAGAAATTGAAAAAACCCAATTGATTAACATACATAATACGTATTTTATGAATTTTGATTTTTGAGTTTTTTGCTGTAATTTGGTTATAAATACACATAGACTCGAAAAACTAGAAAATGAGTTTACATTTTTAAAAAAAGTGAGCAGTGATAATGACTAAGATGTGTTTTGTATAATAATTTGATCTATCAGTAAGTCATGGTGGACGATCCAATATTATGGACTATTTAAAAATGAAAAAGCATGAAACTGCCAAAAATACTGCTTTATTTGAATACATTTTTTAACAATTTAAAAGCTGACAATACTTCACTAAAACTTACAGCAAAAGAATTAACATTCATTTATCATACAATTTCTCATAGTCAAAGTTTTGATTCTATGAATTGCACATCAAGTTTAATTCATAAATTATTTAATAAAAAACAATTTATAGCTGCTCCTACAAAATGTAGAGACAGCTGTGAACGTGCTGACTTTGATATTAAAATTACTAAAATAGACTTAGAAAAAGCTAATTTTGTGTCTATTCTTGTACGTTATTTTTATATTAAGAGTTCAAAACAAAATTTTGGAGTTTTCGAATCTACTCGGAGAAACCACAGAAATCATTTACCCTCATATTATTAAAGTTTTAAATAAAAATAGTTTGAGTAATAAAATAATTAGTTTCCCGCAGAAAACAAACACAGATTTTGGAGGCGTGTTGAGAAAAGGTATTTATGTATTTCTAAAATTAAAGCAAACATTAAATAGAAATATTTTAGGAATGGGATGTATTGCATTTATAATATGTATTCAATATCTGATTGTTAACCTGTTGATGTTGATAGTATTGTGTGCAAAATGTTTGATTTTTTTTATCACATATATATTGTCTGTGTCGAAAATTTAAAAAATGAAAAAATAATATCTTATATAACTAATAAATTAATATGTTTACAACACAATTTCAAAGAGTATATCTTTATAATTATATAATAATAATAAAGATAAAAAAAATCTAAAAACAAATTACATCTATCTATAGATTAATTTAAATTTTTTTACATTTTATGTTAAATAACTAACTCCATCGATAATGAGCATAAGCTCGGTTGGATTCACATTGCTTATGCAAATCTAATTTCTTTTTTACAACACGTCCCTAGAAAAAACAAAACAATAAAATACATCAAAATTGAAAATGTATTAAATATATAATTACATTATTGTTTGATGCCTGGATAAATTCATTTGCCATAAAATCAGCAAAACTAACAGATTTGTCTTTCTCTCGTCCACAATGTACAAACCATCGCATAGCATAAAAAGTAGACTCTTTATCTGTTATAGGAACTGGTACCTTAAATTTAAAAAAGATCAATTTTTTTTATTTTATGCCTTATAAAAAACAGTTACATTTAATAAAGATAATATGTAAGAAATTATTCTCATATTATTTTTAGTTTTTACTTAGATATATTTGATACATTTTTGTAATATGCTAAATAATTATAATATCTTAAAATATGATAAAAAAAAAAAAAAATGTTTATATTTGTGATCTATAGCCAAATCTCATTTATTTATTTTTTTTATTTATTATAATCATCATAATTTACATAAAAGAATACTGAACATATTTTACATGATTATATATATCTTTTAAGCTAAAAGTTTGTATCATAGATAGAGAGCAATATATTTCTAATAAAAACACATATTATTTAAAAGAACAAAAGCATAAAAATAGCAGGAGATCTTGGAAATTTAACTGGAGGTTCATTATAAGTCTTACTTAGTTGTAAAAAGAAAAAAAAATTGAATGTAATTATGTATTTCGTTTAAAAGTTTTAATATTATAATATTTTTTAACAAACTTCTCTCACAATAGTTTTAGCTAGTAATGGTTTAATGTTGCTTACAGATTTTAAATATATAACTTTATGTATTCTACTTTCTGAAATTCATACATATAACAATGGCGCAACCATCTGTAGTATCAGCTTTTCTTTTATTCTGTCGGTAAATAACTTTTTTACCAATAATCTTGCTCCAATGTATATAATAATTTCCCCCTAATTTAATATTTTTAGGAAATAATTTTCTAATATATTTGAATATCTTCAATAACTATAGTTAGCAATGGTAGATAATTCAAGATAATTATTTGTTCAAGAATGATTCTAAGGAAAGTTAGGTTAAACATTTTATGATAAATTTAATTAGTATTAATTTGGTTTACACAGCTAACACATTACTCTACTATTTTAATATACATATTAATTACAAATAAATGAATAATACCTGATAATAGGAGCCACCTCTTTTTACAGGTGTTAACTTTAATAGAGGTTTACAATTAGTAATAGCTTTTTTCAAAATAACAACAGGATCAACAATTATTGATGATTTTTTCTCAGGATCAGTTTCCTTATTGTATTTTGCCAATTGTATTTTTTTAATTTGTTCAAAGGTCTAGAAAACAATACAAATTATAAATTATACTTAAAGATTTAGGTTTAGATTCTAAACTTCATGTGTTATAAGCAGGTATAATATACATTATTTAATGTAAACATATGAGTGGGTGCGTAAAGTAGATTCCATTTGCTGACTAAACAATTAATATAAAATCAAAAAAAATAATTCAGATACTATAAGAATATTTTTTTTATAAATAACTAATAAAAGAATGTATAAAAAAAAGTCTAGATCTGGATATGATTATTAGTAATTATTAAATAAACATTTAATTCAGTAATAGTCTGGTGCCCTCTCTAATTCTTTTAGTTCAAATAAAGTCTAAGAGTTAGATTTGATTAGTAGTTTAATCATTGATGTAACAATTTGAAAGCACCTGACTACTAATGGAATTAAATATTTATTTAATAATAATAAAAAAAAAAACCATAAGACCTAGTAGTATTGCTTAGTATTGAGATGGTACTTTTTCTACATTAATTAGTGGCAGACTCAAAAAAATGTACTTTTTTACATTTGTAAAACTATACATAATCACATTAATTAAATCTAGCTAAGAACAAATCTGGGAATTTACCAATTATTTTAGTTTTTTTTTCATCAATATGGGCTCTATAATGCAATATAATTAATAAATATTGCCCTCTTTTCTCAGTTCTATTAATTTATAAATGCTAAAAATATTCTATTTAGATTTAACTATTTATGCTTAATAATAAATTATTGTCTAGTTTAGTTTGAAAAATAATTTAATTTTTATCAAATAACACATATATTGTGCTGTGCAAAAAGTGACCAATTAAAAAAACGTTTTTAAATGTCTTATTTTATCCCCAATGTCCCAAAAAATCATGGTTTCTAGAAATAGTTTTTAAGCTACAACACATAATTCTGGATTAAAACTAAAATTGAATAAAATGTAAATTATAATTTGAAAAATTAAATTTTTAAAATATTTAATCACTTTTTGTAGATAGAGAAGATATGTGTATTAATGTATTACATAAATTATAATATACTTGGAGTTTAATAAAATGATATAATTAGTTAGATACATACTTTTTCTAAAACTTGCCTGGCTAATTTCTTTTGTCCTTTAATAAGCATATAGTTAATGAATTTTCTAAAAAAAAAAACAAAAAAAAAAATTATGTACACAATAATTTCAATTAAAATTAGAATGTTGATGAAAACCAACAATATGTTGTTTTTATAAAACAAATCTTGGTAATTTACTGTGTTCAGTTATTATAACTATTATTTTTTTAATAGGTAAATGTTTTTAAAAGGTAATAAAATAGTCCAATAAATGAATTAATCATATCAGAATTGTGCAAATAAGATGTACAAAGTGTTTGAAAAAACAAGAGTTGATTTAGAAATCAAATCTCAGAAAAAATATATTGTAGTATTAATTACTCATATAATAATTAATAATTGAATAATATGATAATGTTATGATTATGTTACATATATTTAATTCTACTTTTATTTGTCATTGAATTTCTTATCATATATAAAGAATTAAATCTATAGATGTAAATGGACACTAAATTCCCAATAGAACAAGGACTTAGGAAAAAAAAAAAAATTTGATTATAAAAAACTAAATGTGAAAACATAATTGATCTACAAAATAGTATTAAATATAATTTGCGTTACATTTTTAATTCTTCTTTATCATCACTATACTGGACTTATATTTTTTCAATATCCATAGTAAAAAAGCTAAAAAGTTTTTGTTTTTCTAAAAAAGGGAAAATTGTATTTTGTTGTTGAATTATATGATTTACTAAGGTCAGAATTAAAATTACAGAAATAGAATTATAAAATGCACTCCTTAAAAATCGTTCACTATTTATAGGATGAATCCAGCATTTTTGATTTTATTTTCGATCTGTTTTTTGCAATACTCTTATAGTGTAGTACGCAAAAATTGTGGTGTCCAAATCCTCCATCTTGTACTGTAGACTTGAGACTAGTAGATTCAAAACTTAAAGATGCAAAATTATCAACTGACTTTACATCCGTGTGACTAGAGTAATTGCAACTTACATTCTTTCAAAGCTTCTGTGCCTTCTTAGCCTTAATTAATATTTTATTGTTAGAAAATTTGTGTTTAATACTTCAGAGCTGTTAGAGGAGAAACTTTTAAATCTCTATCATTTTTGCTATTTTAAATATTTTTTGTGGATTTTTAGTGAATATAATTCCTCCCTCCTGGGTTCTAATTATAAACTAAGAGTTGGTTCTACCATCTATAAATATCTAATAGTTAAATTTATCCATAGAATAATTTGACTTAAACTGTTCTACTGTGTTCTAAGTGAACAATTTATTTGAGTTACTTAGATATTTTGTCTATACTTTATTCAATCAAGATTTTAATATAAATTTAATTATAATAAATTAATAATACAATGTGAGATTTATATATATTAAGTAATGTATATACATTACTTATAATGTCATTAATAGTAATGTATATACATTACTTAAAATGTCATTAATAAATCTGACATTAGTAATCCAGAGTTATACAAAGAAATTAAATCATTAATTTATTTAAAGTCAGAGTCCAATTCTCATGGAATTATACTTATACAAATAATTTATCTTTTTTTACCTAATATGTACATTGCTGGGGTATCTATTTTAACAATGTCTGTTAGTGTTACTATGGGACTAGTACTGAAATAAAATACTTTAAATTAGTATCTAGATATGGATACAAGTATCTTAAGATACATTTAAGAAAAAGGATAATTTTTTTGATAAATATTTGATTCATTAAAAATATAGAATTACAAAATTATAACAAAACTAGTAATAGGTACATAATTTATAATACAATCATTGTCAGTTATAATACATAATATATAACAATATTAAAATATTGGTTAATTATTGGTAAATATAAAATAAATAATGAGAGTATTATCTACTTGTAAATAATAATAAATAACATATATCAACAATAAATTGTTGATATTTTTATTTAAAAAAAATTAGATTTTAGAATTTTAGTTTTATTTTTGTATTTTGTTGAACTAAAAAAGTAAGCATTTTGTCTAAGAAACAGAAACAATTAAGATATAAGATATCATATATATATAATTAAGATATATAACAAGATACAAAAAAAGTATATAGATACTGTATTTTAGATACATATCTAGATATATAACAGCACTTTATGGTATCTTTTTCAAAGTTAATGACTGTAAAAAACCATCTTAAATCAACAATGAAACAAAATCATTAATTGAAAAGTTTGCAGCAGTAAAAGCTCAAAAAGTTTCTTCAGTTTAGGTTTAAACATTTGATATTTACATAATAAGATATTATACATCATAAAGCATCTTATTGTATAAACTTATTATTTTAAAGGTCAAATTAATAAAATATGACTATCTTTTCATATGTGGTCTACCAGTATCATTGCAACTGCAGTTTTGCATTTTTACTTCTCTACAGTGATATTTAGTATGTATACTTATACAAATTATTAATTATACATACAGGGTCTCCTACAGTGTTATCCGAAGACTAATAACTCCATTTAATTTTTTGAATCTGGTTTTGTGTCTTGACTTAAAACCAAATTGTAAAAAATATTGACAGGGTTATTATCATAAGGAAAACATTGTAGGATATCCTGCATAGTCATATCATTGTACCAACTATATTCAAGTTGTAACTAAATATAAAGTATAATAAAAGGTACCTTTATAGTTTATTATAAAGACTATCACATAGGAAAACTGATTATTGATGGATTGGAGCAGTAGTCTTCAACCGGTGGGTCACGACCCATTTATGGGTCTCATATGCTTAAAAATTTAATCAATTGAATTGATAAATTTTCTTTTTGAAATAAAAATTAAGTTTATACAATTATATAAGGTATACAAATAATTGTTTAACTATTAAACTTAGAAAATTAATAAATGAAAATACAATTTGAAATTTATTTTAATATATTATGTATAAACAATATTATATAATTTATATTCAAAAATATAATAATTTAATAGATTTCAAATCACAGTATATATATCATATACTGGTATGATTCTACGTAATATGACATTAAATATAATAATTTACAAGTAAACCAGACTAGTAATAAAATAAATAAATAGTATTATTATCGTTAAAGAGTCTCATTATCTACAAACATTTTCGATGTTGTAGCTGTGTTTAAAGATGAATAAATGTTAGTCGCGTTATTATTCTAGTCATATTTACGTATCCGTTAAAAAGTTGTTTTATTTTTATTTATTCAGTTATAACAGTACTACTACAAAATATTAAGTAATTTTAGATTTTTTTTTCTACAAACGTTTTTCTGTATGCCTTATGTGGGTCGCGAATAATGTATGCTTATAAAAGTTGGTCATGAGTCCAAAAGGGTTGAAGACCACTGGATTAAAGTAATAGTTATACAGGTAGGTATAATAAAATATAAATAGTAGCATTAATTTTGTAAGTAATGTCATGTAAAATCGAATAAACTATTTTAAATAATGTAATAAAGGATTTTAATAACAAAATAAATAATCCTCAGTTATAAGGACAACTCTTGTAGATGAGTAGTTAAGAAGGTATGATATAGAGGAGAATTTAATGTATATCTGTGTAAAAAGATAAATCATTGTTAAGAAAAAATGATTATGAGTAGAGCTCAGTTAATAATATTGCTTTTTCAATAATACAGATGTAATATTATAGTAAAATAAATATATTATATTGAAACTATTGGTATGGACCAGTAACTAGCTTTGTTCTACATCATTTTTTACTTAAGTGATTGTCGTCCAATTTTATATTAAAATTATTAGAAAAAAAAAACTACGTTGACTCTTTTTTTTTTTTTGTTGACCACAAATTACATCTTTTAATGAACAATCTGTTCAATTTTCAAGTATTTATGTTTAATTTAAAAATTATACCCCCAGAGTACTTGCCAAATAAAAATTACTCAAAAATAACTTAAATGTTTTTACAGTTTTACCATGTCTAAAAAAAGACAAATATAAGTTTTTTGTCCAAATTTCAAATCACCACGAATATTTTTAACTGAATAACAAATAACAAAAATGAAAATAATAAAAGCATTCTTTTTGTAAATTTACCATTTTTTTAATGGTTTATCCGGTTGTTCCCAGAAATGATGAAAACCATTTTGAAAATTAAAAAATGACCTCTTTAAAGTACCATCGAGACAATATTTTCCTTCAGAAATCGTGCCACACATACATATCGTAGAAAGATTTATGGTTAGAAATTTTTATCACAGTATATATATATATATAAAAAATTAAAATAAACATCTCTGTAAAACCAATACATTCTTCGCTACATTCAGAATTTAAAATATAGATTTACAAGAGTTTACAGATTAAATGAGAAACATAGTTTATATTGAGTAGGTATAGCAATTAGGTAGGAAGAGTGATTATTTAAAGAGAATATTTGAAGTCAATAAATTATAAATATTATTGTAAACATTGGTAGATCACAAATCTGAGGTCGACTACAGACGAATAGGTAGTATAAAAGGTTGATTTTTTATAAATTTAACTTAAATTTGTTTACTTCAAGTTAGATATTTTATAGTTTAAATGAAAAGAGTTAATATTTTTACATTTGTATCATCAAATTGAAGTTTTCTACTGTTTTTAAATATCTTATAGAATCATTTTTAAATTTATTTTATTTTTAAAAAGACACTGAATAATTTTTAGTACATACACATCTATCACAATTATATACATAGAATTCTTTTTGGCTGAGCTTTTAGTTATATCATAATTATAATCCAATGATATTAAATGTAAGGTCAAGATTTGAGAAATGTGTATTTTCATTGTAAATATAATACATATTTTAAAAATAAATTTCATTTAAATTAACACAACTCTGACTAGTACTCAGATAAGAAATTAAGGAGAAGAGAGATGAACAGCCTATTTGTTTATATAATAAAGACAACCAAATAGGTTAAAGCTTGAGCCATATAATAATTAGTTTTTTTTTTATTACTAATGCAACTTTCTTAAAAATGTTTCCCAAGAATACTTTGTTAAATCCAGGATAAACAAGTTAGATTTTATATTTTAGTGAATTTAATTTTAAAAGAATAATTACAATATAATAATCAAGAAATACTTACGAAACTACAGGATCATGAAATATAGAACATGTTTCATTGCTTTTAGCTGCTTTAAATGGAATTAATTTAAAATTCTCAATACCTCCAGTTTCAAGCAATTTATCTAATTCTTGTTTCTTGTAAATAGGTTCTCCAAAATGAGGTGGATATACACTATATTTAGCTGCAAATTGTGGTGACATTTGAAATCTTAAAAATAAAAAATAAATAAAATATTAAAAGAAAAACTAGTTTATATACAAATAATAAATCTAAGAAAAAAACGGCACGGAAAAACCGACAAGGGTAAAATATCTCAAGGTAAATATTGTCAAATGCATTTTACTTAAAAATCACAAAAATTAGTTACAAGTCAATTAAAGTTAATAATAATAAATCATTTATATTATATACTATATAGCAGGGGTGGCCAAATCGCATCTTATGTAAGATACAAAATTTTTTTTTATTATGAATTTACAATATGTATTTGAAAAACTACAAAATTTTTAAAAATTACAATACATAGTAAAAATTTACAAAAAAAAAATAAAGTGTTATTAATATAATATTTAAGTATATATTTTTTTTAAATTTGTAATTATCAATTATTATCTTATTTGTTGTGTGTTCATTTTGTTTGTAAGTTTTTTGAAATCCGGATTATGTGTTGTTAAAGCAGTCCTTAACAATTATTCTTCCCAGTGTAATTTGAATTCTCTATGTTCTTCATACTTCTGTTTCTTAGACATGATAATTATTTTATTAATATTAAAGTGATACACTCACGACAGCACTATGGAGACATATTTATTTGTATTTATGATAGTATTTATAGACAAAATTAAGATAAAATTTAATCTGACATTATTATACATTATTATATTGTTTCCCGTTCTATAGATTTTATTATATTTGATATCTTATCTTATTTATTATCAATATTATATTAATGTGACCTTTTTTTTCATTTTGGCTCTTCCATATTTATTAATATATTGGGCGGCTCGCGAGTCTCTTCTCGTTGGTCAGATATATAGTAATAAAAAAATTTATCTATTTTTCCACTTAAATATTCTTTACATAATGTTTGTTCAAATACTATTACTATTTAAAAATAATATATTTAATGCCCCCCAAAAAAATCCAGCGCAGCTTTGAAATATATAGTCATACAACGGAAGTTATTTGATCGGGAGTCAGCAACCTGCAATTAGTCACTAATATTTGTCATTTTTAAGTAAAATACATTTGACGTTGTATAACTTGTTGATTTTCAATAATATTAAAAGATATATATCCAAAACTTAATTTCAGTGAAGAAAATTTCAAATTATTATTATCAATTATTTGTATATGGTCTGCATTAAATCATTATTAATTCTTATTTAATACCATAAACTTTTAATATATTGTATTTGCCAATTTTATATTCCATGTAGATTAATTTTAACATTTGTGTATCAAGAATATTTGCGGTACTATTCAGAATATATTAAAATACTTAATTTAAATAATGCATTTTTACAAGATTAATAAAATTCACTTACAGATGTTTAATGCAACTGCCAAACTTTGAATACTTAACTAATAACGCCATTACTGAATATGTACCTGTGCACCAGAATTAATAGTACCTACTTAGTTTTATTGAGTTGAAAAGTATTATAATGACAATTAAATCAAAAAATTCACTATTGGGTTTATTCGTTTAAGACCGTGAATGGGATAGTTCTGCTCTAGTGATAAGAATAAAGCCTGGTAGAAAAAACAAAATTCGTGACTATCATATCTTATTAGCGCACATCGTAAAGTTAAACAATCTTCTTCATAGACATAATAATTTCTATTAAATAGATAATTAATTTCTAAATAATATCTATTGTTTATAATAATAAGAGAAAAATAAATAATAATTTCTATAATATCTATGATCTTATTATTCTAATTGCACAGCCCGGTTTTCTCGATAATTGCGGCATCACACGCACAAGCGTCTATGGTAGGGGTGGCCAATTTGCGGCACATTTTATGTGCATTGAATAACAAAAACATTAAAAAATATTCGTTAACAATGATTTATCGTTTTGCTTTGCATTTTAGATATAAATTAAATAACTTTTATGCCCGATTCACGGTTGCACCAAAGCCCAAACTTGTCGTTATCTATTGATAAATTTAATGTTAAATCCACGGTCTTAGAAGAACTTCTAAGACCGTGGTTAGATCTAAGATGGATTAACCTATAATTATTTAATAATAATTAACGGTTAATAAATTTATTTTCTTGGTTTTAACATGTAACCTCGATGTATTAAATTTACGAGTATTGCTCAATCCACGAATTAATATACACCTTAATTCGTATATCTTATTTCGAGGCTCAATTATGTCATATCATTTCATGTTCTATATTCAGGTTATTACCAGAATACTGATTAATGAATTGTTTCATTGTACCAAGGTGTATCAATACAGAGTAAATGGTATAATATAATACGTTCACAAACTAAGAACTAAGTTCGTGGATAAATTACATATGTATGATGGGCAGTAACAAATAATCATAGATAATTAAGCATCTTATTTTATTATCTATTCAAATAATCTATATTATCGACCAATATTCGTTTATTCTATTGCAGCATTGTTTGTAGTGTGACGGCTAAATTGTCGATTGAAGTATTGAATTATTTAGTTTGTTGCGTGGTTTATTTTATTGGACGTTTCCGTTATGCGTAATATAACGCGAACTTAATTATTGTTGTAATATTATTGTGCATACCTATATCTATATGGTTGACATCAATAAACGATTAAAATTATTATTATTATTTTCATAATCATGTTTTGTTTCTGGTTAAATATTATTATATAATATAACACCTATATGATATATTTACCAATTTACTATTTAGTTGCAGTTTTTTCGACCAACTGGTCAGTGGATACTATTAATATTCTGCTGTGTTCTGGTTTTACTTTGCTGATAATTGGTCAAAATCTAAAAACCTTAATGATCCAATTTCCGATTTTACATTCATATAGTGAGATAAGTTCGTTGAACACGAGAACAGAGTACGTAAAATTATTTTTTTATATAATATTGTTCACACCCACTTCGGAATTTATGGTTAAAAGAATCAATCAATTAATGATTTCGAAAATCATAAATTAAGAAGAGAAGTAATTTTTGATAGGTAGTAATTTTTTAAATATCCATCATTATTTTTCTTAAATCTATTAAGAATGTTAAAATATTATTTGGATTAAGGTGCATGATTTTGCAATTATAAACATTACTTATTCTCCCACCCAATCCAAATTATCAATCAATACATTACCTATGTGGTATTTAAGAATTAGGCACTCCAGGTGACCAAGCATAACTTTAAGTACCTAGCTCCTTTTACATTAACATAGACATAATTATAAAATACTTGGTGATGTAGTCTCCCACAAGACCACAAATAACTCCCTCCCCGCCTACAATAATTTGTCAAATCTTAATACCCTGAAATAGTCTTTATCATAAAACTAAAGCCCCTCTTCTCTTGAAACACATTATTTTATACTTTGGCATTAGTTAAAAAGTCGGAATTAGCATTGGTCAGATAGCTAGATAGCTCAGTGGGAGATTACTTCCCTTGAATTTAATGAATTTAATTGTTACTTGTCCAGTCGAGGAGATTTCAGTTCAATTTCTGGTATAATCACCTGATTTAAAGCTTTATTTTTTTGATTTTAATACATATTAATATCATCCAAATTAAACAATGGGAAATTACTTTTTAAAAAGTTAAGAAATAATAATTTGTCATTTTCAATGTCTACTAAATAAATAAAAATTAGAAATAATCTAATTGTAAAACTGTTTTTAGCTACCTAATATATTATAATGTGAATAAATTGTACATATACTTGGAGTTTTACAATTAAAAAATAATATTAATATCAAATAAATAAATAAAATATAATGTATATATATTTGTATAATAATACAAATTGTTGTAAAATGATGAATACAATTATAAGATATGCGTTTGCCATGTAACAGTTTTACATAAAATAATATATGAAAATATTGTAATTTCACTTTGGTGAATTTGCAATAATAGAATATATTATCTGCAAAGGCTATTTAAAATATAAAAATCTTTTTAAAAGAAGAGCGAATTCATTTTAGTGTTAATTTTATTTCTCATATTGTCTAATGATTATTATATTATTATATTATTACTATTCATCATGATGAATAGTCAAATTTGTCCAGCTAAATTGATAGGGTGTTTATAAATAATTAAATAATGCCTTAAAGTTTTTGATAAACATAAGTATCAATGTCATATAATTTATAATTAAAACTAATATTACAAAAATAATGGGGAACCCAAGTCCTACACTGGATCAATTACAAAGTTTTTCATTACCTCATAGGTACAAATATATCTATAGACTTGCTAATCTTATTCAAATAATGACTAAGTGTTTATTGTGTAATCTTGCTACTGCAATATATCAAAACGATTTGCATCATCAAACACCTAAGTATGTTTGTTATAACAAACCGAATTATATGTATATTAAACCTAGCCATGGTTTTCTAACAATTAGTTGTTAAAAAGTTTTACTAGTACAAAATATCCTTTGTTGGCTACTGATATTCTTAATATTATTTCATTGTACATGTTATTAGATTTATTTTGATTTGTCCCTAAGTATTTAAAATCATTTACTGCTTGGAAGGTGTGATCCCCAACAGTTAGATCCATTATATTTACATTTCTTCTGCTGCCAACTATATATTTTGTTTTGCCTTAGTTGATTTTAAGACCCATTGATTTAGCTGCTTTAATTAGATCAATTAATCATTAATCACATGATGATGTGATTACCTTTCACGAGTGTTACCTAGCACCACAAAGTCATCCACATAAGCAAGAATAACACATTTAAACATTTATTTCAGTTTTTTTTCGTAATAATAATTATAATAATTCAATTACTAATTCATAACACTAGTTTTGAGAAATAAAACCCATTGTATAAATATGAAGTTGGGTATCCAATGTTTACTGCATATGGTTGAGGGTAAGAAGTAGTCTTGTAAAATGTCTAGAGGTTAGTTTTTTATGTGTCATGAGTGTAAGACATTCTCTGCTTTTATACCTTTCAATCGAACCTTCATTATATACACAAAAAATGTGTGTATTATCTACCTTTGTTATCATAGAGTAATTATGATATAGGTAACAAACACAGAGTAATAATAATAGTACTTACCAATAATTCTTTTGGTTGGTCTTTAAAGATATTCTATCTCGGGTCTAGAAATCAATTTTTTTTAAAATAAAACATTTTTTGTTTGCCATAGATGACAGAAAGGTCATCAGCTTTTAGCAAAATAAAATTTAGTTAAATGCTAGTTTACTGTTTTGTGAATACTTTTTAGTTTTACAACATAATAAAATACATTATAATTTAACTTTGTTAGAAATTCTGTCAAAATCAAAATAAACAAGGAAAGTTAAGGTAGACATAAAACTATAAAAAAAGGAAAAATTTAATTTTCAACAGATTTTCATTGTTAAACAATGCCTTATCATTTCTTTTTTGATATTTTTTTTTTAAAAATATGGATACTATTAGTATATATCATCATACCTGTACAAAATTTTTAAAATTGTTATATTAAATTTATAAAATGGTGGAAGAAACGTAAATTCTGATCGAACAAATTAGAAAATATTTGTTCTTGTTCGATACATTTCATCAAAATTATAAAAATGTAGTAAAAAAATTGTTTTTTTTCTTTTATTTTGAAGGGCAAGTAAAAGAAGTTGCTCTTCGTCAGAATTTGACATATTGAATAAATAATAGGTAGTATAATTGCAAATATATATTAAAGGTTTTCTCGGATCCGAAATCCGAAATACAACCCGTAAGATGCTTTATTATAGCAAGTAAGTCTATATTATTATAATGTGAATACTTGTATTATGACGTAGAAACAATCCCATAAATATTAGGTATAAAACCCGTGATCCGTCCAATCTGTCTGTAACGATTGGTCGATGACGTATGACGACCAGAACCGGATTGAACCGGCGAACTACAGGGGGAAAATCTCTGCTCCAAATTATTATCCTTATTTTTATAGTATGTAGGTATTATAATATACAAATGATGATTTTTTTTTTTTGCACATCACTGAAATAGCCCTTGTAAAACTCCGCCTATATTTCCATTTTATCTTCTCTATTTCTCATCTACAACAGTGGCCCACCTACGTGTGAAGTATGTCCGTCTTTTTTCGGGATTTTTAGGTTCTTTAGTACGTTTTTAAAGTGGCGGTTAATTTTTTTGTAAAATTTTAGATAAGCTTGTTTCTTGTAATTGTCAACTTTTTTTTCTTTTTAAGTCTATAATTCGCAAAATAACGAATGTTCAACGAAAAAGAATAACCCTGTTTATAATAAATATAATGTTACATATTATTCTGTAAACTATAATAAACATGATTTCAAATTATTCATCGAATATAACTAAAATTGGGTTGTAGTTCGATAATAAACTTTCATCACCAATTTTCATGTTATATTTCAAAACTTAGAAGTACAACAGAGTTATTAGATTTGTCCTAAAACAAAATAATGATGAACATAACGATAAGAAATATTATTTTATCACTATTTTCATTAATTATTATTTTGACAATTATTCAATTTAAATTTTTTTTATCATAAGTAATAAAATATAATTTTCAATATTGTGACAGTGATTAAACTATCACAGATATTATATATTGTTATGATTATAATTACAATTATTATAATTAAAATTAGTTCATTATTATTACTTCAAGGTTAATGGTACGAATGTATGATAACAACTTTGTGCCGTAATCGACTGTGTAATAATATTATAAGTACAATTTATAACGACCCATAACAAAGCCGCTTCCATATGCTTAAAACTATCTATGGTGGTGCTATCTATAACTGTGGTATTAACTACTAGCAAATTTGCCAAAACAATAATTGATAACATTATTATAGTAATGACAGCACTAAAGTTAACAATCATAAAAAAGAAAATGATTCATTGTTTGTATTTATCATAATTATTATTGGTATACATTTTGTTAATTCTAACTTTGGTGTTTATATCTGAAAAATACACATTCCGATTTTAGTTTAATAGTGTTGGATATTATATTATATTCTGTTTCTACATTTTTAATCAAGTGAGTTATTTTATTTTGTTTAACAGTTGTAACTAATATTTTTTTTTATTAAATGTAAATACTTACAACTATCAATTATTTTAATCAATCCAATTATGTGAAGTTTTGTTTGAAATTAAATTTGAATTTCAATTCGATTCGCCCTTCAAAAGTTTTTTTTATTATTTAATAATTAATTATTTCAACATATATAATGTTCTTACAATAATAATTATTAAAATAAATTAAAATTAGAATAAAAGTTGTATTATACAATATTGATATAATATATATTTATATTGTGCGTTTTTTCGTTGTGTAAATTAAATTGTGAAATATTCGTTTTATATTAAAAAAGTACTTAAAAATTAGTAGTATTTTGTAAGTGGCTTTATTTATGTACAAGCTAATATTTGTATAAACAATTTTATTTTAAATATTATAACAAATTCTTTCTTAATATTTGTAGGTTTACACTATTTATCTTAATAGGTAAAATTGGATTAAAATACGTTAAGAGATGTTCTTAAAACGTTTATATGATTGTGTAACCTAACCAAACCTACTAAATTTAGTTTGTTAACCGATGGTTAGTGCTGAAAATATTTGACTGGACATTTTAAGAATAGCCTTGATTAATTTTGATAAAGTACTATACGGACATATATTCTATGTATCTAGCAATATAAGTAATTACAGTAAAAGCACGGATAGTAATATGAGTTAAAACTTTAAGCAATGATAATAAATAATATGAGATGTTAATAGTAATGACAATAGTAAAATTTCAATAAAATAGATTAAGAGACATCTACCTAGTTTAAATATTTTTTCCGGGAGACTGATGTCTCATAAATAGGTCTGTAAATAGATTGATACAATATCAATGTAAATGTAGAAGAGGTTAACAATTTTTCAAAGAATTTAAATCATTTTGGAGGAGATATTTGTTGCTATACGCTATTGTATAATTTTAGCCATTGGTGCTGTCATATTATTATAATAATCATTTTTTTTTTTTGTGATCCATTTTTCTAATATAAATTTTATTTATTTAACTTTTTACTTTAGAATTATAAATTATGAGTAACAATTACAATTTCCAAAGATCTGAAATGGAAACTCCTTTACAAAGTTCACACTATAATCCTTCCAGAGAAACACTTGGGCGTTATTCTGAATATTCATTACATTCCAGTTACAAAATGCGAGGAGCAGATACAGGTTGTAAGTTTTTGATTATCAAAAGAATCTAATAGTTACAAACTATTTTTATTTTTTTTTTCTTAGTGTGTATAACATATTCTTAAAGAATATTTAATATTTATACATATTTTAAATTCTTTTTCTTATTTGAAAATTATATTTGTATACTATTTAATTTCTTTTAGCTTCCAATTCAGTGGCATGTACAACACGAATTCCATATGCCACTTTAATTGCTGCTGCGTTATGTATAACAGGTGTTGGAGTGTTCTGTAGTACAATGTATCGTGGGACAACACTAACTGCATTAATGTTGGATCAAGTATTTCATCTCTCTACTGGCTGGTATTTTATTTTTTAAATACAATTATATGTTTACTCGATTAGCATTATGACAAAGTGGTTTACAATTTGCAATTATGTGATGTAAATCAAAATTTACTTCTTACTACATTAGGGTTATTAGGATTGTTCTGTAGTACAATGTATCGAGGGACAACACTTACTGCATTAATGTTGGATCAAGTATTTCATCTCTCTACTGTTTGGTTTTTGGTATTTTATATTTTGCAGGCTTGAAACTATCAAAACAATATTAGTGTTATTAGTAGCTGGAATGGGAGCTCTTACGTTAATGATAATATTCATTGGGTTTCTGGCAACTGGAGCTACACGCCGTCATATATATAAGGCATGGCGAAATCGAGTTGGCGGACGTATATCTTGTGCAGTTGTAAGTACCAAAAAAGAAAATTAATTTGTTTTAAATTAGAACAATGTATATAATAATTACATGTTTTAATGTGGATATGTTTTTGGGGACATATATTTAAAATGAAAGCTGACTGGTTTCATGGTCCAATTTTTATTGATAACTATAGTAATAATAATAATTTAATAAAAAATAATTTTTTAAATAACATTATAAAACTATATAATACTTACAGTATTAGAATCTTATAAAAAAAAAACCTAACCAGTTTTTCCTATTAACATAATTCTTGGGCTGGTGTCTATCTGAAATTAGCATCATGAATTGTATACTAGATCATTTTGTATTGATAATTTTGCAATACCAGAAAGTCAAAGTTAGGAGAAAGGAGGATGAAAAAGTAAAAGTGAGAAAGAAGAAAGAAGGAAGGGAAGAAAAAATCATCAAGGAAAGGGAAGAAAGAAAAAAAAAGAGTGGAAGAGTTTGAGGAAACACTATGGGAAACTTATGTAAAGAAAGAGAATAAAAGAATATATTTGAAATTAAAGCAGATTTGATTATGTTTGATCAGCTTCTAACCCCGAAAACATATTCATAACTATTGTATTGTAGTGGAGAAATTTGTATGCTGTTTTTTTTCAGTTTATGGGTATTGTTTACATTATAAAATTTTTTTGGATTTTGGTTCTTGGATTTCTTATAATTGCAACATTTATATTGACTGTTTTTTGGAAAATGTGTAGTAGTTCTCAAGTACAAGAAAAACATCAGTGTATAGATTTAACACAGTTCAGTATGTATAATGCTTAATCTTTTTATTTTTAAATATATATGTTACTGTTAAATAATGTGATAATTAGGTCAGTATGTATAATAATTAAAATATTTGGTTAGTTTAAAAATTATGTATATGTTATCAAATTAACTAGTTATTTTGCATAACAGTTAATAATGATACATTTAATGCAATTAAATAACTTTAATAACTCTTAAATAACTTTAAATAATTTAATAACTCTTTAACTGGTAATTACATCCTTAGGCTCATCACTAGCTGGTTGGGGAGCCAAAATAATGAGAGAGACATAGTCTCAGGTTGACCTACTAAAAACCCAACCAAAAACCTAGTCGGTACCACGGGCGGGGGAGCCCCACTTCACGCCGGACCGGCCTGGCTGCTCCAGACTTAGTGCCCCTAGGTTCAGGAGCCTACTTGGCTGAAACGTGGTGGCTGTGGGACTGGCGCGAGATAGTAAAGCTAATCCACTGCACCTAGTGGGTGAATGGGAACCGAGAAAGGTACGGGCCCTAAAAAGCCCGGGCCTGGTGTTCCCTATGAAGACCCTGAACCAGCGGCGGTTGCCATCATAGCTCCTGTACCACGACCGCCTGCAAGTAGAGCCCAGGGCTACGATGTGAGGCCCAGGGCTGTAGGCATCAGCCATAAAACCTGGAGATCAGTTGATAATTACATCCTCTTTAAATATGATTTTTTTTTGATAAATATTAAATTGGTTAAAATGATGAATTTATCATATTCACTTGAGTATAATCAGATTGTATAATATATTTTAGGAAATTGTGAATAATTTATTATACTAACCAAACATTTTGGATATTATATACAATTATAAAATAACTAGTTATTAGAAAAAAATATTATTTAACTTAGTAACTTACTTACTTTAATTTAGTTAAATTTATCTAATTAACAGTAATATACACAAATGCATATGTTGTATACCTTATTATATTTAATAATGTATGTCTTTGTATAATGTGTATGTTCTATGAATTTGGTTAAAATTATATTTAATATTGTATTTCAGTTTTTCTATTTCCTCAATCAATACATATTGATTATTTGAAGATTTGTGAAGCTCGAGACATCAAGTTTTTTTGCAGGGATTTTGTTGAAAAATCAGAATTTATGTTTATTTTGGGTACTTTTGGTGCTCTTCTAATATTAACAAGCCTGGTATAAATTTATAAGCAGTATAATACCTTTTATATATATTAATTCCTTATCCTATTTAACCTAATCATATCAAGCATCTATTATTGTTATTAACATTTTTATTTTATTGCTTATATTCAATGAACTCAATTGAACTCATTAATTTAACTTTTATACAATTTTGCTTCTATTATGAAATTAAAATTGATTTCACAATAAAATGATAGTTTATTTCATTATATTAATTGTATGCTTTGTAGGTTCATTACCTGATGTGTCTATCAGCTAATTATGCACATATCAGGGATCACGAAAAATTTGAAGAAATTCAAGAATTAAGGCTTTTACAAGATACAAATTTCAGTTCAAAAGAAAGATTTTAAACAATAACTTTTTGCAAATGCACATATCATTACTCATTTAATGATTAATGAATGGATTACAGGGTTTATTATTTGTAATTTACTGTCCTAATGGCTAATTATCACTAATAGTTATTATATAAGCACTTGAGTATCCAATAGTGACAATACTTTTTATTGTGAATTTCAATTTATTATAATTATAAACTATTTTTAAATAAGATACAAAATATTACAATTTAATTTTTAAAAATGTAATTTTTGTTGAAAACTAAAATAAGCTTAAAAATTAATACTTATTTATGTTATTTTTTTTAAATATTCTATAAATTTTAAATTGTAAAAAAATCAAGTATTATTTTTATAACAGTTAATTTTGTATCCATTTTTTTTTTTTTTTTTACATATGTATTTTTTTTTTTTGTTTTATATTTAAAATAATATATTTTTTCATATTATTGAAGTAGATTTTAATTTTCTCACACACTAAAAATTATTAAATCTAGTCTTATTTCTGTTTTCTATTAGAAATAATATATTTTAACTTATTATTATTCGGTTTTTTTGCTGCTTAACTGTAAAATAAACAATTGTTCCTTAACCAAATTAGACCTATATATTAACAAAATAATTTAATAAATTATTAAATATTTATGTTAATGATATCATATATTAACTTGGTAAAATATATTCTGATCTCTTAATTCAAAAACAAAATTGCTTGTTACTTAAAATTTCAATACTTAAGTTGCTACCTTTAATATTATTAGCTGTAAAAATAGATAGCATATATATGGTAATTTAGGTTTGAAAAGCAGGGTAATTAAGTTTAAATTTTAAATGTACCGATAAATCATAATATTTTAAATATATTACTGAATTACTTTAATATTAATACATATTATCATTATTATTAATATTACTTATAACAATATATAAATAAAGAGACTGACATACTTACGTGAGTGGGCTACTGTTGTAGGTGATAAGTTGAAACTTAATGTATATCTGTATGCATCAATTAACTATTGCTAACAAAAAACAATTCTGAACAGAGTTCAATTGATAGTATTGCTTTGTCAACAATATATATTATGTCACATAGTAAATTAATTACATTATGCTTTATACATTATATATTTTCTTTAATAATATGTGTTTAATTTTTGTACCTATTTTCCCAGTTTTTCCATTTATTATGAAACATGATGGGAAAATCAAAAAATAACCATGATGTACCACCCTAGTTAGATTTCCTTTCAGAAAAAGTGCTATCATTGTAAATTGGAGCAAAGTTGATGGTAGAAAAGTTACCCACAAAAAAAAAAACCCAATAAAAATTATAAAACCAATACATTTCTCGCTCCACTCAAATTTAAAATAGATGTATGTATGAATAACCTAGCATCTTCCAGTGATAATAAGAAAATTTGATCGGGATATATTTAGATTGCAGGGTGCTATGTGGCTATGAGCATTTAAAGTAGATGAAAATGATAGCATCTCTCACATTTATAGCATTGTTTATACTTCGGAACTGTAACTAAAAATAATTAATAAACAACCTTGTTAATGATGAATAATAACAATTTTTCAAGTTTACTATTATTTTTGTTTTTTGTACATTTGCGTTCTTTATAGATTTTTGTTGCTCACAGGTAAAGACCATGATCAGCTAGTTTTCTATAAAACAATTAAATTGTTGATATTTTATATTAGGTAAATGGTTTTACTTAATGTTATAGAAAACTATTTATTTCAATTAAAACAATATAATTATTTTAATGTCAACCATACTAATTGATATAGGATTCAATTAGTGCTTGTAATGAAAATTTATTCAAACCAGCTAATACAATTAATAGATAGTATGCTTTTTTAAAAAGTACCCCACAAGAGGATAATTTTCTTTTTACCCAATTGTTATAGTAATACCAAAAAGGGTAATTTATAACTAAGTAATTATATATAATTAAATATATATTAATATGTAATTATGAATACATATTAAATGTATAACTAATTCACCTTAGTTATAATTTTAATAAAACTTTGTCCTTTGATAATAATTTATAAGAACTATTAAAGAAATTAAGTATACCTATGTAAAAAGAAATAAAATATGATTTGTTTATTTTAGAATATTGTTTTACATGAAACAACTATCGTAAATTCATATTATATGTATTTGCATTTATATTGTACAATATATATAATATATATATGACATAAATAATAATTGAATAGTTTTGTAAAATAATACAGAATACTTGATCTTATTATCTATTGAAAATATTATATTAATTTAAATTACATTTAAAATGTGATTTATTCTTATTAATATCATACAAACTAGTTTTTATAAAATGTTTATTCAATTATTTCTACACTAAAATTAGGTACTTAATTGAGCAATTTGGAGATGAATGAAATTAAATTGATTCATCGGATCTTTAAAATTATTCTTAGTATATGTTTGATTTTTTTTTTTAATAAACAGATGAAAATCCTTTTTAACAATAGTACAGTGGTGATGATAATAATTTTATTACAAATAAAATAAGGAACAGACAGCATACATAACACATACATTATGAAAAATGTATGATTTGATTGTATTTATATAATTGCTAAAATTTAATAATGGGATCTTCAATAGAGCAATTTTTTTTGTATTGGTTAAGGGCTTCGTGTCAGTTTTTCAAATGTTCTCCAATTTTGAAAAATGTTTAAATTATTTTTAACATTTCAATTGTTAGGTACCTTAAAGATAAAATTTTCTAATTGATCTACTCATTTAGGGGGAAGGGGTGAGGCTGTTTTCACTGATGAAAATGACGAAATATTGATAGATAACTCATTGTTAATTCAATATTTTCATAAAAATTGTTTTTATTGATAAACAAAACATTCTACAGGCCACATTGAACTCTGATTTGTTTAGTTCTGGTTTTAAATAGGTAATGGAAAAAAAAATGGTAAAAAAAGCTTAAAATTTACCTTTTTTAAAGACTTATTTTAAACTTTGAGAATAAAATATTGAAAAACGAAGTTCAATACGGTCTGTAGAATTTTTCCCTCTATTTATTAAATAAAATAAAATAAAATTTGGTTGATTCTACTGAACAGTATCACTATTTCGTAGAGTGTATTTTTGTGGGCAAACCGACATTGGCACTGGGCGCTTTTAGTTAAGTTAATACAGATAAAATTAAGTTAAGTTAAAAGTTACCAAATTAATTTTCTAGAGTAAGTTCCTAAAAAATAGTTGATTATACTTTGTGTTAACTTAGGTTAAAATTAAAATTCCATATTATTTTGTGGATCAAAATATCTAAAATAAGGTTTAAAATGTATTGGCACTGCTTCAAGGAAATAGTACACTCTGCATTTTATAATATTATAATTTCGGCTTTTGGTCACTCAGCGAGGAATTGAAATCTAATGGAAATAGCACGTGATATGATTTAACTGTCACCCCCAAAAAATTCGATTCGCACTGACACAATACCTAGGTCAATAGATGTTCAAATAAGAAATTGCCGCCGATGAATTTGTTATGAACCCGATGAGAGGACACCCAATTAGTTTAAAAAGTATAAATTTTATAAACAATTAAATAAATTACTTACATTATAACAATAATTATTATATACATATACTGCGATTGTACAATATTTAACTAAGTATCATATCCTTAATTTTAAAACTGAAATAAATATTATAAAATTATAGTTAAAATAAATATAAGTTGAATTTTTGATATTCATTGGCATTGCGGTACAGATTTATACTGAAGTAAAGTAACAGGTGGTAGGTACCATATACAAAATAGAAATCGAGAGATATTGTATAATATGGCGAATGGAGGCCATGGATACAATAATTATAATGAATGTGAATGAAATGATGGGGAAGAAGAATGTCGAACATAAGATGGTTAGACACGGTTGAAAGTAATATAAGGACTGCTGGAGTGTGTATTGAGCGTGCTGTGAGTGAGTCATTTGACGGAGATTTAAAAAATGAAGTTGTAGGACCGAGATGTCAGATTCCAATTAATTGGGAAAAGAGACTGGAAATAATAATAATAATAATAATAAGAAACAGTTCGTGGACAGAACGGATGTGCCGCTATTCATCCCTTTAAAGGTTGAGGCAGTTTATAAATGCCGAAAGTCACTAGGTTGGCCACCGGTTTGGACAGTACCATATCGATCTGTAACATTTTCCGCTTGCCGGCGGCAACGTTTACGGTTCGGTGTCCAAACGTATAGTGGTCGCTGGCCAGCGGATAGTTGCGTGCGTCCAGCGTGCTGGGTATGGGTAGCGTGTCGAGGTTCGTGGAACGGGCGCGGATCGCGATCGCCGTTATCGTCACCATGTCTTTGGGTGGGTCGTAGTGGACTATGGCGCCGCCGCCGGGCCCGGACTGCTTGTACGCGGTCAGTCCGCACGTTTCAATGTGCATGTTCAGAATGCCAAACCTTTTGGTACCGGTGTACGCGAACATGTCATAACACGTAGTGTCGTTGTTGTTCTCATTGAGCCAGCTGACCGTCATGGCACACTCGAAACCGTCCCGTTTGTATTCGAACGTCGCGGTTAGCGTTTCGTCCTGGCTAGTGTCCGGGTCCGCGGAGCGCATGGCTGCCACATTGAAATACTTGAAACTATTGTCTGCGAAGAACCTGTAACGATAACAACGAGTAGGTATCATCGGTATCCGGCGACACATTTTTAGATTCGAAGCGCAGCGAGGGATCTATTGGTTTTACTATGAAGTGTTTTTTTTTTTTTTTTCGTTAATATTCTGTCTGTAAACAACTTTTCTACCAGAAATCTTGCTTCAATGTATGAAGTGTAGTACCTTTTCTGAAAGGAAATTTTGGCTAGTTGGCGTTATAAAGGGGCCATTTTTCTTGGGGTGTTTAAAATAAATGGGAACACCGGAAAAAGACGAAAAATGAAAAGCGAATCAATTTACGTTTTTTTATCACAAATATTGCTTCAATAGAAAAACGATAGGAGAATTTTTTGTTGCATTTTAAATCTAGTTCATGTGAAAAAATGTATTATTTTATTTTCAATATAGTTCTTGAATAATTGAGCAAAACCGAAAAAAACGTAAAAATAATTGGAAAATTTACGAAAATAATGTTTTTATTATTTATTACTAATTTTGTTTTTTTGTTGTACTTCGGTTAAAAATATTCGATGTTACCGTTTATGCGTTATCGTTTTCATTGATTTTATTATGTTAACACGATGTTGTCTACCGAAAATATTACTTCAACATAAAAATGACAAGAGATCGATTTTGTTCTTTATAATATTTCGCCACCGATAAAGTAAGTCGTTTTTCGATAAGTAGTTTAAGTAATAATTTGGAAAACCAACAAATTAAAATTGATTAATATTCACGGCAATGTATACAGTATACTTATAGTGTATCGGTTTAATTATTTTAATATATTCAACTTATGTTTTCTACCAGAAATATTAGGTATACCAGGTATACATTAAATTATATATAACAGTGGCTGCACCCGTTCCCATAATCCTAGGACGTATTTCTTTTTAATCTAATTTAGTTTAATATATTTATAAAGACTAGACATTTTGATAAAAAACTTATATTTGTTTTTTCTAGGCGTGGTAAAATTTCTATAACATTTAATCCATTTTCGAGCTTATTATAGACATTTTAATTTTGCGAGGTTTGTACGTAATTTGTATTTAGTAGGTATTCTGTGGATAAAATTGTTAGACTAAACAGGAATACTTGGAAATTTAATAGAAGGTTCATTAAAAGTCGTACCCTATGTTAAAAATGATCACTAATTTGAATATTTTAAATTAAGTATTTATTATTAAGTAATATTTAAATCAAATTTTGACGAAATTTGTTTGAGTAAAAAATTCTGCGGAACAAATCTAGCTAGTAGTCTATGCAAATTTTTCAATTTTTTTTATTTTGGTGATAATATGTATTATACAATTTAAGAATGATGATGAAGTCAGAATTGAGCGGATTTACTTAGTTTTGAAATTATAGTTTTTGAAGTTTTAATATTATGCAGATATTATATGTGTTTGTCAATTAACTCAATATTTTCGATTTTATAGTATGTATGTCGCAAGTTTAAACCCAAGTCTCGCAAAACCAGTTTCTGCAAAAGCACGTCGGATAGAAAACAGGGGAAAAAAATTAATTTTGTTTCAAAAAATGAAATTTAGTTTAATACAGTATTTTTTTTTTATAAAAGTTTTAAAATCAAATTTTACGAACATTGTAAATATTGTATAAAACACGTATAACCGAACTAATAGTTTTTCGTTATTATAGTTTATCGTTGCAGGTTACAGGTATAAATTAAATAACTTTATGTATCCTACCTTTCCCATTACTCACCTACAACAGTGGCTGCACCAGTATCGGCTCTTTTTTTTTAATTATTATTAAAGGTACCTATCGATAAGATCGATGAGGGAACTAAACTGACCTGAGATCACTGGGCCGATTGCTATTCGGCAGGTTTTTTTCTTTACCATACGGTAAGACTAGATAATCTGACATAAACGTTAAATATGTACTGCTAATCGAACGTTTGTTATAGGATTGGCCGCCGTTGTTGTTGTGGTACCGTCTTTTCGGAACTCTCGATAGAATTATGTGAGTTCCTGCTCGGTCCGGCATGTACATCACTAACGGACCGTCTTTGCCCGCGTAAATACCGCTACCTCCTCCGCACATTTTTGGATCGTTGTAACCGGCCGCTATTAGGTTGACGTCATTGGCGTACGCCCAGCCGGCCTGAACGGAGTCGGCTAAAACGGTCAAAAAATATAATATTATCGACAAGATTTCAATAATTGTATATTTTACTTTTTCAATTCAAACGTTGAATCAAATAACGCAAATGGCACTTTTAATATTAGGTGGGTAAGTACCTATAGGTGATTAGTAGGGTTCGAATGTTTATGAAATTTTTTTTTTTTCGATTTATCTAATTTAACGCTGACTTGGCTACAAATTTGATTCATAACAATTAAGAAAAATCATAAATTAAAAATTTACAAATTTACGGCTTTTATAACCATTACTCATTAGGTACATTATTTTAAACAATTTGTTCACACAAATCCTCAATATCAGTTATTATTTTTGTACACAGTTTAAAATAATATGAAAATATATTATACATATATATATACCTATAATATAGGCATACTCACGTAATTTAAACTGATTATATATTATAGACCTGCAAGGGCCATCAATTTGTTTTTAAACCAAGTCCGATCTGGTACAAAGTATTTCGTGAAAACCTAATCCTGACCCGAAAATAATGCTAAGCTTTTAAAAATTCTGATCCGGTCCGAGGAAATTTTTTTTAAGCCCAGTCCAATCTGGTCTAATATATTTTGTCAAGTCTATACTATATAATATACCTGCGTGATTTATTCCAAAGTGTTTTGAATAATATGAACGCATAACAGGTTGTTAAATATTAATAAGTATAAGTACATAATTTAACACATTAAGCACTCAATGTGACGTATTTTTGTTTTTTTTTAATTTTATTATTTAAGTAATAAAACATATTAAACGAGTATTTAACCTGCAAGTAAAGGTACTTCCGAAAACCAAGCTGCAGAAAATATAACATCCTTAACACCCGACTCCTGGACAAGTCGAGCAGCGGGGTCTTGAAATAGTATGTCGAAGCATATGAACATTCCAAATCGCACTCCAAAGTCGGTATCGAACGTACACAGTTCTGATAGTTTTGTATGATTAAATCCTAATTCTATGAATAAATTAAACTTTCTATACCTGAAATAATAAAATATTATAATACAGAATATACACATTATTAGGTACCTATGCATTGAAACTCATTATATAGGTACTTATAGGCAGTGTTCAGACAATTTTTCTGGAGGAGGCATTACTAAAATTATAATAATGACTTTTTTTTTGCTTATCTCTCTTACTCTCTTACTATAAGACCAGTCAAATTTGTTTAATTATTTAAATAATTATTAATTTATCTACATTTAACAGGGGGGGGGGGCTATTGCTCCCTGTCATATACCTGGATTCAACACTACCTATAGGTGAGCACTGAGTAATTGGCAAAACCGTGTTAAAAAAACCGACAATAAATTGGTATACATTTTCTCTGTTAGGACACCTAAATAGTAAATTAGTATAAATTATTATAATAGATAGATAAAAAAAAAAAAAAAATTTAAATCTGATATAACTATTATAGTAATCGGCACTTGGCAAGAATGCATGATGATAAATTCTATCCATAGGTACAATCTATATGGTTGCTTGAGAAACCGGCGGCGTACTATAATACCTATTCAATTTATTAATAATATCTAATGCCTAATTTATAATGAACTATAATTCCATTATTTGCGGTCAGAGAAGAGACTTTTGGTATTGTTAGAAAAACAAATTTGGGGGGAGACGGCCAACTATATAAATTATTTCCTTATAGTGAGATACCAGTGGCCACATATAGAATCAGTTTTTTCTGGTTTTAGGGTTAGAACCACCATGTTTGCCCCGGGAAGCCAAATGGTTTAACACGGCTTTGACACAGTTTGGTATAAAATAATACATCGACCGTGGCTAATATTGATTAGGTACCTAGCAATGATTCTTCCTTCCCTGTCGAAAACGACGTTCGTGTTGTAGTAATTGGCCGAATCTTCTGAGCACTGTGCACTATCTTCTTTATTACAATATTCAATTTCCGGTAAATTGACTACTACATACATATGGTGAAGTCTAGCCGCACACGATAATTTACTCAACACCTATCCACGAATAATATTATTATATTTAATAGGTCACAGCATTATACATTGAATAATCAATTAGATATCGATTTATACATCATATAATATTATGTATTAGTGTTATAGTTACGTATAATATGTAGGTTTAAGGTGTGTAATTATAATATATTTACCGTACTACAATATTCGTTAAAACATGGGATAGTGTTACTTTCTGGTGAAGGAATTTCCATTAAGAATTTTCGTATTTCTTTTCTGTCTTGAGGTAAAATAACTCCAGATAAACCAGCTTCGGGAAAAACTAATATATCAACGTCCTAAAATGTATTATAAACATTGATTTACACCGTTTGTTCAAATAATTATTATATAAATATCATCTAACTACCAATTACGATGCTAGTTGGCAAACAAAAATGAAGACATTTTATTGAAATCAAATTTAACCGTCAAAACCTTTAGCTAAATGTATCGATTTGCATAATATTGAAATTATGGTTTCGGTTTAGGTTGCGGTTTTTAAAATATTTAAATTTCGGTTCCAGTTCTCGTATTTTTCATAGTTTCCGGTTCCAAAACCGCTTAATCTCAGTATGATTCTAGTCCTCGGTATATAATTTGTTTTTATAATTTATTGGTTAAGTAGGTAAGTATACTTTTTAAATGTAATTAAGAAAATTAACGTTAACATACTAACATGCAATTTTGATTTTTTATTTTTTGGCCCCTCAATCGAGAAATTCTGGCTATGTCACTACAGAATCTATAGTATTATTTGTATATATAAATTGTACTCACATATTGACTAGCGTTGTGGATTATGTCTTCATAAATAGGTAAATTGTTCTCGATTGACTGTAAAGGATGAGGGCCTAAGTTGGGGTGATATTCGACGGCTGCCGCAATGTATTTTGGGTTGTCATATTCTTTGTTTTTTGTTGTATCATTTCCGCTAACCATTAGATTCAGCTAGAAATATTAATATATACATCATTCAATGACGAATATGTGCATAATCATTATTATGCATATTATTTCTTGAATCCTTATAACACAATAAAACAATACAACTAAACCTAATTCAAATTGTTTTGGTGGAAAGTGATTATTAATGTTAGTATGCAATATATTGTATACCTAAATAGCAACGGTTTTTATTTTTTTTTATTTTTGGAAATTAATTTGTTCGCTTAAAAAAAAAAGAATTATTGTGGTTCGTTTTATAAAAACTAATTATTTGGAAATCTCAAAGTAAATAATAATAATTACAATTATATTATACATACAACTATTATCTGTCCACTTATAATATAATATTACTATAATATCTAGATACTTAAAATATTAAGAGTACAATCAGATAAATGTGACATTTAATAAAATATTTTATTTATTTAATATTCAATTTAATAACATATAGGTTTAGAGGTGCACTTATGCGAGGGAATGATTATATAATCAAAAATATTAATTATAATTATAATAAATTTAATAATTTTGTAGATAATTTCAGTGAAAACCATACGATTTAAAATACAATTTGTGTTTAAAACAGTTATTTTGAGCGTATACCCTCTAATCTTCTTCGCTTAAATTTTGACTATTTAGGATCGTCAACCCTCGTCCTAAACATCACCACTCGTCTCGATCCTCGATCCCAATCCTATATTATCCTCGCATATACCGACCGTCCTCATATCATTCTAAACCGTCTCTTTTTCGGTCTTTCTCTTCCTCTCTTTTCTCCTACATTTATTTGCATCACTAACATCTATATACTCTCATTTTGTCCAATATTGACGAAACCTTTTATATTCTCGTTCTTTGTCCAATCTTCTCTCGTTACTTCATTCATCCACCTAAGCACAATAACGATAAATATTAAACTAAATTAATAATTAGAAGACATATATAGTTAAAAGTACACATTATATTAATTTCCCTAACTAATATTCTCTACGATAATATAATATTATGTTCCGGTAAAAAATAATTGTTCAAAACTAGATAGATAAATTAAGTCACTGTAATATTATAATCTGCCTAATAACCTTGTTGTTGATACCTAATAAATTTATTTTAAAAAAATAAATAAAAAAAATATTATTATATCATAGGTATATATTTATAGGTATCAAATAAAATTGCGCATCGCATTCAATACGTCAATATTGATTTAATTTTTTACAACAATTGTAAAATACTTAAGATACGTCTTTATAATAATAATGAAATATAATATAATAATATAATAATAATTGAACGTATTAGGTATAATAGTATTGAAACGCGAATCGTAAAAAATATTATAGTACTACTTACCACACTCATTAATAACATAACGAATATTAAAATCATAATTGTAATGTAGCAGCTAATGTAAACGATCATATAATTTTTGATTCTAAAACAAATTAATTTTACCAAATTTACATAGTTATCATAATTCAACGTTAAACTGTTAACCATAATAATTATTATTTGTTACGTTAATGTGTTATATCGACACTCGTATAATTATTATGCGACAATAATAAGTACACCCAGGTAAATAACTGGAATACTATATATTGTATATTTATGTATTATTATAATATTATGTTGCCATTTCATACCAGTGCGAATTATTGTATGATGACGAAAATGTTTATAATACATATGCATTAATCAACGTCGTATATTTTGTACACTCGATTATAAATTAAAATATGTTTTTAGGTGTTAGAAAACTCCTCTAAAATAATACATTATTAATTCCTACTCTGTTACACAACAGTATAGTTATTATATACATAATATACTTACAGCAGTACTAAACACTCGGTAAGGTCAAGGTTTAATGTTTCGACGATAATGACCGCAATATTATAATATACCTAATGTTATATTATTATTCATTGCGATTAGTACCTACGGCTTAGCAATATTATATTAGTATAGGCACTAAAGTTCATAAGGTGATACTTTATCATCTTGATACATTATCGTTTATTTGATTAAAATAAAGCATATACAATTCCATAATGATTGGAGGAAAAAAACAGATGCCAAATTCACTTAAAATACAACGAGAAAATCGCTGGATCGAGTACTCGTAATTCGTGTACCTATTACCTATTACTACGTAAATACAATAGAATGTCTCATAGTTTTATATTATTTACCAACGAAATTTTTTAACAAATATCAATTACTATTATTCGATCAACTAAAATTAAAATTAAATTATCTTCGACTCTTCGGTCGAATCTTTACGGGAAGTTTGAAATAAGAATGTTTTTGTTTTTTTTTTGTTTTTAATATCCGTCGTTATACTTGTTACTATTTTTGAATCGTTACAATAAATTAATGCATTTCATTTACCATATTCGCGTGTGGGTACTCTACACACGTGATTGAAAATTACAATATGCCAATACATATAAATAAATTATAAAAATTAAAAAAAATAATAATATCAATAATGTCTTTGGAATATGGAAGAAGTATTAAAAAAAATGTATCGGTTAATTACAATATAAACTCATAGTTTTCGATTTATACTAAACGATTTATACAAATACTCCAGATATCGAGTACTTATCGATTTTATATCGGTAGTAGATATAGAAGAGAAATGGTCCTTAGAAGGGCTTAGCCCTCCCTGAAACATCTTAAACCCTACATATAATATTTTAAGTAATTTAGTCTTTAATGTTAAGTTTAAAACCTATTGGGCTTAAGCCTTTTGTATATTTAGTCTACATCTATGGTCTCACCACACTATTGTAGAACTTATACTTTTAAATCTCATTGGAATTATCTTGTCACACAAAACACCTGAAAATTCTTTCCACTTGATCCAACCATACTTAATTCTGTGTTACACATCTTCTCATTTTTTTTGTTCCTGCATACATCCGAGTTGGAAAAATTCACCCAAATCTTCTTTAGGACGCCTCAAACATTTTTACATCGGCTGTCGACCTGCCACAACCTCATTTGTCGCTTATTGAAACAGGTAGAAATATTCTGATCTCCTTTAACAGGAATATTTAAAAAGAAACTATATTTATGTAAATACATTTACCTACCATTATTTGGCGAAATCCTTTTTCTACCTAATGACACGTGCACATGTTTCGATTGATAACAAATCATACTATAATTATATTACATTTAAATGTCTCAAATAAAAACACATAAAACTAGATATTACTTCTAAAATGAGTTATTGTATGTGTAATAAATATAACAAAATAAGTATAGTTAGTTTAAATTATTGTTTTGTGTATGTATACTATGTGGTTGGCTGAGATTTTAAATGAACTTTGCGACGCATAAAACTATATACCTAATACATTTATCATACATCAAATAATCGATAACAGTTATAATGTATGTGTGTGTGTGTGTGTGTGAGTGTGATACATGCACATTTTTTTTTTTATAACAACAAAATTTATAGTTAGCAAATGAAAATAATATGTCAATAGTTATAATCATATTTATTTAATATTCCAATGGTTACCTACTACTATGCGTTTATTTAGACTCGAAAAAAAGACAATTCCTTATCTAATTTTTTTTTTAAATCGTGTGTATGAAGTCAGGAGTAGGTAACTATAATCAATTGGTTTTATTTTTATCTGAACTTGGAATATACTATATATACAAAAAGAGAGATAGAGAGAGAAGAGAGAGATTATACTCTTATATTATTTGCGTCTAAATAATACATTAAATTGTTTATGCTCATTATATTAAATGCTACTCATAAGATAAAACGAAACATATTTAAATCAAATAATAACTACATACATTATTTCTAATCGATAAAATCAGAATTATAAATAACTATGAAAAAAAGAAATTGTAACTATTTCATAATATTATTAAAAAAACAAACAAACATCCGCCAAGTGAAGTTAAATAAAAATTTGTAATTACGAGAAGGTAATTATTATTGTTTGAAATTTTTAAATTTGGTTTAACACGCTCTTTATACAAATCAACAAGTACCTATTAGAATATTGAGGATTAGTTAGATACCTATATAGGCACTACGAATAATTTATACCGATGGAAAGTAAAAAATAACGAGTACTTAAAAAAAAAATTACAATTTTTAAAATATTACTTCTTAAAATTGGTATAATTTTTAGACAATTATTATAATTAGGAATTATTATTTATCAAGGCAATTAATATTACACCCATGCTTGATAAATAACGTCTAATATATTATATAATATTTTTTAGCTGATTAATAAATACTTCTTAAATATTACAAAATATTTAACTTATTTCAATATAATATAATGTAAAAACATAGTGTATGAAATCCTTGAAAGTTATCTAGGTACCTATACTTTTTTTCTTCATAAGGTAAGATTTAGGTTATTGTAGCTCGTTTATATAAAATGTTAAACATATAAATTGAGTTATAAAGTCACATTTAAGCTGTAATAATGTTAATAAAAATAAACAAATAAATAAAACCTTGGAACTTCGCGTGAGTAAATAAATTACAAAAAAAATTATTTTTCCTTTCAAATAATACTAAATTGTACTTCATTTATTGTTAAATAACTTCAGAAAGTAGATAGGTACAAATAAATGAAATGAATACTGTGCTAATATGCTACATCAGGTTAATTATTACATTGTATTTAATGGATTATATCGTGATTAGATTAATTGTTATAGTATACAAATAAACAAATGCAACTAATACTTATATTATAATCTCATTAAATAACTGACATAACATTAAACTTTAATAAATTTATGTATTAGCTACTGGTATTTTTATATTTAAAGGTTGATTATAGATTGATTTTAAATATTTGTGTAAGCATACCTCTATTAATGGTTAGTTGAATTATCTAAGTACTAATCTATTGTTAATTTTAATGGATATAATATTATCTGTAATTTTTTTTTTTTGATAAAGTTATGCGTCATGCATCAAAATAAATCATTATAATAATATGTTAAATGTTGGGTAGGTTAGGTTAGGTTAGACAATATAATATTGTAGACAACTGATGTACTCTTAAATACAAGTACGTTTTTTTAGTAGTTTTCTCCTTTAATTTTTTATTCATCACTATAGCAATGATCAGCTTACACAATTAATATTTCATAGTTATATCAAAATGAGCTGAGTTTAATAATATTATTACCATACCACTAAGCATAACATAACCATTAAGTTTTGACAGTTTGTTTAAAAAAATTAACCGGTAAGTATCTACGATTACATTATTTTTCGTAATTTATGAAAATATAAATAATAATAATGGTAAATTATTGACTACCTAAATATTAATTAATCATTATTCATTATTTCATTAATTATTGGTACATAATTGTTTTAGATAATAATAGTTAAGTATTGGGTATTACATACAAGTTATCTACAGGGGCGTAGCCAGTAGTTTATAGGCCTAATAGATCCCGGTTTACCCAGATTTTTTATAAAAAAAAAAAAAAATTAATAATAACATATAAAATAATATACTCGTATTTACAACAGTATTAGGACAGAGATTAGATAACCGGTATAAATAACAGGTGAGAAAATAATTTTTAGACAGTGAAAAATTATGTAATTTTACAAAAACTTTTTTAATTTATCATTCTGATGAATTTCTTATTAAATCAAAATATCAATGTACATTGGGTAAAACATTATTTTCATCTAGTTCTCGTTTTTCTGAATTGTTTTACCAAGTACAAAGTTATCAAGTTGGATTTGAACAATTAAAAAAAAAAAATGACCTAGTTATTATATTTCTTGTATTTTTAGGGCTTCAGCTGAAAATTCAAGATTAAATGATTTGATGTTAAATTCCATAAAAAGGGAAATACGTGGACTATTTATGGATAATTCATTGGATGTTATTGACGAATTTGCTATCATAAAGAGAATATGGTTTGAATTTTTACTTTGAAAATATTTTATAAATGAACAATATGTATATTATAAGTTACGAGTACAGTAATTATAATTTTATTTTGTAAAACTCTCTTGTATTAAAATTGTATTTTTAAAATTATCTATTTATTTTTTGTTAGTTTAAACTTGGTTAAAAATTCCTAGTGACGCCCTTGGTTACCTACTTTCTTGTTAGGTATCTTAGAACTAAATTAATTAAATAATCAACTTAAGTGTAGAAAAACACAATTCATTGATATTAACATAGATTTAAAAATATTACATTTTTATAAAACTGTATTGCTTTATAATATATTGTATTTTACTTAAGTTTTTATAAGTAGTCAGTGTAGATATAAATCGATATCGAGGACATCGGATATCGGATTTATTCCACAAACTTTTTTTTAAGGAACAAATTCTTATAATATCTCTTGCATAATTGCAAATAAGAGAAAAGTTTAAAAAATCAGATTTTACGCATTGATATACCGGTTAATTTCAATATCAACTCCTGGTTATAGATTTTATATCTGTAGTAACTATCGGAATATCGGATATCGGAAAAATCATATCGGCTCACCACTAGTTTTTATAGATCTTATCGAAATCATTGCGAATTATGACAGGGGCATTATATTTTACTTCATTATTTCTGCTTCAATAGTCGATAAATTCAATGTGATAATATTGTTTCGACAATAAACGCGTGCGACTGGTAAGCCACGCGCAATGGCAAAGTTTGATCAATGTGATTAATCGATATCAGTGATTAATTTTAAGAACGCATGTTATTTTTCATTATAAATATAAAATAGTTTGTAATTAGTACTGACAAGTGACTAGCGAATAATGTTGGTATCTACTTATAATTTATTTTTAAATTTCGTCATTCAATATATTTTATTTACTGTACGTGTGTCTAAATCGCTGTAATGCAGTTCTCATATATCAGTGTATTCCAAACTATGAGTCGTGCACAATTTGTTTGTTACTATACAGGGTGAATTTTTTTATCACGAACCATCAGTTTTCTCTGAGGATTTTAGGCAAATTTGATTTTTCTTTTTTTTTCCTTTTTTGAATCATTATGGAATCGGTTAAGCTTTATTTTAAAACCATTTTTAATTTTTTACCCCTAATCTTTATACCTTAAACAAGTATATACTTTTGTTTTTCATATAGGATTCCTCCCTTTTTGAACATAGATTTGAATAGATAATATTTGTCTAGACATTTTGATAAACATATCTCTAATATCAGATTTACCGTCTATGAGTTATAACCATTTAAACTTTAAACTGAAAAAGTAAAGTAGAGTGTAATCATGCAATTTATTACCCTTCCTTACTTCTCCAGTTAAAACTTTAAGGGGAATTCCTATTTGAAAAACAAAAGTATATACTTATTTAAGGTATAAGGAGTAAGGTAAAAAATTATAAATGGTTTTAAAATAAAGTTTAAACGATTCTTAGTGATTAAAAAATAACAGAAATCAAATTCACTCAAAATCCCTTGAGAAAATTGCTAGTTCATGATAAAAACATCACGCTATTTAGTTCAAAAAATAATGATATAAAAATGAACCAATTTTAAGAAAGGTGTCGATTTTACTGTATCAACAAACAAAAACAATAATATAATTCCATAATATTTAATAAGTACCTATTTAGTTTATTGATTAGAAAAAAAAAATAAAATTGATTTACTTTTTATTATTGAAACAATTATTGTGAACAAATCGACGTGACAATATGACATCAAATAGTGAAACCTAATTCGTTATTATGATGAGTACAGTTAAAAGCAATGTTTGAATAATATTTTATAACAGAATCTAAAAAGTCAAAATGTTTAATAGTTCAAAATAGATTCTAAAATGATTTGACTTTGCCAAATTTAGTCTAAAATATTAGTATAGTCATTAGTTTCTATTGTAAACAATTATGTACATTCAAGAATCAAAACGGTTTTAATTTAAATAACTGAATTTTTTTTTTAATAGACCATTGGAAAGAACCTAACTATAGGTACGACTCGACGTTGAAAATCGAATAAAAATAAAATATATATAACAATAATAGAAATAAAACTTTTCGTTATTTTCTAAACCCCGAGAAAACAATATCGTACAGATATCGTATACTTAAGTAGGTACGAAATTAGAAAAGTTTTCCTTACCTCGTTGGTGAGATATCCGATAGAATAAAAATGTATATCTTTGGTTTAATTTCGAAAACACGAATATTGATCACGATTACAACGATCGAATAGCGTTATACGCACCGCGGTCTTTCGAATTGTGCACTGGTCAACGTGTAATGTCCTAAAGAAAATATGACTAGAGAAAATGGTCCTTATTCTTCTTATTATTGTTATTATTATTATTATTATTATCATCACCGTCATCACTGAGTCGTTCACCTTGATCGTTGAATTCAAACCAGGAAATCGTCACGCGCAGCACTATATACGCGAATTAAAACAAGGAGTTTGCAGCGCGTACCAATACTTACACACGCGAAACATTAGGCAGTTACCAGGCTATCAGCTGTTTATTAACATAGACGGGGTAACGCGTAAAACATATAATACTACTACAATGATTAGACGATCTATTGTCGTGACATTATTATAACATTATACAAATCGCCCATTTTTACGCCACTGTTATCCGCGTACGCAAGTCATTCCGGCGACCTTCGCAGTCGGCCATCGTTATGCCGTGTCTGAGAAAACGTCGCGAACGACTTACAATATTATACGCGTGACGCGTTAAACAAAAAAATATAACCGCCAGTTTATTACCTATATTATTTCACGTACACCGCAGGGTTGGTAAGCATATACAGAGTGTTCAATCTAGCATAAGACAATCATTATTTCGGAAAGTATTAACTTTTTTCGACATTTGTTTTATAGACAATTTCAGAAACAAGCAGCTCTGTAATTTTACATTCATCTTATTTTTTGCCACCCTAATTTTTGTGGGTGAAACGACTACCTAATATTGATTTTTAAACGGCAACCTATACTAAAAATTCCACAAATAGATGGAGTAATAGTTAAAATACAATTTGGAATTTAAATTTTTAATTTCCGCCAATCCGTTGATGAGATATTCCACTTTTAAGTATGGGTCGGGGAAGAGCGGTGGTACATTATTAAAACGGCATGCGCTGTGCCGCCACGAAAATGATACTCCATTTGGCTTAATGGTTAAAATAACGAATGAAAAAAACAACCAACGTACAAGCACAGATCATTTTCTTCCCTCGGAGTTTGTCAATATATCAATATTCGCTACAGAATTGAAAGTAAAAGCACACAATTGGTTCTGCTGAACGTAAATGAGCCATGCCGTGGATTGTATACTCGTAAGACGGAGACAACAAAATGTACATGATTCTACACATTTATCAGTTTGTAAAGAATAGACAATATACTAAACTATGCAAGTATTTTTAGACCATAGATAAATTATAATTTCCGCATTTATACAATAGTCTCTATATGTTAATGTTTTACGTTTTATTTCAACGAGTTGTCCACAAACAAAATATACAACAGTCACAATTCTACATGGTAAACCTTGGTACGTCCTACCATAATAAATACCGGCTGCATTTGAGTTCCGTCCCAATAATCTTTTTTTGTACCAATTCCATTCTGGGTGGAAAAAGTGTACATGCCATTTTCGTCCCGGTTGAAAAATAAATATACACCAATTCCATCCTTAATAAAAAGAAGGTTAACTAAAATATTACAATATTACTATATCAGTACAATCAAAAATAATAAATCCAGACACGGAGACGCACAAATAACGACTGGAAAGTTAAATAGTATTATCTTTATTTCTAAATAATATAAAATTGTTATCGTAGTCGTAAATTTTATTCTAGCTACATTAATATAGTGTAGACAATGTGAAAAGGAACGGAACTCGTATAACTAAATAAATTACATGGGACGGAATTAGTATATCCATTTTAAAAACTCGGGACGGAACTAGTATATTCTTAAATTCAAATTGTATATTTGGGACGGAACTCGGATGCAGCCTAAATACCAAATACATCTTGCCTAATATCATTGGAGTTTTTGATAACGCGAGTCGTTCAAATTATTTAATTTATTTTGTGTTATTTTGTCTTTTTTTTTTTTTTTATCTATAGTCATTACTCACATATTATATTATGTAAGTACCCACTTCATACATACAATCGTTAAACAAAATGTGGCGACCGTCACCCATGACGGTCGCATAAGGTTGATATTTATAAATACACTTAATTTTTTATAATTTGTACGTGGCTGTCGGCCTACACGAAAAATAGCACAGTCACATTTTATGCAATTTATTATAAAATTTTAAATACCTACACTTACACATTTTACGCGTAGTTGTGCGTGCAATTTAATTTCAAACGAAACATTTTTCGCACACATTACGTCTGGGAAGTAGGAGCGTTAGACCTTTGATTTCTTATACAGAATAATACTAGGTAAACATATGATACCAATGTTTTAAACGTGGATTAACAGAACCGTCGGTTCGCTACATAGTGTTGATTTTCATTAATTAATACCGGTTTTTATACTTATTTTTCAAGTTATTCTAAAGTAATAAAATTCTTCATTTCAAACTAATGAAAAATATTTCTAAAAAAAATATAAAATAAAGAATTATTTTTATTCACCTATACGTGTTATTAAAGTATGTATCTATCTATAGGTTTAGTATAGGTAAATACATATTATTTATTACACGTGTTTCTTTTCATTATTTTTCGAACGAAATACGTAGGTAAAATTACGTAAATGAATATTTGATGAAGTGTAATGACACTATACACTGTATAGTATACAGAGTGTAACATGAAGATCTGATCCCAGAAATAATTTTCATTCTACTCATTATTTTTAAGTTTTTTTTTTATTATAATCATTTCTAAAGCCTTATAGCTCTTTGATTTATCTATTTTATATATTTTATTTAATCTAAAAATAATTTTAAAAAATTTAAAAAAAAATTGTTTTTCAAAATCTGAGGTACCCGTTTTATAAATATATATATATCGAAACAAAATGTTGGCGTTAAACATATTTACTAATGATGAATTGCTAAGTTTCTACAGTTATTTGAAGTTTACAAGAGTTATTAATAAAATTATTTTTCAACGAAAAATTGGCCAAACTATTGATATTATTTAATAGTGACTATGAAAACTATTTGAACAATAATAAACTTCAAAATATTTTTGAGAATTAACGATTCAACAGTTTATGTGCTTTGCAACATCCTGGATTTTGTAAAACAATTTTTTATTTAGTTTTTAAAAAAAATAAAAAATATATATAATAGAAAAATCATAGTTGTGCTTTGTTATTATTAAAAGGAAAAACTTAAAAATACTGAACAGAAGAAAAGTTTTTCAAATGTTGGATTCTTGTGTTACAGATTGTATGTTTATTGTGTGTAGGTATTAAAAATGATAATATGTAAATATTAAATGCGTCACAAAAGGAAAAAAATACCCAGAATATTATGTTTCTACAATCGAGTACCTACCTATAGGTACTAACCGGTTTAATGTACTAGACATTGGAAATGTCCAAGGTTAGGTATCATTCAAGATAAATCCAGTAAAGCATGTTTCAAGAAGTGGACACGAAATGTTTAACTGGTTAAAATTATACATGACTTACCTCATTTAGTACTTTTGTTTTAGGTATTTTGACTTCCGAGTACGATTTCCTATTCGAAGTAATACCAGTGAACACCATCTTCAAAAGTTTTAAATCACTATTAGTACGTGTACTATTCAGAAACTGAATAATGGTTTTTTTTACTAGCATCACCGTACTAGAAAAACTTCCGAAATTTCACCAGTTTCCATGAAATTATCTATAAATACAAAAATGATTAGTTTTACGAATACAAATTGTGAATAATATTTATTAGGTAAACTTATTATATATGCAGTTTTAACTAATTGGTCAAGTTGTACAATTTATGGTACATATGCAGCTAAATAGTAAATTATAATTTACACTGTAAATATTAGTTCCTGCAGACCAGCGGTTCCCAACTCGTGGTACGTGGAAAGCTTGTATAAGTGGTACGCGAAGAAATGTTTGGATAAGTGAAAAAAAAGTTGTTAATAGTTGTAATTTAGTTCATAAATAATAATTCAAATAGTAACTGTACATAAATCAATTTTACTTTTGTGCATTCAATGCTTATATAATTATATAAGTTTAATAATAAAAAGCTCCATACATGTAAAATAACATATACATTTTATTTTTTGGTTATTAGCTTAAGTGGTACGTGAAAAATTTCAAAATAAGTAAATGGTACGTGGACATAAAAAAGGTTGTGAACGGCTTTAATATCCAATCAGTATTTAGATTTTTCCTATGATTCAGTATTAATAAATACTAATTGAAGGACAGATATTTTGATGATGTGCTATTTTGTTTTAACAATACCTACCTATAAACTCTAATGATTTTCAATAAGAATAAGTTATTAAATGCGTGAAACGTGCAGTATTACGGGCTGAAAAACAGGAAATGCAAAAATACATAGCAAATAGATATGTAGGTAGTTGTTTTCAAGGTCCAAACGGATATGTTTTTATTTCCGAACTCTAAAGTAACTGAAACTTGAAAATCATGGTCAATATTATTAAATGTAAGTGTCAATACTTAATATAGAATATAGTAAGTTGTCGTGTACAGTTGCGCCTATCTCGAGAGGTGGAGGTGGATGATGGTACAAGTATTAGAAATTTAAATATTTTAACGAAGTATAATACTATTAAAAAACCGTAAATTATTTGTTTTTGTGGTGAATGGATATGTGTAAATTATATTTTACCCCGAGAGTTTAAATAGAGATGGACGCCAGTAAAACATCACAATTTTGTACAACTATAAAATATTATTTATAATGGACCAGGAAGTGTACGTGGTAAATATTTTTAAAGTTGTTTATTATTTTTTTAGGTAACTAAATTATAGAAGGACAATAGCACTCTAGTAATTTAAAGGTAAATGTTACATAATATTTTGTTAGTTTACAAATTACTTATTTATTTCCTTCCCTCTCATGCGATATTATCCCTAGATTTTAAAGTATTTTGAAAAAAAAGGCTGATACTGCTAATATGTGTGCCGCTGTTGTATATGGGGAGTTGGGAAGGTAGGATAAATAAAGTAATTTAATTCATGTATATATGTAACGATATTTTTTTTTTTCACTTAGTACCACTTACGACGAACTTCGTGTTAAATTGTTGAGTATTTTAACTGGCCGAATAATCATATTCACATAAATCTTTGATAATCTAAAATACAGTACGGAAAATGCCATTATTCTTACGTGGTCTATTAAAGTTTGAACGTTAATTGCTTAAAAAATATACTATTACATTACGCTCAACTATTTTTAGATTCTGAGTGTAGCGAATAATTATATATTGGTTTTACAAAGATGTTTATTTTTTTATACTATGTACAAAAATTCTACCAGAAATCTTGCTCCGATGTATAAGATGTAGACCTTTTTCTGAAAGTAAATTTTCTTGGGGTGGTACTTTAGGAATGTCATTTTTTGATTTTCTCGGGAGTTTACTCATTAAATGTGAAAAACGAAAAAAATCAAGGGAAACCGAGAAAATGTACTAAATATATTAGTAAAATATTACGATTTTTATTTTCTGTGGACAACATTGTATGTTAATGATAACATGTAATTATCCGTTTCGTGTATTTACTTTTGTCTTTAAGTTTTCACAATGTGATCGATATAGTTCTCTAGAATTATAATTTGAAGTGATTCCTAGATATTTGCGTGTTGGATGTTTTCAAGTTCTATATTATCATTTTACGTTACTTTTAATTTGAAATATCCTATGCTTCTCGTTTTCTCAAATACTCAGTGCGCCAGATAATTTTATGGCCAAAACTATATATTTGATAAAAATTAGGTATTTAGTTTTTAATTTTCTGTATGAATTTAAGTGTGAGATATATAAATTGGAGTTGTTGTTAAGAGGAGCTATAGCTATTCTAGGGCGGCTAACCCCCCAGTCCACCCTCCATATTCATAAAAACTTCTTTGGTCCTATTACTTTTTTTCCATTGTTGAAACATTTCACTACTAACGCGATGTATAGATTGTTTAATAGAATCCGAAATTGTATCACAATATTGTTGACAATCAAACAGTCTATTTAAGTTATTTTAAACATATTGTATTTTAGAACTATTGTCTCCTTCAATTCTTTGCATAAATTCAAAAAGATCGCAACGAGTTTCCATAATTTAGATATATACTTACAAACCATATACTACAACGTTAAAATAGGTATGATTTATAAACAGGTAAAAACAAATTATACCATTTTTTTAGTTTTAAAAATTAAAATAAATTAAAATTGTTTTAATGACAAGAGCTGTTCAGATTAAATATAAAAACCCTATCAAATAAAGTATACTTGTACTAAATTAAATTATGAAGATTTTAATAGCTTAATTAGAATTTAAAAATTGCCATTTAATTATTTTGAATAATAAAACATACGTGTCAATTTCCGAAGAATTTGTGAAAAAAAAATGTTTACACGTATTAATTTAAACTTTTAGCAGCCGAATAGGTGACAAATAATAGACTGCGAACTGAAAAGTCGTATGAGAATAAAGTAGACATAAATGTTATAAATAAATATATAATCAGCGTGCTGATAACGCGATGAGTACTTCTTTTATAATCTATAATTCGTAGATAATCGAATAATATACAATAATCAATTACTAATGATAATGTGTTATTTTGGGTTTGGACTAAAAATTATTATATTCTGGCCTATTGTGAAATGGAAGGAACATAATATTTGGGTTTTCATCATATGAAAGTAAATACTGACCTTTGTGAGTGTCATCTTAAAGGGATAAGTGATAAAAATCTAACCTCCAGGAAACGTTTTCTTAACGGTTAATTTTTCCAAATATGGATACGAACACTTGTACACAATACACTTAATAATAACAATAATAATACTATAAGAAACAATATATCGTTGGTGCAGGGTATTGTTATTTGTTGGTTACTTGAGGTGCTGTTCTATTTATGTGTAATATTTAATCATGTGTGTGTATGTATATAGTATATACTATAGACCTGCAATAGGCCGGCTATGTTTGGTCCTCAAAAAGTCCAGTACGTACTACATTAAACCTGGCGGGGTCTTAGAAACATAAAAAAGGCTGATTTTGGCTTTTATTATTATTATTATTTTTTTTTTGGCGATTTTTAGAGCCGGGACAGGCCAAATTTTAAACATTAAACCAAGGATTGGACGGGGCTTTTTAAAGTCATGGAATTTCATAACACGCCGGGCCGGGTTGACTTGTTTCAATTACATAAAGCGAAAGAAGCGAATCGTGTAATTGATAAACGCCGTGTAAACTTAAAAGGAGGTAGAGTAGATTCCCTTATGTTTGTACAGGATACTACAAATTTACAAAAAATAAACCTAAGGCAGGACGTGGTTTTATAAAAGATGAGCATTATCATGGCGTGGGCTTCTTTTTCACAAAAAATTGTTGGACCGGACGGGATCAAAATTGATGGCCCTTGCAGGACTATAATACTTACCTATCTATCTATAACAGATACAAAATAACGCTAAAGTCTTTTTTCGGGGAATATTTGACTTTTCAGTGAATTAAACTACTTATTTAAAATTGAGAGAGTTATATCTGTACCTATTTATAATTGTTTAAATTATATTATACATTATAGAATACCAAGAATAATATTTTCATTTAATGTTTTATGTATTGAATTATTTGCATTATTATTAAAGAAACGGTTTTCGAGCTTCCTCCTCCGGTTTTTTGTTTGATATAGGTAACGCCTGAAATAAAGGTATGCAAATTGCAGCGACAGGCAAGTTTATGCTAACCACATATTAAATATTGACACAAAAAAATTTAAATTATCGAATGGAGGGGGGGGGGACTGGTGAAACACGTAAATCTGAAAAACTACTATTTACTGTCGGGAAAGTGTCGTTCAAATTTCAGGACCGGTCATCTAAATTCATACTAATTACATGCTAAATATTGGCGTCGAAAAATTTCGAAAAATTGATATTAAACCGGAGGGTAGGAAAAATATTTCTTCAATCTCCAACTCCTCCGGCGGTTTTTTTTTTTTTTGTTATAATGTCTAAACTAATTGAATACAAATACGTGAAATAAAATATTGAAATCAATGAATACAATATACATATATATATATATATATGTACGATTTTTAAAATCTAAAAATAAATCTACCTTTGTGAACTTGATGACTGTACGATTTTATGATTTTTTTTAAATGTAAAATAGTTAAATAGTATAATATGTTATGCATACCGAACTGTAGGGTCGGATTAAAGATTAGAACCGCCCTGGAGCTATGTATATTTGGTACTTATTATTAAAGTGCCATTAAAAGTACACATATTTCATGTAATACCGTATAAATATGCTAAACAATTTAATACAAATTCGATACCTTTTTTGTTATACAATTAAATACCTACTAAAACATTATTATATTATTTTATAATTAAACAATATTTTTGAATATTAATAATACGTAATATAAAAATGCATACACACACATATATATACATTATGATAGTTATAAGCAAGTACAGTGTAATGCAAATAAAATGTTTAGAAGTTTATTTTTAGCAAAAACGTTTCTTTCTCGATTTCATTATACAAAATGTATGAATAAGTTCTTCCCACTTAATGTCTTTAAATATTTCAAACTCGGCGCAGAGTGTTGACAAATCTGGTATTTTCTCAGTAGCAATAATGGCTCGGTAAAAAAAAAAAATATTTTTTAAAAAAACATTCCAAATGTTACCATTGTTCAACAATTACACTTACTTATTTTTTAAATTTTTTTCGATTCTCCATTTACGGTAATATTATTCATAACCGATTGGTTTAATTATTTTAGTACTCAAAAACAATTTATTACTGTCAACTGCGAATGCTGACACTGATCACTGATAATTGAGTACTGAACAAAGATAAAACGACACTAAGCGACATCGGTGGAGCAGGAAATCGATTAGACAAAATTACAAAATTGTACGTACATTGAGATTATAATACCGCTATAATTACGGCGATATAATATGCAACAGTCCATATACTTATAATATATATTATTCATTGTTACAATTATAATTGTTAAAAGTTATAATTACTAAATATAATTACTCGATTAAACATTGAGAAAAAAAATTGACTAAATAGGTATTTGAATATCGAAACTTATATACCATTGCCACTCCTATAAATTTGCCGTCCTGGAGCAAAAGCTATACCGAATTAATTATATAAAATAAATTTCTATGTAATCATATATTATTTAATAACAATATTTTTGCAATTTTTATTTTCATTATTTTTATGTACTTTATATTGATAAAATGTAATAGTAATATGTAATAGTAATTTAATAAAATAACATTTTCTATTGAAAGTCCATTATAAAAAAGTAGTTTCATATTGGAGTTTTTAGAAAACGATAATTCTGCTTATTAATAACGATTAAAATAATTATTGTAATTTAAAACTAGGTACTGTAGATTCAAATTTTGCTTCGTGCCAAATATGGTCAGAACATTTTAAATTAAATCAGATTTGAAGATACGCCCATTTGAATACCATCGATTAACCTACGATTCTAGTCATTAAATATTCATGCTTTTACTGGTTTCCCGAAAAAAGCACTTGTCATTTGAAAATTAATATCTATTCCTCATCAATTACTTAGAAATCTCAAATTACATTTATATTTTTTTTAAATAATAAATTTGTATTATGCTGATAGATCAACGCATGGATTTCTTTCCAAACGATATTTTCAGAATAAAATATATGACTGAGCAGAAGACGGTGTACCTATAACTATGTAATTAATCGAAAATCGAGTATCGAATCGTTATCGCCAAGTATCGCCGTATTACAATTATTCTGTTCTACAAAAGTGTATTATTGTCATCATTATAAAAAATTCCAGTGGAAGAGGTGCTGGCCAAACGTACGTCAATGCATTCCTCGCAACGTTCAGATCAAACAGATTAACAACGTTTAAATTATATACGATTTTATAATAATACATCATACTGTTCAAGATTACGCGGTATCGAATGCATTTTATTATTTATTCCGTGTCTACCTGATCCGATGAAATTGGCAAATAAATGATAATGAATACCAAATATTTAATGGAAATAATATTATTCTGTGTACAAGTATTTTAGATTTATTGTTGAGTAGGGACATATCTAAACAATAGTGCCTATAATACCTACTCTTCTCGAGTCGAGGACGTCTATATTGACAGTAGGCGTAATATCTCATCTGGTTGTGGCGATTCCCACAGTTCGATAAAATGTAATTTCTTTAATTGACACGAATATTCTCGGGCAGTAAGCTTATAAAAATAAACGCGGATGAGAGGAAAAACTACTCTGTGTCTCCGTGTCCTCCGATCATTATTCAGTGTGTACGTAAATACTCATGTTGAAGGTTCCGGTGTCCCCTCTCTTATAGTTAGGATTTCGCGTCAATAGATTTTCGGTCAATGAACTTTATTGTTTTTTATGATAGCAATATTTAATACCGTATAAGAAGTGTAAATTATATAACGTGATATATTATTAATGTTTTATGTAACAAACTTTAATTTGTTGTGTTTTAATATCAATATCCTATATAGTATCGAAAAAAAGTGCAGTGATAAGAAATTGTCCGAAAATGATAAGAACCGTTTTACGGCAACGCGGCCCAGTAGAATATTAATTATAATAATTAACATACCTGCTGTATGAGAAATAAAAGCCTGCATGACGTGGTTTTGCACAACAAATTATAAGTCCGATATTCACGAGGGGTAGCCTAAGTCTCCTAGACGGATAATGTTTACAATTAAATACTTATATTAGTATTTAGTATTGAAATGCTTAGTATGAATTTAAATATACGTATTGAAATTATGCTTTCGGACCGTTATTATTTATTCTAATCATTTTCGAACAACCGTTCCTATCTTAAAAAGTGTACCTATATGATGTGATAAATAACTAAATGATAAGTGATACTACTAATACTGTGAATTTATCGAAATGTCGTTATACCTACTTATTATATATTTGTACGCACTTTTATCATTTTACTTGAATTACAGTCGGTAGTTAACAAATAGTGAATAAATAGCCATGTGTTAATAAATAAACAGTAAATTAATAATTTGTATTAATGTGGGTGGAACATATTTATAATGTAAGTTAACATCCTTACACTCAAATTAAACTTATCATTGTTATTTTATAGGTAGGCATGCCAATATAATTATTGTACCTATCTTAATTATTATTATAATTATTGTAATGCCACTTACCTATAGAAGCACTGTATATTTAACGCTGCAGGAGTACATTACTTACAATAAAATTTGAACGGAAATATTTACTACACGCACACGGTTTTTAACAACATAATTTAATGTTCTGACCGTTGATTTCACACAATAATTTATTTATACGAAATTTATTTTATACTACATGATAACGTATGGGCAATCAATTCGAACGGAATTCATTATTATAATCAACGGTCTAAACTCTAAAATTTAATATTGACCAGCCTTCTACAATGATAATGGTATCGCGGTAATAAATGCCTAAACAAACCGTCCGACAGTTGTTTATCATTTCGCGTAGGCACATGATGAAGATAAACACTCGAAAATATTTACCGACATAAATACTTATTAATATGCGATTGATAATAAACAAAAATGAATCCCGGTGTAACGCAGATAAGTGTGTTATATTATATTATTGTTTTTGTTAGATTTGTGTGTTATTACCGGCTAACAATCGTATCGTATTGTACTGACGAGCAGCGCAGACACGACTAATCCAAACGGAGTAACACATGCACAAATGACCTTGGTTCATGCACGAGACAGAACAAAGTGAGATACAATAAACAAATGGAAGACAGCTGACTATATCCTGTAAAAAAACTGGTTATCTTTTTTTTTCTCGTAGTATGTATAACATTAATTAAATAACCGTATTATAATAATATTCACAATATTCTCGCGCTCGTTGTATAACACGGAATGTGAAAAGTAAGTATCCGTATAACAATACGCGTAACATACAGATGGGTACCCACATTCGATATAAAATACGTAATGTATGTAAAAAAACAGCGGTACCTAAATTTAAAATTATCCGTCACTTTAATTTTCAAGGAAATGACCAGGCGATTCCCCCCCCCCTCCTGCCACCAATTCCTCGACATTTCTGGGATGCAGTGGTTTAAAATAAAAGTATAAAGATGAGTTTCGGACGGTATTTAAGGGGAAGAGAAGAGCTGAAAAAAATCTCCAAATACGTGGTGTACGTCATAACACTTTCCTCGTTTCTTTTTTTTGGATTTCGGATTTTTTTTTATTCAGAACGTCATTTATATTTATATTCGTGTGGAATATTATAATTTGTTAACCCAACAACCGTATACTCTTCAAAACAACACTAGTTGTGCCACTGTTTTAGGTGAGAAATTGGGGAGGTAAGATACATAAAATTATTTAATTTATACCTGTCACCAACGATAAACCATTGCTAACAAAAAGAGATTCTGAGCGCAGTTCAATGGATACTGATACTTTGTTAACCAATATATAATATATATGTCATGGCAAAATAAAATGTTATGGTAAAATAATTAAATAGGCATTATATATTTTCTATAATAATATTTGTTTAATATTATACCGATTTTCCCGTTTTCCCGAAAATCATTTGTAAAATCAAAAAATTACCTCCTTAATTTACCTTCTTAAATTACCTTTTCGGTCAGATTTCTTTTCAGAAAAAGTGCTACACTTAAAAATATGAGCAAGACATCTGGTAGAAATGTTTGCACGACAAATCGAGGGATATTTTTTGATTAAAACGGTTTGAGTGAGTGATAGTCGGGTCTTTAGGTATACCTAAAAAGTATTTGTTTTTTCCCTGTTTAGGTAAAGGGGAAAAAATAAATGCAAAATATTTTTTTTCGAATCAAGAATTTTAACGGCTGCAGCCAGACTCGTTAGCGTTGTATCGTGCGAAGTATGTGCGTACTTTTTTACTAGTTCACTATACCTAACCTAACTTAACCTAACCAATGACTTATACAAATTTTTTTTGATCTAAAATATCAGTTTATTGTTTTTGTTTGTACAAATATTTTGTAACAAAATTATACCATACGCTATAGTAATATAGGTATAAAATTATGTATGTGAGAATATTCTCAGTATTCAGTAACGAAAATATTCTCATGGAAATTATTACCGGAGATAATAATCCTAATATTGTTGTGAAATTAGAGTAATTTCGAAATTGTTTATGTGAAATGTGATGATTAGGGATGAGAATTTTATAGAAAAATTACAGGAAGTAAAATTTATTGGAGAAATATGGATAAAAAAAACAAAAAACAACTATAAATATGAAAAAAATGAAATTTTTTTTTATTATTAAATAATTTGAAAAAAAAAAATACATTCTAATGGCCTCATAAATAATTAATTATTAAGGTACACAAAAAAAAAAAAAAACATCTAAGTTTAGATGATATTGCTGGCTGTTCATTTTCATCAAATTCTGTAACGTTTTTCTTCAACCAAGTTAGTTTCGGCATTGTAAATCAATTAACACCAAGCACTAACACTCAATTGAAAACATAAAATAACGGGAGTGTTTACCACGACGGAGTTAACTAAACTTTATTTTTGATGGTCGAGAAGGACAAATTAATAATCGAGTTATACTTAAACATGAATTCATTGTTATAATTACAGAAAATCAGGTTAGGAGCGCCATTTAGAGAGGGGAGCTGGATGTGCGGTTTCGCTGTGGAACCGTCACCAGTCGCTTTTAAAGAAACTTGACAATTTGTTCATTAATGAAAATTTTACCAATTACAATGACAACAAAATAAAGGGTTTTTCATCGCATAAAAAAGTAAATTTATATTTACGCACTTCTATAGACGATGATTAAAGACGAAATGATTTTATATGGAATGTTGAATGTTGAAATACAAGTACAATAAATAATATCGATTTAGAAAAAGCTGTAGATGTGTTTGCTGCACTTAAAATCCACTCTTATATAATAATAATACATTTTTCTTTCTAAGTTTTGCTTGTTCTTTTTTTTACTACATTCGTCATCTTCAACATTCGAATTCCTTGGTTTTCACAGGTAAATTATTAACTATTTATAATTTTTTAGATTTTAAATCGTTTTTACTAGTTATGTTTATTGCGATTCATAATGTATTGAAATAATTAAAAGCTGGCTAATACACACATATGTATATGTATCCATGCAAATATGAACCGGGTTGTTTGAAACCTCGAACACCCGAAAAAAAACAACTGAAATGATGTCTCTGAACTAGACAGAATAAAGTTTCCCAATGTCTTGATAAGTAGTATTTTAATCTTTTATCCGCCGAACTGGATGTAACGACGATAGCATTATTTCCCTCGGTTCGGCCTACCATTTTAAACGAAGCCACTTTTCAGAGGGTGAAGCAAAATTTATGCCGACACCTATAGGTGTATACCTGCTTCGCGGCTTGCCTCGCCGTCTCGTCTTCTACCTTCCTCGCCATTCATCGGTTCAACCACGGCGAAGAAGATCTCTCGGCCGCGGCTTGCCGCAACCAAAAGTCTGACAGGATTGTTGCGTAGTCCTTTGGGACCTCACAACAGATACATGGTGTCCTATGGCCGACGACCTCGACCATCGAGGAACACCCGTCCGCGCCCTAGTACACGCATGCGGGACTAGGCAGCCATCCGATCCAGTGAAGAGAGTGGTCGAAACATCCATGACCGACTATGACCTGGGTTGAATGCAACGTTATCGGTCCATTTTCACTGATATCCGAAATCAGCCACCTGGTCCACCCTGCTCCTGTCGAGAAGTATTATTCTAACCTACCCTAACTAAGCCTTTCTCAGCATTGCTTTATGGGATATACATTTTGTTAAAAATAATTCTAATTTGACTAAAAGTGAAAAAAATAAACACAAATATAAATACAAATACAAATACTTTGGACAGTTTTTAAACCCGACCATACTGAAAGAGTGAAGGATTGGCGAACACACATCAACTTCATAAGCATTAGGCTCGATTATAGATACGATTTATACCTATCATATTTCATGCTAAATACGATGACAAGACGACGATATTACATGGCCATATGCAATGAGTGCATAGCGGACAAAAGTCCAATATACGTAAGTATGTAACCCCGGATTTATTACAGCTGTGCAAGGCTGGATTAAGGACTTATTGGGCTCCGGGGCTGAAATTTCATATGGGCCCTTTTGACAAAACATGCTTTAAAAAGCCGATCACTACGCTCGCAGGAAAATAAATCTTTTTTACTATTTTACAAATTGATAATAGCATTATAAAATTATAAAATTAGTATACGTATGTAATTTATGTCCATAAAACTTCTAATTGTAATATTTTTTCTTTGCTGCTCTTTCTTCTTTATTTTCGCTGAACCGCTCAAAACTTTTGGTTTCATAATTTTTGAAAAAACCGGCTTTTTTTTATTTTAACATAACAATATAATAAATAATACAGTACACCGTAGCAATATGAACTGTAACAATATTTAACCGAAAATATCTAACTAAATTATTATTATTAATAATCCGTAGATTATTTTATTTTATTTGCAGAAGTTTCATAATATTAATTATTGATAAAATTATGCTAATAAAATGATACTAAGTCAATGTATCATAAACACCACGGGTTGCTATAAATGACTTACATGTATCGAGATAAGATATACCAGTGGTTGTCAACCTTTTTGGGTCCACGGCTCCTTTCGATTTTGAAACAAAAAATACAGCTCCCATACGAACATTTAAAATAAACAAATTTACATTATTTAATCATTTTAATCTAATTTTATTTAATGATAAACATGTAATTATTAATGATAGGCAACTTTTTTTTTTTTTTAGTTTTTTTTTTTTACAATTAAAAAATTAATACAATAACAATAATTTTAATATTTAATGGAATGTCTGTGCTTGTTTTTTCTGTATAATATTATCAAATCGTGGCGTAAATTTTGATAGCGCGATTCTCATTTCCCTTAGTCTTCCTCTAATAACTGCTAAGGCCGAAAAACCCGTTTCACATAAGTATGAAGAATCAAATGGAATCAAAATACTGATAGCCTTATTGGCTACGATCGGATACTGCTTCTTCATAGTTATCCAAAATTCTGGTAAAGATGATGATGCTAATTTGGATTTTGATGCTGAATCTGAGGATAAGTCTATTAATTGTTCATAGTCAGAAATTGGTATTTCTGACAATAGACCAGTAGTTAAAGGATCTTTAATCCAATTTTGTTGTTGATCGTTCTTGGAAAAATAATTTTCAATCAAGTTTAAATTATTTTCATGAAGGAATATATACAATGTGGGGAAACATTCATTTAAAGCACCTTCATCCATTTTATTCTTCCACAAGACTAATTTCCTTTTAAAAGAAATAATTTTTCAGTTAACTACAAAATGTGGGTCTCATTACTCTGTAGAGATACATTTAATACATTCAATTTTTCAAAAATATCACATAATTACGATAGTTTCATTAAAAAGACTTTATTTTCAAATTTTTAAAATGATTTTTGTTCAAGAAGAAAACAATGAAGTTCTTTTCGAAGTTCAAATACTCTTCTCAATATATTTCCTTGTGAAAGCCAACGGGAGTTGCAATAGTACAAAAGAGCGGTATGCTCGGCTCCCATGTCTTCACGTGATGAAATTAACTATTTCAATAACAGAAAGCAAGACTTTATTAAGACTTGGACTAATTATTAAATATTAATCAAAGTATGCGATTGCTCGATATTGCAAACACATAAATACACCTATTCTCGGTTATCGCTACACACACGCGCGCGCGCACAACATGTATTGGTGCGCAGACTTAACGGTCTCAAAAAGAAGATAACAAAAACTATATTATATTACAATTTCATTTTTAGTTTCTACTGCGAACGCGGCTCCTTTGACAATAACCAACGACGCCCCTGGGAGCCGTGACGCATAGGTTGAAAACCTCTGAGATATACAATACTAGAGCGCGAGCGATTTTCCGTATTCCACCAATACTGGCAGTATTACCAGATACAAATAACATTATTAACCATTGATGATTAGAAAATAACTAAGTTATTTCTTCTAATAAATAATTTAATCTTAACTTAGTTATTTTGTTGACATTTTAATTTATTTTTTTTATCTTATTACATAACGAGACGAGCTTGTGGTTGATACAATTAGACATTTATACAAGTCTTGTATATATATAGTAAGTCTATAAAATACTAAATATTCACATTACAGAATACATGTATACGCACTATGTAGTAAAAGGTATTTTTTTTTAAAAAAAGTAACTTTAACTTTTAACGCGATTAAGTGATAATTTTCGTAAAAATGTATACATTACATAGTTGAGTGCTCAAATTAATTTATATTTTAAAATTAACTTTTTACGATGACTTCATTAAACTAGTTAAAATAATTTGTTAACTTTCCAAGCTTTGATTATTACGATATAATATAATGTTATTATTATTTTACCAAAATGATGATGAATTTACTGACAATGACCGACAGTCCGAACTAAATGTATATTTTCACATTACTGCAATGGTTAGATGTTTACGTCGTCGGTAAACTATTAATTTAATACAATAATATTACATGATGTCCGTGTTATAACACATAATGACCAGTTTTATATAGATTTCACTATAGCCTGTAGGCACCTATTACCTGCTATAATTATTATTTATATATTATATTACGCAATAAACCGAAGCCTAATAATGTTATTAATTATTATATTGTATTTTACGTTTAAATATTTCAATAGTAAGTTAAAAAAAAAAAAGTACCGAAGGTTTTTGTTATAGATAATAATGTTTTAATACTGACAGGCAAAACCTATAATAGAATTAACCTTCGACAAATTAATATAAATTATCGGTAAACTTCTAGCATATAAGTACTTACAACATTATAGTATAATATAAGTATAATATGAATAGAACCGCCTCTGGAACAACGGCGATGAATTTATGAGTTAAACAATTTTTTTCCCTATACAAATAAAACTTAACATTTTTTTAGATAGTGAGCGTAGCAAAAAATATATTGGTCTTATTATAGGATGTGTGTGTGTGTGTGTGTTTAATATTTTTCACCAAAAATTCCCATTCGATCTTCAAGTGTAGATTATTTTCCAAAAGCTATAATTTTGTTTGGTAGTAATACTAAGGAAATCATCTTTTTATTTTTATTAATAATTAGAAAAAACGGGGAAATTGACAAGAGGTTCATCATAAATTGTACTTGTAGTGTTTAAAAAATTTACTCGATCATAATGTTTTAGGTGGGTAACTGAGAAGGTAGGATACATAAAGTTATTACACCTATTACACCTAAGTTATTAACCAACGATAAACTATTGCTAACGAAAAACAATTCGGAGGGAGATTATACATAATTTGAAACACCATAATATTTATGGTTCTCGCAAAAATTTAATTTTAAACTTTATAAAAAAAATTATATATATATATATATATATAATACCCGATTTTAGATTCTGCCTGGAGCGAAGAAGCTTATGATTTTACAAAGATGTTATTTTTTTTTATCTTTTAACAGCTTTTCTACCAAAAGACTTGTTCGGATTTCAAAGTGTAGCACATTTTCTGAAACGCAATTAGTGTGAGGAGGTACTTTAAAGAGGTAATTTTTCGATTTTCTCAGAAGTTTTCTTACCAAAATTGAGAAACCGGGAAAAACGTAGACAAAGTAAGAAAATCGGTACAACATTTAACAAATATTATTAAAGAAAACACATAAAGCCTGTTTAATTATTTTACAATAAAATAACATATATATTGTAGACAAAGCATCACTGTCAACTGAACTTCATTCAGAATCGTTTTTTCGTAAGCAATAGTTTATCGTTGCTTACAGGTATACATTCAATTATCTATAACAGCGGCTGCACCTGCCCCCAGATAGGACGGCAATCGGTCACTGATAATATCTTTTTGGTCAGAGAAAGCTCGAAATGCTCGGAAAGAACTCGGATTTATATATTTTGTTTGATAATATTTGTTTAATGTTGTCTCAGTTTTCCTACGTTTTTTTCGGTTTACCCATGTTTTATCCCAGTTTTTAAAATTTAATGCGAAAACTCTTAGAAATATTGAAAAATTACCTCTTTAAGGTACCTCCCTAGTAAAATTTCCTTTTAGAAACATTGCTATTATTATAAATTAGAGTAAGATTGGTAGCATGGAAAAATTGTCGTAAATATTTGTCGTTTTACCTATAATTTTCTTTCGGGTTTTCCCAATTATTTCAAAAACCCTCGGAAAATAAAAAAATTACTCCCCAACGCACCAACGAGAGAAAATTATTTTCAGAAGAGGTGATGTAGTTTATATTTCGCATCAAGTTTTCTGGTAGAAAAGTTGTTCACATACAGGGAAAAAAAATCATAGTAAAATCAATAAATCCCTCGCTACGCTCCGAATCTAAAAACACATCGTATTAAAACGTGTAAAATGGTAATGAATACATACGCGTGGGAAGAAAGAGGAGTAGAGGAATTATGATTTTTAAAATATAGAATATTATATACTTAGATAATGTATAGATGGATAATCTAAGACGTTAGTATATAGTTATATAATAATAATAATATGTAATATATATTATAAATAAATTAATAAATACTTTATTTTTTTTTTTATAGATAGTAAAATATGTTTACAAAATCCAGGATAATAAAATTACAAGCTACTGTTTATAAAATAACAGAGGTATTTAAATTATAACATAATAATAATAAGTAAAGTAGGTGAATTATTATTAGAATTACCACGATTTCAATATGCGAGTCGCTCTTGCGCATTAACCTAATAATTCGTGTATATTTAAACTTAAGTGATATGAATTTACGTGGAACAAACATTAATTTAACGCGTTTTAAAACATTTTCATTCGATTTGACAAATGAGCGGTATTAAAAAATGCATTGCATATTTTAAACGGTAAGTCGCAAGTGTATTGATATTTTTGACAGAAATTGAATTATAAATTATGTACCTATATACATATATATATATATATATATGAGTATATTCATAATAAATTTATTATTAAATTATAGACATATTATTTATAGATTTTATTTTTTGAGAGTTTAACACTCAGAGTTTTGAGATGTATATGAATCCACACGCTAATTCGCATTAATGGAGATTATTTACCGTGTATTAAATTAGTGCGTAATAGCGAAAGCATATATGTGGTATATTATTGAATAATAATGCGATGAGCGTTTGAGGTTACTAAAAAAGTTCTCAAAGCAACCGACGACGTGTGGGACAACACGTTCAATAATTTAATGATAGACGATAAATACATGTAGGTATTTTATATTATATAAAGCCGCAAAGCACACGAAAATAATATAGGGACGCCGTCAGCGCAAATAATTGAGGGCGGTTCGGGGGAGGGGGGAGGAATTAATGGTCTGTTCAATATTCATCGGCAGAGTCCGGATTTCAGTACACTAAAACTCATCGAAAAATGCGCCAAAAAAAGAAATTAAAAATGCATTTTGCCGCGAAAATACCATTAAAAAATGATATAGGTATACATTTTTTAAATGTATTATTTTATTGAACAATTTATATTTTTATTTTATTAAAAAAAAAAAAAAAAAAAACTGAAAATTGAGAAAATTGACTTGTGACGATAGTATCGACTGAGGGGCTGTATTTGACCGATTGACTGGAAAACCCAAAAAAACATAGGTAATATTTGTACAAATACTAAATTATTATAAAATACTCGTATATTTTACAAATGTGCAATAAAACGAAAAAAATTATCGAAAAATGCTCTAAAAATGAAAAAAACATTGAAAAATGCGAAAAAAAAAAAGGGCAAAATAAAAGGTCCACCTTTGAAGTCTCTGTTACATGAATCAAATTATGTACGTAGTTGGAAAATATTGTCTAATATAACTCACAAAAAAAAATATATGCATTTTTCACTGAAATCCGGGCCCTATTCATCAGATACCGAGAAATATACAGCCACCATTCGACTAATTTAAGTTTACAGGTTCATTTTTTTTTTTTTTTTTTTTTTTGTTGAGACTTTGTCTTTAAAACTTATTCGCGCCTATTTACACAATATAATGCCGCGTGATAAAATCCATAAAATAGATACAGGAACGGGTTTGGTTACGTGAGTTAGGTTAGTCGGCGAACTGACCTATTCCAACCGAACCTGACTTGGGTCGGCGCGTTTATCCCAGCCAACGGTGATAGACGCTTGACACGGTAGTAGACTCGACCGGGCCGGCTCCGTTGTTGATTGGCCTGTTGTGATAATAATAATTGTTATTGTGATTGATCGCAGCGGCCTCGTAATAATAATCGTCGTTGCCGCGGTTCCAGTAGGACGCGCCGCCGCCTCCGTCGTCCGCCGGTCCCGATCCGTCGCGGTCGTACGCCGACGGACCTCTGTACATCGCCATACCCGCCGACGAGACGGCCGGGCCGGGCGCGGTGTGCACGTGAACGTGTATGTTCTTGTCGGGCGACTGCTGTTGCTGGGACGACGACCGGTCGAACGGATCGTGTCCCGACCACGGCGACGCTGCGGCGTACCATCCGCCGCCACCGCCGCCGTACGCACCGTACTTGGGCGGATGCAGCCTCGCCACGATGCTGGTGACGGCCAACATCAGCAGTATGACGCCGATCGTCACACCCTTTAGACTGAGCACGGTCAAACCGGTGAGCAGCGTGGTGATTACGCCCAGTTTGTACATTATCGGTAGCATTATGAGTTGCATTCGCCGGCGTTGTACACCGAAAGTCCGAGTGGCTGGAACAAACAGACGGTTTTTTAAAATTGTGAATCTCGCGCGCAAGTGTAGGCGTTGTACTCGTAGGTGTATGCGTACTGCGCATAGGTCATATAGACTCAAAATGCATCTAGACGGAACAGCGACGGATCCAGACACTTTTTACAGAGGGGGGGGAGACACATCATTTATATATTTTCAGTAAATTAACTATAAATTATATATTAAATACATAAATAAAAACTGTAGTCCATTGACATGAGGGTAACGTTAGGGTAACAAGGGGGTGCCCCTGTGCCCTCCCCCTGGATCCGCCACTGAGACGGAACATTACGCATTAAGGACGTCCGGGGGTGAACGTTTAGGGGAGGGGGCAGCTTTAATTTTTTTTATTAATAATCAAACACTTTTGTTAATGTATTATGTGGTGTATATTCAAAAAAAATGTTAAAGGTATTATAATATTAATATTAAATTTTACACTTATATAGTAACTATAATTGAACATACATTGTAATTTTATTTTATTTTTCCCAAATTCATTAACGACTTTTTCTGTTAAATTAAGTTCTTCGCCTTTTTTTTCGAACTTTTTTATAAACTTAACATACATAATCCGGATAAACACCCAACGGATTCTCACACAATAGATAATCACAAGTCAGTTGTCCACAAAAATTATCTACAAATGATCGGTACATTGTGATAATAAATTACCGGAATTCTATTATCACAAAATATCCCTATCGACTAGGTACCAATCAAGGTGCATTGATAAATATCAATACAACTTGGTAAAAATTATGAATTTTGGGATTTCGAGATATTGAATTTGAATATAATTATTTTAACTTGCTAGAAAGCTAGGGAGGGGGGGGAGAGTTGTTCAGCATGAAAACGCCGTCCGGCGGGTGGAGTTTCATTTCGGGAACAGAAACACGCGAGATAATAAACGGAGTGTTTTAATTGCCTGTCCTCGGAGTGTAAATCGGAGTCCTCTCTCACACTGGGCTTTATATCGGTCGAGCTCTCTTGATCAGTTTGGACCGACCACGCCTAACGGTCCTCGGGGTGCATGTTCCATTTAGATATTGCATAAGTCTATATGGGTTTAATAGTGCAAAATAATAATTAACGTGTTAATAATAGAATACTTTTGAAAACGAGTACCGATCCGAAATTATCTAGAGTCAGGTATACCGAAGACCTAAGTAGGTACTTATAGTACCTACTAAATAATATATCGTTCTAAACATTAATATAGATTGAGTTTGATAATTTCAATTGCCATATGTCCAGACAACGCACCTCGGACCCTTATGTGGTAATTTCCCCTTCCAATTTTAAAACTACTATGTATATCATTAATTGTAATCTTTTATAATAGTATCCTGCGCGCTACTATAGTATAATTTAATAGTGAGAACTCTCCTCATCATATATTTTATATTATACATAGAAAACGTTTGTTTCTAGGTCAGCAATATTCTCGAAATAATTTGAAATAAAACGAGTAAAATAGTGATTACTATATTATAATTATTGTAGTTCTTAAAAGGCTTAACTGCTGTTAGTCTATATGCAATAAGCCTGAAAAACAGTAGGCCGTTTGGTAAAATAAGTAGGCAGTTCGCAAACGGACTACCCAATTGCAAAGAAGAGCCTAGTCATTTCGCAAAAAGACTAATTTTCCATATGGCAACATATATATGGTTTTTTAGATTTTGAGTGTAGCGTAGAATGTCTTGGTTTTACAAAGATATATTTTATTTTTTATGTGAACACTTTTTCTATCAGATAGCTTAATCCGATGTTTACGATGTAGACCATTTCCTGAAAGGAAATTTTCTTAGAATGGTACTTTAAGAAGGTCATTTTTCGATTTTCTTAGGAGTTTTCTCATCAAATTTGAAAAACCGAAAAAACGGAGGAAAACGGGAAAATATACGAAATATATTAGTAAAGTATTACGATTTTTTTTTTCTGTGGATAACTTTTCTACTAGCAATTTTGCTCCGATTTACAATGATAGCACTTTTTATAAAAGGAAATCTGACTAGGTAGATACTTTAGGGAGGTCATATTTCGATTTTCCCAGAAAATGTGAAAAACCGAGAAAAACGAGAAAATCGGTACGATATTAAACAAATATTATTAAAGAAAATATATAATGCCTATTCAATTATTTTATCACAATATGACATACGTATATATTGTTGAGAAAACATCACGAACAATTGAACTCCGCTCAGAATAGTTTTTTCGTTAGCAGTGGTTTATAAGATAAACATTAAATTGCCTTTTGTATCCTACCTTCTCGACTTCTCACCTACAATAGTGGTTATAACAAATGTTATAGAACAATCGGACAATATTAAACAATTAACGTTTTTTTTATTTTTATTTTTTTTTCATAGTTAATCTGCAATATGTAGTAGTTTGATGGTTTTCACCCCCCAGTGAAAATGTTCTGCGCATGCCCGCGCCCCCAAATCGAATAACGTACACGTCGTTCGTTTCGCAGTTAATATATGTTAATGGTTACGTAAAACAATCGTATACAAGTGTATTGTATTGTCTGAGAATCCGGCCGGTACGTTCATATTGCGTTGTATGCGATCCCACGCCCAAATAAAAAACCAATTAGAACGTAAATCCGAAAAATCGCGGGCGTACAACGCGGTCGGTCCTGGTTAATCGCGAGCGCTTAACAAAATCGCATGTGTTCGTGTGCGGGATGTAAGACGTTACACAGACGATTTCTCGTTTTTCAGTGTTGACGCGTACGGGAAATCGCCGCGGTGACCCGTCTCACGCGTGTTATAATTGTAATAATGGTGTACGGAGTGCAGAAAGTTATATAGGACGAGGTAAACACGCGCGTTTATTACAGCCGCGATTGCTCAAAGAATTCATAACCTGCGAGGCGGTCGCATGGACTCACTAAAACACAAACGGAACATTTTACCAGTGCGTAAATTGCGATGCACGTGTAGGTACACAAACAATAAGTAGACCGCGAATAACGAACAGCTCATTGACTATATTAATAATACGATAATTACTCGACGGACGGCAGTCCAGTGGTGGCTCGGAGTAGTTTTACCTTGAATCAGTGATAACATTCTCCACCCATCACCACCCCCGCCACAACCCGAAAATACCCCCATCCTACCGTAGAATATAGATGCATTGGAATTTGTTAAATTTCAATGAATTTCGTCAAATTTATCAAATTCGCGCGGCCTAAAACTCTTTTAACGACTTGTTTTATTGAAACGCAATCATTTTTGTTATATTCCTCAACACCCGCGTGATTCAAATGTACCTCCTTTGAGTCCCCGCTGTTCGACGCTTTTTACATTTGAGAGTCGCGCTCGTTACGTTCTATTAGGGATTTGCTATTAATTGTTAACGTTTTAAAATATTAACGGGATCACGATTTAAATAGGAAAAAGCTTTTTTGGAAACAGCCGAAGAACTACACGAACATCCAGACTAGTAGGAAAAATAAAAATAAAAGGAGAAGGTAAGACGAACAGCAACTGGATACGGAATAGCCTATCCACGACCTATCCGACAACTGCCCCGTTATAAGGCGAAATACGTCTGATACGTATAAACGTTATGAAAAACCATATTATACGGCAGATGAGACAAGAGTCGGAATACCGAGAACGAAATCTAACGTGGTGAAATCGAGGCATAAACGGAGAAGACCAAAACGCGTTCAATCGCCGAGAACTTCAAACCAATACGAACACCTAAAATTATGGATTCGCGAACGCTGTGCGCCGGTCAACAGAAAATTCGGCACGGCCGCGCACGTAAATGTGGCTGACGAATTCACATCGGACGCAATACAAAATCTATAGAATGTTACCGTGATTAATGTTTTATTTACCAACTCCACGTTATCAAATTGAATTTATTTATTTATTTTATTTTGTGTACCATAATTCGCGTTCTATGTATTTATACATTTTATATCATTTGACCGATTTATTAATAACATATTTCACTATCATTTAATTAGCTCATTTAACCGGCTTAAGTCACGTAATAGTTATTTTGAAAGGAATTACTGAGCTAAATAAAACACCAAGTGAGTCTAGACTCGACAAATGGAATATGGAAACTTATTCCGAAAATCAATGGCTACGACCAAAGGGAACCTTACCACCCGGTTATGGAAACAAATGGCAGATTCGGAAGTCTCCGAACAGACTTAGAACTGGTGTGGGACGCTGTTAAGTCAATATGAAGAAATATGGACTACTGGGCGAAGGAAATGAGACATGCCCGCGCGGCCAAGAACTCATTTACTCAGGTGTCCAGATTGCACGCGCGCTATTGTTTCGAAAAGGACATCATACAAGCAAATCAAAAGGTCATTGACGTAGCCCAGTACTGGGCGAAAACTGTGTGATTTTATAACCAATATCGACCATGACATTACCAGAGTACACTTTGATTTATATAAGTTATATGTATTTACTTATTTATCTATATTATTTATACTATTGGGATTTATTGTTAATTATAATTTGAGTTGTTTTAAAAAGTTGTCTGACAAAAAAAAAAAAAAAAAAAATGCACATTTACAACCTGACTCAAGAACAGAGAAAAATTCACCGACAAATCTTAATCAAATAGTTCAATCAGTTTTAATTTTTATATTATGGGACATGATTTGTTTTTGTGCTCAAAATAAGCTTTACAGTAAAATCTCGTGTGCCTTGTAGAAAAATCAGATTTCGATCATTTTCTCTCGTTGGATAGGCAAAACTTCGTACCGCGGGATGCATTAGATTTTGATTTTTGATTGTTTAATCAAAATACGCAACAAGTTAGTTTTAAAAATGGTGAAAACCGGTCACATTCTAATTAAAGCGTTTGGAAGTATAATTATTATAATCTAAGTCAAATGCTCCGTGGAGGTAGTCTTCATCCTTCCGGAAAAAAAAAAAAAATGTTCGAAATCGGTCGACTTTACGAGACACGAAACACGTTCCTGTAAAACATGTTTTCAAGTATAATAAACGGGCCACGCGCATGACCCTTAAGTGAAAATATGATATTCTACGTTTTTTTAAGAATATTCGAAGGTCGACAGGTTGTATCGGTTGATCAACGTGTATCTAGATACGCTGTGTAACGTTGTACACAATGCATATCTAATAAAATAAAAAGATAGGTATTCGATTGAGATTTATATTTGAACGGTGTAAACAGATTCGAGTGGTCGAGTACCAAAGTCGTACTCGAGGGGCGTTTTTCGGGGGTTTAACCCCTCCCTCCGAAATGCGTTCGAGTTACATTACGCCATATCAAATCTATAACTATAAAACACGCGTTTTTGGTTTGTTTCCCTCTTCCCCTCCCCCCACAGTCGAAAGTATTTTCTAATTACGGTTTTGTCGAGTAGGTACCTACCTTTGAATACCCCGAATATGTCGTAAAAAATGTGAGTGTAACATACCGTTGGTCCGCGAACTTTTTATTCGTAATTAAAACGAACATTTTTTTAATTTCTATCAATAGTTATTTGCGTGTCCGCGCATTCGATTTTTACAAAAGCGGAATCTAGTCTATTCGACCATGATCACGGTCTCGGCACGTTTTCCCGTACAAATCGCATAATTTCGTTCCGAAAGACTCAGATTTCGAAACATATCGCAATCGACGGAACGGGACGGGCCATCGCGCGCGGCGATGTTTCCGCGGCAATTATAAATCGCTTATACCAATTTTTTTTTTTTTATAAATTACGATCATCGTTAGACGCGCGTTTTTAAAAACAAAAACGCCGACCGCATTAAAACATCATCATAACCTCATCTTCGATAGTAATAATAACGATAATAATATTACGACGGCGTACCTGTGATCATTATAGGTGCGCAGTGTTACAACACTTGCGGCATTATCAACAAAATTACCCGACGGGGGGAGGGGGGGGAGGGGGGGGGGGGTTAGGCGAAAAACGCCGCCGCAATAACGAGACGACGGGCGATCCGAACGGCAATAACTAGGCGCCATTATTGTTTTACACAATTATCGTTGTTTATTTGGTATTTACCGGTATCGCCGTTGCTGTTTTTCGCGTTCCGCGCCACGTAAAACCGGTACGTTTGCGTCCGGTCTTTGCACACGTTGAAGTCGATCCCGGGCACGATGGCGTTGCGCCACGACAGCCGGTGAGTGTCGAAAACGGCGTCGGCCAGTTCCAACAGGTCGGCCGGCGGACGTTTCGACGACGCCCCCGTCGTCGGTTCCGCGGCCCCGTCGACGGGCGTTGACCTTTCCAGCCACAAGCCGTCCGCCAGCCTTTGGTCGCGCGCCGACGCGCGTATCCGGTTCAAGGCGCGCGCCACGGTCCCGGAGAGACCGAGCGCCGTCCGTCCGTCGGACGTCCAAAAGCCGGTCGCCGTCGTCGAGTGCAGCTGTAACAGGATCAAAACGAGCGCCCGAGGGCCGCAGCAGTGCCGTGTCGGAAAATCGGGCATGCCTACTAGACGCGGTGGTGCGCACGGTGTCGGCGGTGCGGCATTTTCTTAGCGCCTTGGTCGGCCGAACGATCCGGCTGGGGTCCGGGAGCGCCGCGGACGACAAACGGCTGCTGGCGCGGGCTCGGACGGTCCGGAACTGTTACTGCCGCTGCTATTACTGCGCCGCGCGGCGGCTGGACGGTTTTTCGGCACCGGTCGTTCAGGCGACGTCGATAATAACGATAATGATAAATAAAGCCGATTGCGATACTCCGCGTGTTTACCGGGTCGGCGGCGGCGCATTCACTGAAATCACGCACGGCGGCCACCGCGACGACTGCGGCGAACGGAATAGAAAACGTACGGAATTATTGTTTGTGTGCCGGTACGCGACAATCGCCGGTGTATAGGCGGATGGGTCTTGGCGTACGTACGTGACTGCGCGCGCGCGCGCGCGCTCGTGTGCCTGTCAAACTCGGACGGACCGTTCGCGTATTCCGGCCTCGTCTTCGGCCCACATAACGAGAGAGAGAGAGAGAGAGAGAGAAACTTTTTTAAATTAATTTAAAATTATCGTTATTGTTATACATTTTTTTTTTTTTTTTCTTCGTCCACCCCCTGCCTCCCCCCGCACATGTATTGTTATCGCGCTGGAGCCGGACCGCCGCGCGCCGGACGTTAAGCACGACGGCGATAACAATAACGGCGACAACGGCAATAATAGCAAATATAATACCGCCGCGGTTACAACGACTGTATCGTGTATAATATTATTGTTGTTGTTGTTGTTGTTGTACAGATGTGCGCGTTCGTGCGGCCACGTATCGCGCGCCGGACTGTTGGCAATAGAATGTGTGCCGCCGCCGGATGACGACCGACTGTAATGTATTTTAATGCGCGCGACTACTACTAATAATAATAACAATAATGACGATAATAACGAAAATATTGTTACGTGCGCGCACGCTTTCGTCGACATTATCCATCACCGTGCACGCGTCTATAATAGGTAACCGCGTACGTACGGTACACACCGGCAAAACGGTATACATAAAGTGCGCGCGGTTGGCACGGTCAGTCGCGCGGCACGGCGGACTTTTAGAAAATCCACGCGCGTTGTTATCGCGTCGTTATTAAATACGAGTCCGGCGGCGGTCCGGATTCCTCGGAATGGTCACGACCGACGGCGGTATACAGGGCGTTTCGGCGGAAACGAACGTAGCGAGTAACCCAACGAAAATCGAGTATCGTTTCAGCGATACCGACAGCAGCGAGGGGGATCTGGAATATATTTCTCTACGTTACTATATTTCTGGAATTATAATCGCGTTTCGCATATGCGCAACAGACTAGCATACCGACGGCTGACTGTTTATATCTGCCGGCAGCAGATAGCCTAATCAGCCAACTTAACGCTAGAAACCGCGGTTGCCCGCGCTCCGCGTGTGCCCGGCCCGATTCAAGAGCCCGTCGGTCTGGGGGTTCGATCTGTCCTTTTTTTTTTTTTTTTTATCGATACCCCGTTCGGTACCAACCTACGTCATGATTGTAAGCGGCGGCGCGAACGACGGTACTTTCGACCGTTCTTTTGCCCCGGGGGAAAACCGTACCGAAAGAGTCTCGCGGAATAAAACCGATGTTTAAATAATATAGTCGGACCGATGTTATGCGGAACCTATCCGTCCTGGAGGAGGGGACGGTGGGGTGGGGGGCTGGAGCCGCGGGTAGCGAGGAAAAGGGGGCCACGATTTTTCTTTCTCTTTTTCAATTTCGAGCGCGGCGGAGCTAGCTACATTATTGTACGGTCTTACAAAGACGACGTAGTTTGTCTGGGAAACGACTTTTTCGGACGGTAAAAAATGCTCAGATACTCTCGCCAAGAGCGTATAGCCCCCCGCCCCCCTGTCCAATGACCGCGGTGCGGTCCCGGTTATTGATTTTGGTTGCTTTCGATGCAAAAAAACCCCCTTCCCCTCTCGTGTTAATCAATCGGGCGAGTTGAACGCGAATTGCAGTATTGTTTTTGTCGCAAAGTCCGTACGTACAAAATCGATGTATCGCATCGCCGCTTTTGTCTTTTAGTCGGACGGCACGAGCGATAACAAAACGATTATCGATTCCGTACATGCGGATGTCGCGAGTAATGTCGTTCGAGTATTACTTACTTTTAACGCAGGGACTAAAATTGTGCGTAGTGCGGCCACCTTGTGTAATACGAAATGTTAGGTGTGCAGTACGGGATTAAAAAGTGTGCAACAGCTATATTATATTTATCCGTATTCGTTTTAAATTTTTAAGTTTCGCGCACTTTTAGTCGTTATTATTGGAGAGCGACAATTCTAAAATGTATCTTTATTAATATTTTAAATGGCAAGTTGACTCGTAAAACAATGACAGGTATCACATACTTTTTCAAAGATAACGAAGACACTTTTATCATCGATGATTAATTCATAGGTACCTAATACATTAAAAAATAAAGAATCAAAACTGATCATACTACGTTCATTTAATATTTATTATACTCGTGATTGTATTAATTATGCATTTTTTTTTTAAATATTTATGAGTTAATTTATATATAAAAAAAAAAAAAATGGGCTATTTGTCCTTGTATGATAATACATGTTACGAGTGGTTATTTGTTCGTTGATGTACTGAACAAAAATTTCTCTCCCCCATAAAAACCGAAATGGTTCCATTGTAAGGGGAGGTAGGGGGGGGGGGGGTTTATAATAAATATGATATAATACGGTTTTATAAAAAGTGTGCAGTAAGAAAAAGTATATATTTCAGCCTCTGTTTTACCGTTCGCGATAATGTCCTTAACATTGTTCAAACGTATAGGAAAAAATTCCGGACATTGCACTACGGTTTCCTCGTTCGTTTCAGAAACACCCTGTATACACACATACCTACCTAACACGATTGCGCGTGTCTTCTTCTTCTTCTTCTTCTTCCCGTTGTCGTTTTTATTATTCTCTGTGCGCGCGCGTGTACGGCTGCAGCTCTCCCGCGTAGAATTATAATCTGACGACGACGGTTGTTATTGTTATCTATTTTTTTTTTTTCTGTTAAATTTCTAACCCGTTTCCCCTTGCCCGCCACCGTTCTATTATAGAATATTATTATTTATTCGATCCTGCAGCATAATATTAAATTTTTATGCCGACCGCAGGCCGTCACCGCCGCCGAGCCGACAGAAAACAAAAAAAAAAAACTATTCGTCCAATCCGGTTTTTACGGTTTGTTCTCTAGTAGCTATACACACCGTCGACGACGACGCGACGGGTCAAGATTTGAATATAATTAATAGTACGTGAACCTACCTATACGTTATTATATGACGCACCAACTATAATATGTAAAAAATATATACGACAAAGCAGAACCGCAGGATTTTTTCGTGGCTCGCCATAATAATATTACATGTATGTCCGGAGAGTACACCTACATTCACTGTTTACCCATGTACAGCTACGATTGTCTACGTGCAGCGGTTCTCAAATTGTGTTTTTTTTTTCTTTCTTTTTTTCGTGTTACTCGAGTCTTTCGAAAAACAGTATTCCGATGTTCTTATGACCATTTTAGGCCCATACCAAGTAGTATTATCTATACACTGTAGACGAACGGTCAAGGTAATATTATTTTTTTTACACGCGGTGCGGATGGAGGTTTTACTACGACGTGTGTTTTTCCGTCCGTCTGTAGACGACTTTTCGAAAAGAAAACTTGCTCCAATCAAAAAATGAGTAGATACCTCGTTTTTTGCATTTCGAAGAAGTCATTTATTTTAATTTTCTCTAGCGGTTTTCGTAATAGTTGGGAAAAGTCGGAAAATTACGGAAACTGAAAACGAACAAATTCACGTAGCACAATTCCATTATTTTGAACTTGTCCACATTATTTTTTCTACCGAAAATCTTGCTCCAATTGAAAAACAACGAGAGTTTTTTAAATTGAATTTTGAATCTAGTTGGTGAATAAGAAAGCTGTTTTTCGATTTTTCTTGTAGTTTTCATAATAATTGAAGAAAACCATTAAAAACCTAAAAAAAAAAAACGTTAATTTTTTTAATTGTAATTCGTTTAAAAGTAATCATAGACATTTGAAATTTTGACAGTTAATAAGTTTCCTTTTCTAGACGTGGAGACATTTTGGCGATTTTTTTTATTTATATATATAGATATTTTATGTAGTTTTTATTTGATATACTTTATGGTTGTAATTGTTTGACTAGAAACGCTTGAAACTAAAAGAGGAGTTCATTATAAGTTGTACTTAGTGGTTAAAAAAAAAAAATAGAGACTGTATTATTTATTTTTGCTTTGTTTTTTAATGGCTTTAAAATCAAATTTTGATGAACATCGAAAATATTACGGCCTTTAAATCATGTAAAAACGAACTTTTCTCAAAATTAATTTCCGTTAGCACTAATGATTTAATCATTGATTATAGATATAAATCAAATAACTTTATGTACCCTGCCTTACCAAATTCTCACCTGTAACATTGCCACACCTGTAAGAACCACCTGCACAAAGCCGTAGATATTATAAAACGTAGTAATTAACTTACGAAAAAATATAATTATTTTTTGAATTCATCAGTATTCGATTAATATTATATTCCAGTGTATTCGTTAGTATTCGATTGATATTATAATTTACATAGGTTTGGTTTATTAACAAAGTAAAATATGATATTAAGTACAGATATATACTTAGGATTGTAAGTTGTAACGGTCTAAATCAAAGTATCGTTTCAGTATATAGAGGGAATGCAAAGGGTAACAAGCTATCCGTATTCATCGAGTGTGAAACTTGGACCCCATTGTATGTGTCATATCTGTTTGTTTAAATAAATTTAATTTGTAACATTTATTGTTATTTTAAATATGATAATACAAAATGGATCGAGTTCGAATTTGGCTTGTGTTAAGGTCCGATTCAAATCCGAATGGTTTTGGATGGGACTGTTTACAGTTATCATACAGAGTATACCATAATTACCAGTAATAACAAATGATAATCATCCATTACTTCTGTACGTTAATCCGAAAATGGATTACCTAGCTATTAGTAAGGATTATGAAAAATACATTTTAGAGACTCGAAAATTAAATAAGTGTAGGCAAACGCTTGCAGATTACAAGTTGTGTACTAGGGTATAATAGGCGATACATAATAGACATGAAAAGGCGATGTGTGAGGTGAAATTGTTATTAGAACCAATAGAGGTATCAAACATTTGCCATGTGAGGCATAGTGCGTTAATAGAAAATACATTTCATGCAATTTAAAAATACTTGGATGTATTATTAAGTATAACAGGAACATATTGTATTATATTTTGAAAAATTAAGGGTGAGTGGAAAGTTTTATCAAACGGGGACGGGGTTACTGTCGATAAGAGAAGACTGTCG